TACGTTAATATATCGGGATCACAAGGCTGAAATTATAGGGCTAGTGCTAATTTATTGCTTATGCCGTCTCACGCATAGTAGTTCGAGCTTCGAAAAGAGTCTACGAGATTACCGTGTTGGGGAGGTCGAAGATGCGTACTGTACGTAAGGTAGTGTCGCCAACATCATCGTCTTACACTACTCCAACGTTGACATTTGGATCTAGGTCAGCTCGTTGTCGGATGACGTCAAAAGCGCACAGGTAGGTATGATCGATAAAATCGCAGCTCGGTAAGGAGACCGTTACTGGATTTGACTTGAGTTTGGCGCGTTGTATGTCAGATAGTTTGGCTATAGAGCTGCTGTCGGGGTTGATGTCGATCTCTGGCCCCAAGCTCTTTCTATGCATCCAAGTCCAGTCGTAGTGGTTATGTTATGTAGGTATGCATGTTGAACGACAGAATGCAGCTTCAGCTTCCAGACGTCGTAGCAGAAGGATTGGGACGTCTAGATAGATCTCAAGTCGTGTGTAGTTTAAATTCATCACTCAAGAAATCACCGCTGACAGGCATTGGCCCGGGCACGCGGAGGGGCCACACTCCAGTTCACGGGTACGCACATGTTCCCGGACGGAGAATACCGGTTCTGCGCGGCGGTGAAGAGATGGGCCCGTGACGCCGTCTTTACCGCCTCGCTTGTGGCGTACAGCGACGTGGTGCCGGCCCTGGACGTATTAGGTTGGTTATGGTATTGATATTGGTATTGGTATTTGGTTGGAGTTGTTTATTTTTGGGGGAGGCTGATTTCGAGATGATGGAGCTAGCTAGCTATTGCTTCAGCGGTTTAAAGCTGGTACCTACCTAGACGATACTAATAATTTTGACTTATAAGTCGTCGTTTTATAGGTAAGCTAGCATTTTCACTAAGCATCCTTAGGCACCTCCTACCGTAACCTGGCCCCTATCTTGAATAGGTAGGTAGCGAGTTTTCTCTTACAGACTACCTAACACTAGCCCGGATTCTTTTGCTATTAAAGTGCTGCGAATTAGGTAATCTTGTCTAAAACGTACCGAAGCCAAGAGGTTTGGGATGTCTTAGACTCTTAGCAGAAGTGGGCTTGGTGGTATTTATATCTTATATACCTAATATACCCACCGTGCTAACAAGTTCGGTCCGCTAAGCCTGGTCGAGATTTGGAATGTGGAATAATGGTCTTTTGTAGCGCTGTCGAACAGCTTATTGATACACGTTTTTACTATGTAACTAATGTAAGTCAAATAGTATGAGTTGCTATTATTGTATTTTCGTATTAGCTATTGGAAGTAAGAGAGATAAAAACGTGTCCGTATTAATTTGTACCTATACGAATAATTGACTAATGATTACAACATGAAGAATAAGGGGGAAAAAAAAAGAACATGATATGACTCTGGCTGTGTCATCGGTAGATGGTTGATTGGATTACCTCAGGTTATCGAGCATGCAGCTGGCCAGGCAGGGAGTCAGTCAGGGACAAAAAGAAGGCTAAGCCCACGAAAAGCTCAAAAAAATGCATTTATTGCCTGAACCTAAGCGCCGCACCTCATGACTTGATTAATCTGGAGGGCAGTGTTTAATCAGCTTACATACCTATGCAGGCCCCATGAAGCAGCTTATACGAATCAAGTGGACGAATTATTGATGAGTGAGATGCGCTAAGCTTTGGAATCTTTTCTTTCTACGTGACTCTATCAATACATCATCAATACTATCATTTCCGTTGTATTCGGAGCGAGCGGGATTGACTTGGCAGTTTGGTCGTATGGACCGACGGATTGGGTAGAAGACAATACCTACCTCTATGTATGTAGTAAGAAAAAGGAAAAGCCGATGCGATGATCGATGATCATTAACCATTATTAGATATACGCAGCCAACAGCTTGGTTAGAGATATTGTATTGTCCATGATTGTGGGGTAGTACCTGGTTCCATGCCTGTGGCCGTGATGCGCGTTGGTCTCTCTCTGTCTCTGTCTCTCCCTGCTTTTTGGGAATCATCGCAATCGCAATCGCATCGGCCTCGGCCTCGGCAAACGAACGGATGACACCAACGGCCCTCGATTCGCGCGGCCGCGTCTGCTACGGCCCACGGGCCAGCTTTTTTGGGCTGAATCGGTCAATGGTATGGTCCCGCCCCCACGTTCGTCAGCTCTGCTTGGCGCTTATCTCCAAGGAAAAAGCGCTCTGATATGTTATTCACATCGATGTAGTGGACGGATGAATTGAGAGTACGGCAACGGCAACGGCAACAGGTAGCATAAGGCGGCCCGTTACCAGATGAGCCACTTTAACTTGTGTGAGTGTGAGTGTGAGTGTTGTGTATGTGCATGCATGTGCTATGTCTAATCCTGCTGTTGGGAGTTTAGGAGTTTAGGAGTTGAAGAGTTGGAGAGTTGGAAGTTAGGCAATTGAGCGGATGTGCGTTGACTTACCGAAAAAACTAACGGCTTTCCATCCGCGCGTATGTAGGTGATAGGTTAGTCCAGGTTAATTGGTATGTAAAAGAAAAAAATGGTGGTGGCTCGGTCTTCAGGGCCAAGTTTTTCTGCAGCGAAGAAACCGAGGCAGAGGAACTAAAATTGAATAGGTTAGGTACGTACCTAGACCTTGGGTATGCACGTACCTACCTAGGTAGGTAGGCAGCTAAGGTAACTCCAGACTTCGAAACCCGTCATCTCGAGTATCAGGTAGGTAGGTAGGTGTCTCGTACTATGTGCTTACTATTAAGTTAGTTTATATTTTTTATGTGCATTACATATTACATCAACTTGTATTAATGCATGATCAATCTCAAGTAATTATGTGATACCTGAATGTATGTAGGCTGGCGGCATAGAAATACCTATGTAGGGCTGTTCGTACCTACATGCTGCACCTCTAACATAGGTACTTAGGTACTTATCAGATTCCAATATTGAATTTAACTTAGCTTAGCTTAGGTCATTGATCTATGGATATCTCAATTAGGTACTAATAGTAGTAACTGCAGCTGCCCCAAGCCCTGTACGAAATATCGTAATTGTAAAACAAAATGTGGAGAAAATCATCGTCGCAGGCGCAGGTGTAAGTGTACCTACCTACCTAGGTAAGTTGTAGATGCAGTGCAGTGCTGAATACATTAGGTACCTACATACACACATGTATTGTACCTCTAGGTAGGTACCTAGGTACCTAGGTAATTGTTCGGAGGGGTTTGAGCCTTGAGGGATGTTCATACCCTCCACCACCTTTTTTTTTTCTTCTTACATTTTCCTCTCTCAACCAATCCAAGTAAGCCCACAGTCCAAATTCTGCCATGAGGTTGTTCCCTTGGATCTCTTTTTCGTACGAATTTTTAATTCATATTTTCATATTCTCACCTTAATTCTTTCATCGAATTCCGTGTACCTATCTTTGTCACCTTTTTTCTTTTATTTATTTCAATTCAATTGGCTTTAACACGTCCCGTCTCCCTGGTCTGTCCCGGCTCAGCTGAAATACAATGATCTCTGTATATGTACTTTTTATACCAGCTAAACTAACCTACCTAGGTACCGGGGCGGCTGGGCGTAGTAGGAACGTCGTTCTAATACGTCTTAGATTTCTTCAAATTTATTAGGTCGCTTCCCTTAACGGATGAGATTGATAAATTCGGGAATATTGCGCGAGCCAAACGTCTCCATTAGGTATCTAGTAAAATACTCGTTCAAGGGGGCACTTCGATTCCTTGGTTTATCTTACGTAGCATCCTATTCTACCTTTCTACATCAGTTAGAGGGTTTCGTCCCCTGGTCTGGTACCGTATCTCGACTGCGCCAACACCAGCTCATGTCACCATTTACCCCTCAAACGGGAAGTTCCCAACGTGGGCGGTGCCAATATAGAATCATTACATACCTACATACCAGTCCCTCGTAGACGCAGGCACTCGGGCACGCGGGCACACGCGGGCACGCAGGAACCGGTTACCGACCTCTCACCTTGATTTCTGCACAAGATGAATAGATGGTGGTGCTCGGTAGCTCGGTAGCTCATCGAGTATCGTACTGATCTGAGGACCTACCTTACCTTGGCAGGTAACCAACCTTTTTCAGGTGTATTCTCACCGTTACCATTAAAAAAAGAAAAAGAAAAAAAAAAAAAAAAAAAAAAAAAAAAAAAAAAAAAAAAAAAGACTCAAGTGCCCTGCAATCCGGTTATGTATTGCTGATTCCTATGATCTCGAGCGGGATAAAGCCTGTCTCCTCTAGCAGGAAAAACCCGCATGCTACTCGCTCGCTAGTTGAAGAGCTAGTGGGATAGGTAGCGAAATAGGTAACGAGGCATAATATGCATCATTTCAAAAGGTGCCTATCTTGACCTTTTTACGACGCTATTCGATCCACATCCCCCGTAGGGATGTAACCTCACGATATCATTCCCTACCTCTATGGCAGTTGGGCTTCCACTTTGATTATTGAACTGGCGTGTCATGGGCAGTCGTCAACTCCTGCTGCCGTGATCCAAATAAGGCTCACGGGGAACTACCAGGTAGGTATGTATGTATGTGCACTATGTACACATCGACGTATCGTCACCAATCTCCCGACCGATCCGCATCGAGTATCGAGCATCGAGCATCTGGGCAAGGACCAAATGCCCATACAGAAACATGATTTGCGCAACGAGTACATAGTAATTCCCGAGTGGACCAATGATTGATAAAAATAACAAGGTCCCTGTCGAGTGGGCTGTCCAGGCTTGTCTCTTTTCTGCAGGACCCCCATAGTCTCCCGCTCCGCAGGCTGGCAGGGCCTCCTTCGCACGCAGAAATACAGAGCCACATTCGCGTACGCCGTACAAGAGTACTCTAAGTGAGATACGCAGCGGAGAAGCTAACTGACCAGGGTCGTCCGCCGCATTCCGGCAAGATGCCTTCCTTTCTCATGTATACTACCTAAAGTACATGTACCACCGTGGAGCGTCGAATGACGAGACTGCTCACTAATAATCATCATATAGCATATGTAGCATATGTAATATGTAGTATGCAGCTGGCCCTTTTCTTGGGTTGCAGAGCCTTGTGCCACCCACCAAACGTAGATCCTACCTCAATATATGTCGAGTCCTCTCCCCCATATGCCCAGATGCTGGTTCCCTTCTGCTTGTTCTAAATTTCCTTACGTCTGCCTCCGCACAAAATGCTATCCAGATCCGGCGTTAGCATTCGGAGGCTCATATCTCCAAGAAGAGGCCAAGATGAGTTCGAGGATGGGGTTTCGGTTGAGGCCGACAGGATGGATCAAAGGACGGCGTGGAAAGAACGCAGCAGTACGATACCTAAGAGGCGGACAACCTATAGTAAAAGACGGGCGCCGCCACCGATTATAGTTAGTAGGGAACAAAGCATTCATGATATACTAGACCCCCTACCACCGTTACCGCCGTACGATACGCCTCCGCGGTCCAGGTCTAGTTCCTTGAATAGTTGTGACCGCCACAACGACTCTTTTTTATCACAATCAATCGACTCAAAGAGGTCCAAGTCGCCCCTTTGTTATATAATGTCAAAGGAAGAAAACGTGACAGGCTACGGAGCCGACGGCTACTTACCGCCGCCTCCTCCTAAAGACTATGCCGAGTCGCCAGATTCTTTCAGACTTAAGGCCGAACAATCGACGACGAGCTTGGATTACATAGAAACTTTATCCCTACGACCGGAAAGCAGGACTTCGACGTTGCATCAACCATTACGACGTTCGGACTCGTTTTCAAGCATCTCCGAAAACATTCAGCAACTTATACAAGAGGCAGATGACGCATTCCGAGCGGTCGGCAACGCTCTCGCTGAAGTGCAAGTCACGAACAACTCGACAAAAGCGTTGCCCTCGCTTCCCACGCCTGAACCGTCGCCTGTACTCAAGCCAGCACCCTTGGCTAGTCAGCCACGAGTAGAGAGTCCGCAACCTCAGCGAGCCGCTCCGAAACCCGTCGCTTCTCCTAAGGCGGCTGATTCTCCTAAATCCGCTGCTACCCCTATCTACTCTCCCCGACGAAATCCGTCTTTGAACAGCGGGGTAAAGAGGAAGAAGTCGAAGCAGTCGAAGAAGGCAAAGTCTATGAAGCCGAACCGGAAGCCTGCCGGGGCCAAGTCCACGGCGAAGAGCGGGCCAATATGGAACTTCTCGGATAACATGACTGATCTGTTTAGCGGAAAGCTCTTTCAGAAAATCGAGGTGGACGAAATGCTCACGCCGGACCAGCTGGAGGAATACCGACTACGAAGAATGTCGATAATGAAGTCAGAGAAATCGGCTAAACCGACACAATCCACTCAATCTCTACAATCTAATGAGTCCACCCAATCTACACAATCTACACAATCTACACAATCTACACAATCTACACCATCCATTCAATCCATTCAATCCACTCAATCTACTGAATCGACCCAGCCTATCCCTATCCTATCTGTGAAGTCGATCGAAACGTTTGACACCGAGTCGACCGATACGCCGATCGAGCCCTTTCATCTCGAGGATCTTTCGTCCCGAATTGGATCGGCTGGTGTCTCGCTCGACCTTGATACGCCAACGGAAGATAAACCCATGCCTGCACCATTTAACTCGGCCGCATGGCGGGATATCTCCGCAGATGGGCGAAATGAGCACGACGTCGTCGAGCTTCCGATATCGACATCGGCGTCGGCGTCGGTATCACAGGTGGATATAGGAGAAGAACCGGCACATAATAAAAAAGCCACTTTCCAAACACCACTGATGAGACAAGCTGCACGGTTTGCTGCGCGGAGCCAGAAGATTTCGCTGCCCAGCATCCCAGAGACATCAGCTATCTCGACACCTAAAACGGAACTGTTCATCAGCCATGATCTCAGATATTCCACCAGAGATGTGGTCGCAGATTCCAACTACGTTTTCCTTCAATCATCGCCGTGTTCCATGACCAGCCCTATCTTCCGACACGGCCCGATCCGATTAGCCAAGTCCGATCTGATGGCAGATGTTAAAATAGGGGCGGATGACGGCCTAGACTGGACGGCATTCCAGATGGCCATTTCGGGGGGCGCCGGGGACTGGTTCTCCGAAAGCGATGACACGATTCGCCGCAGGGAGGCGGAAGAAGCGGACGAGATTGTGGAATGGTTTCGAACGTGGAACTTTAGCGGCCCCGGAGAGCTTCTAGACCACCCTATCGAAGCCGACAGCCCGATGAGCATGACGTCGGGCGAAGACGACTCGGAAGCATCGTACAACGAGACGGAGAAGGAAGCCATCTCGTACGGCCAGCATTACGACTGGCAGGCGCCCGAGCAGAAGATGGTGCCTGAAATCCACCAGCCCGACTACGATATATCGGGACTCGAGCTGGATACTTCGAGGATGGGTATGGACGATAACGTCTTCGGACCGCCCAAGGAACACAATAGCCGAGAGAGCTATGCCAGCCTCCCACAGAGCCCGATGCTGGACCTCCGAGTTATTCGAAGCCCGGATGGAGACGACGTAGACGTGGTCCCGATGGGATACAACCTCGGGCACGACCTGGGAGATTTCCTGAAATGGGAGGCAGAACATGCGTACGCCGGGGACTTTTACTAAGGCGTCGATTTGGGTTTGGCCCTCTCCACAACGTTTGCATTATTTGGAAAGCAATGGGATTATACCATGTTTTCCGAACACTACCTAATACCTGCCACGAGAGAGGCTGGGTATGGGTTAGAAATGAGTTTTACGTTGGACTGACTAACTACTATCGCTATCACTACTACTTACTACCTGTTCATTTGTCGTTATACCATTGATGTTTTTTTTCTCTCATTTTTCATTGGAGGGGGCGTTTGGGAGGCACGCTCTCTATTCAAAACGAATTATTCAAGGATCGGATTACTTATTGGATTAAGCGGAGCGCGGCGCTGGGAACGATTTGGCTATTTTATTTTATTCCTTCTTTTTTTGTTTCTTATTCGATGCGAACAAAATCGGATGTACTTTTATAGTTGTGCAACCAGGAACTGTAAATGTGTTATACTGGGGATCTAGGAAGGCTGGTCTTAGTGGAATTTACATTAAAGAGGTTATTTCTAGGAAGAGAGGAAGAGGTTAGGTACCTACCTATGGTAGGTTAGGGGGGGAAGGAAAGGGGGGAGGAAAAGAATGCTTCGGGAAACTTACGTGGTTCATGTTCGGGCAGTTACGATTCTGTCCGTTACACTCAAATTTGGAATTTTGTTAAATATCGAGTTCATCTTCCAAATCCATACCTTCACCTTTTACAATCTGCTTCCACTTCCACTTCCACTTCCTGGAGCCGTGAAACTAGATCGATCGCCCTGGAGGTGTACGCTCAACCTTCACAAAAGGCTGATTGTGATCTTTCCCCCCCCCTCTCTCTCTCTCCCTCTCCCTTTCTCTCCCTATCGGCATCGTTAGCTGTAGGTATCTAGCTTTTAGTTATAACCTTACAACAGTAAGATATTTTACAAAATATCAACCCTTTTCACCTAGTTCGTCTTTTAGCCTTTTTTTCTTTTCTTTCTTTTTCCATCTTCCAGATGGAACCTAATTTTATACTTGCAGATCGGACATACGGAAACGAACCCTGTTCAGGAAAAACACGTCACCAACCAGAAAGAAAAAGTCAATCAAGAGGGGGGAAATGCTCTATATCTTTCTCCGGGACGCCCTGGCGGGTGCGACCCGCGCGTTAGCCTCCATCTTGTCCCTGGAGAATCCCGCAGCTATGCAATACGACAACTCGACCCTCACTATCACATCCGTCGGCACTCCGGACCCCTTTGTGACCCTCTTCAGAGGCCGCTACTACCTCGTAGGTTGCCAACACCAACACCAACACTACCAACTAAACCTTGCTAACTTTATACCAAGACCTTCACAGCCGGAAACAGGGTCGAAATATGGTCTTCCCCTAGTCTAGCTGATATTGAAAATTCCGCTGCTAGACATGTAATTTGGTATATGCCGATCCCCCCCCTACAGGAAATAATTCTTTCTTCTAAGTTAGCCGCGCTGCTGACTTTACCGTCAGGACTCCTCCACAGGGCACTGACCACTCCGCCGATCTCTGGGCTCCCGAGCTTCACGCCCTTCATGGCCGATGGTACGTCTACTACGCCGCCGCGAACCCGGCCCGCGGGAATAAGAGTCACCGGATGTATGTTCTAGGCGGTCCCCCGGCGTCGGAGGACCCTTGTCGAGGCCAATGGGAATTCTTGGGCCGCATCAACGAGATGCCGGACCATTGGGCGATCGACGGCACTGTGTTCGAGATGAACGGTAAACTGTATTTCGTGTATTCGGGCTGGCCCCTGGACGACCCCGACGACTCGTCGGACCTCATGCAGCAGCTGTACATCATGAAGCTCCAGGACCCGATTAGCGCTGCTAGCCCTGCTGTCGTTATCTCCCGCCCGCAGCACCCCTGGGAAATCACGCGCGAAGGCAACGGTACGGATCACGGCATCAACGAAGGACCGCAGTTCTTGAGCTCTCCCGACGGAGGTATCTCTTGGCAGGGATTAGTCTACTCGTGCGCTGGCAGCTGGACTCACGAATACAAGATGGGGCTGCTGCAGTACGTAGGCGGCGACCCTCTAGATCCGGCCTCGTGGCGGAAAGGCGAAGAGCCGCTCGTCCAGACGCGGAGACACGGTACGGGACCGTTCGGGCCGGGACACGGATCGTTCCTCAATATCGGCGGGCAGGTGGTGGCCATATACCACGCGACCGACAGCCCGACGGACGGGTGGGAGAACCGGCGGGCTCGGGCGCAGCGGGTGGCGTTTACGGACGAGGGGCCGTACATGGGCCGATCGTTCGGGCTAGAACCCGCCCGTCCGGAGGGCGGCGGCGGCAGCAGCTTTGTCCGCAGGCTGAAACAGCGGTTCGGGAGGAGCGGGCGCGGCAAGCAGGGGTTGGCTGGCGAGAAGAGCTTGAAGGCTCTGTTGGGGAATAGGGCGACGTGTACTTAGATATGATAGATGGATAGATGGGTGGATGGATGGATGAGAAAATGAGGAATAGGGAAAAGGGGGGGATGAGAGGACTAAATGACGATGGCAATATAGACTAAAGTTGACAGGTAGGCTAGGTAGATACCTACTACCTAGGTAAACGGAATTATACACGTTTGGAATCGTTGAGTTCTAGAAATGACTTAGGTAGATCCCAGAGGGATGGGGGAATTGGGGCTTTCTTTCTTTCTTTCTTTTTTTATTATTTTATCTGGACAGAAACGAAATCTCAGAAGATACAAACCGCTGAGCCAAAAAGTGTATTTCTTTCTTATTGGCACGCTTGCTATTACAGTCTGTACATCTGACCCTTGACTGAGTGAGTGAGTGATACCACTCATACGAAATTACAAGATGCATTAAGTAACTACTATACTGTGCTGTACTTACCTTGTGAATAGCGTGAAGCTATAGCTACAGCTACAGCTAAAGTAAGCGTGTATGCGTTAGTAGGTAGGTAGGTTAGGTTAGGTAGTGTCACAGGAAACACGATTGTAAATGCCCGGACTCCAGACAGCGTAATCTCGTATGAGGTAAGTATGTGAGGTATATATATCATTCCTACAAAGGCACAATCGGATCTCTCTCTCTCTCTCTCTCTCTTGCCCCCTTCCTCTCTCTTTTTTTTCTGATTTGGGTTAGGTATATACCAGGTAGGGCCACGATAACTATAACCATAAACAACACGAGAAGAAGGGGAAGAGAAAAAAAAAGTAGAATCACCCGTTTGTTTGTTATCTGGTTGGTCACCTATATTGTTTTATTCGTAGAGAGACGGAGGAAGTGTCCTATGGAAGAAGTAATGCAAGTACCTATAGCGAGCAAGCAAATATTGGCGTTGTGTGCAAGTAATGCCTCCTTCTCTCTCTGCCTAGTTCCTATTACATTCATCTGTTCATGCCTCTGTTCGTGTGTGTTTGTGTGCATTTGTGTATATGTGTGTATTCGTATCCATTATCTCCCTTTCCCCTTTCTCGCCTTTCCCTTTGCCCCCTCCCTTCGTGGCGTCCAAGTCGCTGTTGTTCATCCTATCGTCTTATCCAGGCAAAAGCAGTTTCGCTCCAACAAGGGGTAGGTAGGTACGTAAGTCGGTTAGTTATACTCAAGACCCCCCAAAACAAATAATCAATCAATCATCAATGTGCTGCTGTCATGTCATCTCATGTGCTCTCCCCTCCCCTCCCCTCCCCTCTTCTCTCCCCTCTCCCGAACCAAAGCAAAGAATACTTAGGTACCTGATAGTATACCACTTGTGTGTCTGATCTCGCCCCTCGCTTGTACATCCAACCTGCTTGCCCCCTCTTCCCTCGTATTAAACATTATTAAGTGAAGATTACTCGCCTGCCACCGGAAAAACGGAGCCGGAGATGATATGATGGGGGAACTTTCCAAAGTCTACCTAGGTACCTACTAGGTAGCCATCTCGGGGGCGCGACCTCGGTGCTGCTCGCCGTTGAGGCCGCTGTCGGAGTCCAGCACGGAGTGGGCCTGGTCGTCCTCGGGCTCGTCCTCGTCCTCGTACTCGTGGTTGCGGTGCTCGCCGGCCGCGACCCAGGACTCGCGGTCGTTAAGCGGGGCGTCCTGGCCGGACAGGTCGAGCCCTTCGGAGCGGGCCTTGATGTTGTTGCGGCGGCGCATGGAGAGGGTGCGGGCGCGCGTCGACAGCTTGGGGTTCACGGCCGCGTTTGACGACACCCAATTAGTCAGCGCGTCCTCGCAGTCCTGGATGATAGCCTTGCTGGCCTCGTAGCCGTCGTACGCCGCGCGCGTCTCGCCGGGCGTCACGGGCGTGTCGTCGATCAGCTCGAGCAGGTGCTTCCCGTAGCCGGCGATGATGGCGACTTTCTCGCAGTGCTCTTGCAGGGCGTCGAACTGGTAGGAGTATGCCGCCTTCAGCTTCTCGCGCGTGATGTTGGACAGCTGGGCCTCGGCGACGAGTGATTCGGCTTCGGCGCGGACGAGTTCCTGCTCGAGAACGACGATCTTGGGTGAATTAGGCTCTTTGTACTTGAGCTGGGCGATCTGATCGGCAATCTTCTGCTTCCCTGCTAAGGTGTTAGCTGGCTTGGGTCCGGAGGAGTGCTGTAGTGCGGTAGTGCGATAGTGGGTGCGAGCTTGTAGCAACAACGGGCACTTTACATACGGTCTCGGCTAGGCTGTACGGAAGCCTCGATATTCCTGATACTCTTCATAGTCACGCGGTATTGATCGTAGCGATCGACGTACTGGTCCTCGAGTTCGCCGATTTCATAGATGAGTACACCAAGCTTGTCGGTGACGTCAGAGACGTCTTCGTCACCGGCTTCGCCCCAGAGCGAGAGTTGTTGCTAAATAAAACGCATTAGCAGGATTAGCAGCAAGGTATCGTCCGTCCCCGTGAAAAATTGCTACGTACAGCAACCTCCATGCGCTCCTTTGCAACGAGTTCCAAGCTCCTCATTACGTTCTTTTCCATTTTGACAAGTTGGGTTAACTTCTTGGCCAGGTCGGGCCCGAAAGCGCCGGCGGCATTCCGACGGAGCGCATGACCTTGATACATTCATTTTGTTAGTGGACCGGTTGGTTTTCTACAAAAGTTCCATAGGCTGCTGCTATCGATGGAATGGTTACATATCAACAACAGAGGACTGGGAGAAGCTTACCAAATCCGCCTCTTCCGAATAGTCTACCCGACTTCGTGGACGATGGCGGGGGAGGAGGGTTCTACGGGGTAACGAGGTTAACATTATGTCTCCTTTGAAGCGCATTGACCGGAACGGTACGGGCTCTTACTTGAATCTGCGAGGCGGTTGGCGCCCTGGTCTGGCGCATAGAATACGTTCGATGCATGGCGAGAATACGGGATTGGCAAATAATGGTAAGCGGGGTGCGGTGACGCTTGAAAAAAAGGCGGCGTCGGAGGTCACAGCTCTGATGCTAAAGTAAAGATGGTGCAAGAATGCTCGGTAACTTTGGTGGGGAATGGGATGGGACGTTATGGTATGGTATGGTATGTTTTTTTTTCTTTGATGCTCTATGCTTCTCGCTGTTGCTATATTGGACTGGAGCCTGGAGCCTGGAGCTGATATCGGGAATGCGGAATGCGAGAATGCGATACTCCAAAAGGTAAAGAAAATTGGTAAAAAAGAAAAAAGTGCGGATGTAGCTTTTCAGTTCTTTGCGATCTTCGTTTTTTTTAAAAAAAGACGGACGAGTTTGAGTCTTGGGCGATCATATTATACCTAGGTAAGGTACACATACACACCCTTATTTTATTTTCTTTTTTGGTCTTATTTCAGTATTGTAAGAACGGAAGATACTATAAGGCAAGGTGAGGTGAGGTAAGGTAGGTTGGATGGTAAGATGGGAATCATGTTCCAGTGGCCTCATGGCAGCATAGGTGCCATTTGGGGCTCTACGGGTTTTGGGCTTGTTAAGAGCCAAAGAGCTTAAGACAATGGGAAAAGTGGGAACAAAAAAAAGAGAGCTGGTCCCTTGTTGCTACGTCATCACTACCAAAATGCGTTTTCCCAGCTCTTAGCATAATACCCTAGCACTAATACAGTAATCAGGCTAACGGGTAGCGGGTAGCTTCTCCTTAGCTTCGATCTTGTTCTTTGGCCGCCGTCTTCGAAGGTGCCTTCCACTTAAACATTCATTTCGGATCGCATGCGTACAAATTAGCTGTTGTCTAAGAAAGAACTAATAGAACTAATAGAACTAATTACATAATTACATAGTAACTCTCCTGGAGCAATAACGTATGATGCCATTCGACTCGGAAGAATTGCTTAAACAGCAGATAGAGGTACCTAAAGTACCTAAACTAAGAAAATCTTAGCCTGGTGTTATTGTATTGTACATACCTAAGGTTATGTATGCAGCATCACTACATCAGTTGAAGTAATTGATTGAACTAGAACTACCTACCTGGCATGGGCATAATATCAATATCCGGGAAAGATGCTTGCTTAAGACTTTTTATTTTCTAATATGGTCAATAATTGCATCATGTTAACTGTTGTAAGTACCTAAGGGTTTACTTGAAGTACTTGAAGAAGAGCTAAGGGTACGAGCCACAAAAAGCCACACTCCTATTACAAGCGATTAGATAAGGGATCAATTAGTACTATGTAGCAAGCTTAGCTCATCTCGTGTCGTCCTCTTATCGACGCGTCAATCAAGACTTAGAAAATTCACAATTTCTCATAACCACCTAATTAATTAATTCAGTATCGTCGCGGCTTTTTAAAGGCCGTGTTATAAGTCCGTTTATTCAATGCTCTGTTTCATCTGTGATTTAAATATATGACCTAGGCCCTGGTGTTTATTTTATGTAAACCATTCAATCCTATCACCCATCAACCATCGACCCCTTTTAAGTTTATTCTTATAATTCTTTGAAACGCGTTTACATCTGGCCACTCAACAGCCACAATCCCCTCATCCCTCAACAGACAATGGGTGGAGAACTGTCACGTCTACAACATCCTTGGTAGGCTCGAGGACGAGGACGGAGACAGGGACAAGGACAAGGACGAGAACTTGGGGAGCATTTCAGTCTAAAGTTAGGAGGTGAAAACGAAGGGGAGGCTGCGGGCGTGTCGCCTTGCAGCAGATGCTCTACCAAGATGGGGAGTGCCGCTATTGATTTGACCACCGTGGTTTCGGATTCTGATGACTTCAATACTTTGGAATCTACCTCTCAAGAGCAGCCGCAGCCGCAGCCGCAGTCACAATCACAATCACACTTACCGTCGCAATTATCGCAACCGTCGCGACCTGAATCTCAGTCAGGGACACATACTTTGGACAGGTCCCCTAAACAACAAGAGCCTGCATCTATGGAGGATCATTCTATGTCTATTCGTGCTGCCACTCCTCCCACATCCTCTAGGGGATCTGCATCAAAGCATGGGGACCAAGACGACAAAACTGCTTCATTGCCAGTAAGATCAAGCGGCGGCTCGAGGAACGGCCAAGATGGCACGCCTTCGTCGAGTCAGCGTAATCCGTCCACAAGTCATCGGACACCTAAAACGTACACTCCGAGGAAATCTTCCTGGTCCGTCGACGAGGTTGTGGCCGCTTTGCGGGGTTTCTCGGAAGAGATTGGCACAGACGGGGCAAAACTCACTGCTCGTCTAATTCACATGGCCTGGAAAAAGGAAGCGCCCAAACAACAGTTCACGAGCAAGAAAGATTGGTTCGCTGATATGAAACGCGCCCCGTTGGAAGGCATCGGAAAATCATCAGACACGATAAAAATCAAGTATAAGCAATTTGGCCATGGTAGGTCCGGAAAACAGGAGAAGAAAGAAACCCATCAAGTCATATGCATCAAAACCGATGCCGAAAAGGTGCCGTCTTACGGCTTCCATCACGTTGAGATTAGGAAAAATATCCTGTCCCCAAACACCATGCTTACTTACGTTCCCCATCTACGAGATTTAGCAGACAATGAAGAGGGCGTCTACCGCCGCTGGCTGGAAAACTTGGAAAACATGGACAAGACGTCTGGTTTTGCCACGCTAAGTAGGCATCAAAAGGTGACAAAAACTATCCAAAAGGAGCGCGCAACCACCTTGCTATTATATCTCGATTCTTGGCTGGATAGGCTCAGCCTCAATATCGAAAACTGTACCAAGACCAACCTTATCCGCTATATGGCTAGCCAGAGCGATAATGTGACTCCTCAACAAAAATCAAGCATCTTGAACTCATACAACGATGAGCCTGGGTCTCCGCGGTCGGCCAAGGCCGTCAGAATTTTCACAGAGGCATTTGATCGAGTCTTCAACTCGTCTCTCCTGCGCGAACGCGCTGTACCTCTTCGCGACGTCCTCTTGCTAGATAAATCGGTTGATACCATCGTCGATTCTAAGAAATGGATGAAGGACACTCCGAGTCAATCGAAAGTCACCGAAGAGCAGCCGACGGTCGAGTCTTTTCTTGAAACGTACGCGCTGCTCGGTTGCTTAATATGCACCAGCCATTCCTGCGAGCATGGCGAATACGGTGTCGACAACGAACGAAAGCGATTCTCTATTGAGGTAGTTGGCGGCTTGTCGCCTATGATTCGCCAACAGCTTACGCAGAAATCTAAAGCAAAGATGGATGTAAAGCCTTGCGGTGATGACTGCTATTTAAATAAACGGCCGGGAACGCGAGCCCGTGCTTGGAGCGAGAGTGAAGTAATGCTCCTCAGATCTTTTTTCTCGACGTTGAGCAACACCAATATTTCGGTGCAATGCGCTACTTCGGTGGCAACCGGCCGGCCTTGCTGGGATGTAAACCGTCAGCTCGATAAGCTTGGTCTGTTTCTTCCCAGTGCAGACCCTGTGCCGCAGTATATAGTGAAACCATTGCCTTGGTACGATAGGAAAAAGAAGATGCTCATAGGGGACTGGCAAGACCATACCAATACTCACGAGCACCAGAGGAAGGACTGCTTTGATCCATGCAACCACGAAGGACCCTGCACAATGAAGAACTGCAGGTGTGTCCAAAACCGCCTCATGTGCGAGCGCTTCTGCCGTTGTACGGCAGCAATTTGCGCCAGCAAGTTTACCGGTTGCGCCTGTCACTCTCACGGCAAGACATGTGTCTCAAAGCAAAAGGATCGGCCCTGTATCTGTGTACAACTCAATCGCGAATGCGACCCCGTGCTATGTGGAAGCTGCGGCGCTTCCGAGAGAGCCAACCCGGCAAACGCGGATAACGATGCTTTGCATGCCGTTGGGTGTCAAAATTGTGCGCTCCAGCGAGGCAGGTCAAAATCAGTCATGCTTGGGAAGTCTAAGATTGCCGGCTATGGACTTTTCGCCACCGAAGATATTTCCCAAGACGAGTTTGTCATCGAGTATGTCGGCGAGCTTATCAGCCAAGATGAAGGTGTCCGTCGCGAGGCGCGTCGTGGAGACGTATTTGACGAGTCATCTAATTCGTCATACCTCTTTACCTTGCTAGAACAGGAAGGCATCTGGGTTGACGCAGCTATCTACGGCAATCTCAGTCGGTATATTAACCATCAGGAGACCAACTGCAATGTCACCCCGCGAATCCTTTACGTTAATGGCGAATATCGCATCAAGTTCACATCTTTGCGAGATATAAAGGCCGGGGAAGAGTTGTTTTTCCATTACGGCGAGAACTTCCCAAATCTGACTAAGAAGCTTTTGCAGGAAGAGAAAGCCGAGAAGAAGCGACGTAAAGCTAAGGAGCAGGCCCGCAAGAAGGGCCAGGACGATGCCGAAAAGCCGAGGAAGAAACCCGGCCGCAAGCCAGGCAGGAAACCGGGGCGTAAACCGGGGCGTAAACCAAAGAAGACCTTTGCTAAAGTCGAGTCAGAACCGGAAGACGACGAAGAGGCTCTTGAACCCTCGGAAGAGCCACGCCCTAGCATCAATATCGCTAAGGGACGTAAGCGTAAGCGTGAATTCATCGAGGAAGAAGAGCCGGACGAGCGCGAGTATCGCCCTGGGACTGATTCTCACGACGATGTGATGGTAGATGTCGACGAGGAATCGCCTACTCGTAAACCTTCACGCTTAAGAAAGCGGTTAGGAGCAGCCCCCAGAGCTAGAAAGAGTTTCCCAGCACTAGCTACCAGGCGCGAACAAACTGACGAAGCGTTAGACGAAGACAACGAACTTGAGTTAACGCCGAAAAGGCAGCGTAAGAAGCCACGAAGACTCCTTGACGATGCTACATTAGAAGAAATTGACCTAGCCTTGGTGACAGAGAGCAAACCCACACGTACACCAAAGCGCCGTGGCCGCAAGCCAAAGCATATTAAAGAGCAGGAGATGCGTGAACAAGAAATGCGGGGGGAAACAATGCGAGAGAAAGCAGCCAGCGGTGGTGAAGGAGACACGGTTTTTATAGGGGGTGGTGCGCAGACTCCCGGCCAGGGCAGCGCTTCAGGCGGCGCTCAAGGAAGCAGCCGTTTTAGGCACACGGAAGCTAGGCTTGAGCTCGACTCGGACTCAGGCGCCAACGAAGGTACGCCATCTCTGACGCAAACACGAAAACCGACCAAAGACGCGGTAGAATCGAGCCCGCTATCAACGCCGGACTCGCGCATCATATATCCCGGGCTCGACCTGTCCGACTCGGACGTGCGGCCGGTGTCGAGAAGAAGCCGCGCGAGGAAAGGCGCAAGCGGCGACGACGAATATAACGGCGGAGACTGGAACGATAGCGACGGCGTCAGACGTGCCGGCGGTAATACCGATGACAGCGACGATGACGATTTGCCGATCGACCGCTCGCGAACCAGACGCAGACCGGCTAGGTACGACGACTAGCCGAGGTGTTCTCTTGCCGATTGATTGATTTTATTTGGCTGATATAGATTTTGCCTCATGGGCCCTTCGTCAAAGCAGCAAAACTTTCTGCTTTCCGTCTGATATTGGCGAGGCTCGAGAGGGCATCTCCAGCACAAGCAAGCTACCTCGGCCTAAGTGCCCTAGGTATAGGTACCTACCTACCTAACCTAGTAGAACGCGGTGCTTGTACATACCTCATAGTATTAGCATTCCAGGGGGGGCGGGGGCTAGCCGTAGAGATAGTTCTAGGTAGCTTTCTGCTCGCTATGAGGTTATTTTAAATGCTCTGAAGACCGAGTAACTAGTAGTCAGTACAGTACAGTAGTAATTCAACGATGCACTTTTCCCCAACAACTTGGTAGTAGTTATTGTAGATGAGAACTGATGATATATAGGAGGTAGCTAAAGTTGGGTAGGAGGTAGGTACCTCTAGGGGAGCATTAGGATTGGCTACAATATAAACTGTTTAAATCGAGTCGGAATATGGCTATGGTAAGTACAAGAATAACTTACCTTACCTTACCTTAGGTAACTTCAGATCACTCGCACATGATACAGCCTAAAATATAAAATACCTTAGGTTAGGTACATACCTGGTAATATATAGTACATACAACGAAAAGGCCACCCAGGGTTTCATAAACTAACTAAACTAATCCCTAATAACTGCTTGCTTTGTTTTGCCTGTTCAGGACCATCTGGTCCCCCCCTTAATAACTAATGCGCGGACCCCGAGCATACTCATTCGTAGTAAATTAACCTAGTTAACCGAAACCTTGATACTGTACACAATAACATCAAGGACTGTACTAATTAGCAACGCGCCATCCAACCCTTTTCCTTCCTTCCTTGTCCTTCCTAGAAACAAGCGAAAGGAATCAGATCCCTTCCCAAGCACCCTATCCCGTCGGGGCATAAATAAACAATAGACTTCATCGGCCCCAGCTAATTCTCGCCAAGTGTTCTTCCTCAAGCAGAACCGTTTCTGGTTTGCTCTCGTTTGCAAGGATTGCTACACCCTCGCCTCCCATTCCCATGGCACAGACTGCCTTGAGGTTAGCCTGACTGGGCTAAGTTCGACTCTGGTGTCAGGCTTGCCGCTAAAATCTGTCCCTTCCCTCACATACCGCAGTTTTCCTTTGTCTTCTAGCGGCCGTGTGTCGAAATAGGAGATAGGAGAAGGCCCGTAGGCGTAAGGATGCATCTCTGGTCCATACTCTAACCCTTAGGGTCCTTCAACTCGTTTCCATGTAAAAGTAAATTCATTCGTACGATTGCTCCACCAGGAATTTCTCTTGTGAAGCCTTCCATCGAAGGTTTTATACGCTCTGGGGGTATACGGCGGCCGGCTAATGAAAAGAAATGTCAGTCATACTGTAAACACGTTTATAGATGGGCTTTGAAGCATAAGCTATCACGTACCGGACTGTTTAGCATATTGTTCCGCTTGTTTCGACCTTTCTTGATATGACTCTTAAGCGCAGAAGAATCGAGCGGTTTCAAAAGTTCGAAACTGCACAAAAGTTCCGCAGAGACAGACATGACAGCTCCCCAATTATCAAATTCGCCGCAATACTAGCACATAGATAGTCAGTATATAGTGATATGAATGTGCGGTGTATCCTTACGTTGGGTGCGCTAAAAACAGTAACCAAAACCCTATCGTTAAAAAATTCGTAGCCGTCCTCGACGACCATATGCGCTCGACAGACGAGATCGAAGTCGTGGGTAGCTAGGAAATCGGTAATAACCCTCTTTCCAAAACAGTAGCTGACACCTCTCTCATTTGCCTCCCAGTCTGCTTCCATATCGGCTGGATCGGACCATAGTAAGTCGTTGAGGAGACCGTAATCAGGGACGTCGGTAGGACGAGCAATGTTACGGATATCATCCATATGGCTTAAGGCCGGAGACAGCCCACCGTGAACGCAGAATATCTTTCCCGCGACGATGGCGGCGATCGGCAGCGTGTTGAAGCAATCAATGAACGTCTTCCATATCTTAATGTTGCACCTTCGCTTGCATTCGTCGTAAAACCCGTAGACCCTCGTAACGTTGGCACATTCGTGGTTCCCCCTTAAGAGGAAGAAGTTCTCGGGATACTTGAGCTTGTAGCACAGCAGAAGTAGGATCGTTTCCAAGGATTGCTTGCCCCTATCGACATAGTCTCCAAGGAAAAGGTAGTTCGCACTCGGCGGAAATCCGCACATCTCGAACATTCTGATCAAGTCGGTATACTGGCCGTGGACGTCGCCGACAATCTTGACAGGCGCATCAAGCTCCAGCAGCGCGGGTTGGGATAGGAAACATTCTCGCGCCCTCTGGCAGATAGCAACAATCTCGGCATTCTTGAGGCACACGCTCTTTGTTACCTTCCCAGCATATGCCGCGTCCAGCAGCCGCTTGATAAAATCATCGAGGTCGATATCCTTGATTTCGCTCATAGCGACTCCGGCAGGCGAATCATCCTTGGAGGGTGTTCCCGGCACAGATATAATAGGGTTGATAGTATTCTCCTTTTTGACCAAGATAGGCGCTCCAGGTTGCTGCTGTATATGGGGATTCGGGCTCCCGGTCCCGGTGGGCGGCTGATCGGAGACGTGGTCCACCTCGCCAGAAGCCTGGGCAGCGTCTATGTCGCCATGACCAGCTCTAATGGAAGCAGACTGGACTGGAGAAGGAGGTGGTTGGTTATCATCTAGGTACGAGTTACTTGCGTCTGGCGATCGCGGGGATGATGGGGAAGCGACTGAGTCAGCACGGCTAGTCCTCGATTTACTGCTCCGCGCAGATTTTACAGACGCCGCGTCCGATTTGTCTCCGACAGCATCTCCGTTAGATATGATCGCCGAGCTTCGTGGACTATCCGTCTTCCCGCTTCCAGGAATTTTTGATCGGAGATTCTTAAATGAGCGGCTAGAATCCTTGGTCTCCGATTTTCCAAAGGAGGGATACGTTTGCAAGTTTTCGGCGCGGTCTCCGGAAGATGCGCCCGAGCCTTTGCTCCCCCCCTCTTTAGACGCTTGGTTTCCCATCGTCTCGTGCCCGATATCGACAATGCTCGATAAATATCAATCCAGTCTCGCGATGCAGAATATTATTTTTTTGTTGATGTACGCGGAAGCAGAAACCTTAAATAGAAGGCCCAGGCGCCCGCCGATATGTAGGTCGTAGGTCAACGATAGGTTGAATGGTATTCTTCGTCAATGTCCAGCTCGCTGCTAGGGAGGATGGAACAGCCGGTCAAGGACAGAGAGGAGGAGGGCGGCGGAGGAAGTGGGAGCCGTTTTGTTCTCCGTCTTTGTAGCTAGGGCGTAGAGTGAGCGCCAGTCTTTCACAGGTGTCGGGGAGTTACGGGAAAGGACGACGAGATATAGGATGGGGTAGGATGCTGTCGCAGTCAAACGGGCACGATAGGAACCGAAGGTATGACCAGCAGTGTTGCGTAAGAGGCTATGCTGGCGAGGTTGAGGCTGGAGGTAATGCAATTAATCTAAATTGTAGGTCGGAAAAATCAGCGACAGGGCCCATGCGGATTGAAGTTGTACATGTATGAGGGTCGGCAGTTGATCAGATTGAATCCGGCGGGGGGGTTTGGAAGCTGGGGAAATTGATTGCAACTGTCAGGTTAGGCCGGGGAGTTGCGGAGGAGAGAAGATGAGGTAAGAGATGTGCGTTAGGTAGGGAGGGAGGCAAGTTGATAATAATGACGATCGCGAAGGTTTGGGGCCGTCTAGTATTATTTTGGTTCCGGTTAATAATTTTTTCCCCCTTTTCTCCTCTCTTTTTGGGGGGGTTAATACATACACGATAGTAAAGGAAAATGCGGGGAGAAAGCTGTTCGTCTACTTCGTCTGAGATGCGGCAAACGGTGCAGGTGATGAGTAAGGTTAAAAAAGGGAAGATAAGACATAAGACATGGGACAATAGGTATCCCAAGAGAAGGGCTCTGGGGGTCAGAAAGAACGTGCTAGACTCTGGTGGAGCCTTTGGTAGCGATGCCAAGCAACCCCAAGCAACGAGGGTTACCGTCTCACCGTACATATACATACAGTATTAGGGTAGTTTTTAGGGTACCTAGCAGATAGGTACATGCGTCTCTAAAGTGTGGATGCTTGTAGCTAGCTACCTACATAAGGTAAGGTAAGGTCTAACGTATGCGGCGGTATGGGTATGGGTATGGGTACGGATATGGATATGGATATGGATATGGATGTCAGGTAAGTATGGGGATATGTACGAGTGATGTATGATTATATGTAGATGTAGGTACCTAACCTATCCTAAGGTAAGGGAGATGGAGATGGTGGTGGTGTAGAAGAAGCATGGAAGCATCAGAAGCGTGGGAAATGCAGAAACGATCACCTACCTGACATAGGTAATGTAATAGGTATGAAGAGAGCCAGCCTGATCGGATTGTTATACAACGTCAGGCTATGCGCAAGGTTAGCAAGGTTCGTTTTTTATCTTATATGTGCGCGGCTCGCGACAGACGTTATTAAGTGTGTAGGACAAGGGGCGCGTCCCGCCGTACCTGTCTGTGTGTCCCAAGGTTCCAAATATCCCGTGGGTGACGGGGACGACAGGTAATGTGACTTTATCTAGGATAAGGTTCCGGTTTATCTACTCTCAAAGGAGCAAGCCGGTTGGATCGGGGATCGGGGATCGGGGTTGGATGATGGATGCAACAACGTTGAAATTCTGGGCTTGGTGACAAGTTAATAAAGTTGGAAGAAGGGTTTGCATAGGTTGAAGGGTGAAGGGAAAGAAGGAAAAGAATAAATTGTGCGCTTGTCGAGGTTGCCGAGACGTATTAAAATAACGGATGAGAAAAAAATTAAGAGGGGAAGGGAAGTTGTAGTCGGCGTCGAGCAGATCATTGATAAATAAAATAGATATTGTCCAGATGAGATGCACAGACGTGACTGCCTTGACTTTCCATGTGTGCTGATAGGTTAGGTTAGGTAGGTATTTGTGGTAACTACCTCCCTTAAGATGGTTACACACGTTTTACCTACCTATTACCTATCTAAAAAATTTTAGGTTTAGGTTAGGTACCTACCTACCTAGATAGTATGTGTAGTACTAAGTACATTAATATTATTCTTAGTCGGGAACCGCTGCTTCCACTTCGAATCATCCGCGACACCGTCCGACTGGCGGCGGGACGTATTGTTAGGTACAATACCTACCTACCTTCCAGACCGCTATATAAATCTTTTAGGAGGGGCTTCTCCGTTCCGGCTCGAGTCAAGCTGTTCCCAAGGTTACCCAACTCCATAACTCGTACGTATATCGTATGTACGAGAGTGGATTCCCTCATCCTACTGGTAACAAAGGAAGCTCCGAGTCGTCGGTTTAGTCGTTTATCATGCTCGGGGCTCATTTGCGACAAAAGAATAATCAAATTGTTGGTGTGGGGTTAAATTGTCAACGTTGACGATAATACGTCCGACTCGATAAGCCACCCTGCCAGGTACGGTAGGAGGTTCAGACCTTTCTTCCCCTCCCTACCACATACGACTTACATACGACTTCCATAGAATAAATAGAACGGTCGTATTCTACTTGTGTAACACCTCGTTGGACATATGATATCCGTGGACGAGCACCTTCGAATGGCACGGCAGAGCGGGCATTTCAAGTAGATCAATGTGACATGCAGACGGGAGCCATCTAGTAAGATGTGCTGAACTCCCCAATGAGAAAGAGCCTAACGCCGCCGATCAGGCAACGCGATGGCACCTACTGCAAAGATCTCATATCGGAGCCCGGCTTTTGTTCGTCCCTTTGATTTGTATTTTCCTAAACCGGACAGCGACGGTTGATTCTCGATGTCCGATAGGTACAGTCACCATGTGCCGTTTCTAGTTGCTTACCATGTCTTATTTGCATTAGGTTAGGTATATATAAGGTAGCTTACAAGAACGAGTTCGTATCTCTCCACACTTACTACGTGGAGTACGTAACGGCAGTGAACCTCGACATCATGATCCTTGGCGGTGGCGACTTCAGGCAACCCGGTAACGTTGGTAGCATCGCTGTATCGCTGCATCACAAGCAGCCCATCGTAGTCTTTTCAACCGCCTTGGCCTCTGCTTGTCAGGTCTACCTACTTGGCACCTATAATTCCAACTTCGGCTGTAGTTTCTATTGGACTTTGCTAAAAGCTTGACACTGCAATTAATACCGGTATCGTGGCAGTTGCATACACGCCAGGCCTTTAGCAAGTCTAGATTGATTAGCCAAGATCACGTCCTAAGGAAGAAGCACTTAGCACGTCGTCTCCTTTTAAGTAGACAAGTAAAGGGTCCAATAGGAATTTGTTGCGCGAAGTCCTCTCGCGTGTCACAAAGTTATTAGACGTCTATATCACGCGTGGGATAATGCTATAAGAATACATCAACAAGCCGCTCAAACCGAGCTCCAAGCATCCTTCATGTATCACTGACATGCACGCGACAGCTCGACGGTAAGGGACCGGACAATTCATCATGCCTTCGGTGTGAACTCCTCCGGGAACGGAAAGGTAACCTTAAAGCTCACAGAGGTTGATACCTAGGTAGCGCACGGTCATCTTAAGGTGGTACTAGGTAGTCAAATGTCGGGTTTAGCAACACTATAAGCCCCACGCTTATAACAGTCTTAGGCCAGTGCCTCGTCTCGTCTACGTCTTCCGCTATCAGGCCATCGTGGCAGCGGTTAGATCCTTTAATAAATATTGATTGGATCGTCGGGTAGGGCGATTGGGACTAAGTATCACAGCAGCCGCAACGGGGAGATACCGCTTGACAGCTCCTATATTGAGAAGCTCATTGACGGGTGATAAATGATAACGAAGGGTTTAGGATAAGGTAGCCTCGGCTTGCTCATAGCATTGCCTACACCCGCAAACGGCTCCGACGTGCCCCGGTCCGTCGATGTATTCCGGATCGGGAAAGCTTGAGGTCAGTTGCCAGAGTTCTAGAACCTTTCCACCTTTTAACCAGAATGGGGTAGGGCTGAGGAGTTGGTACTATTTCCGAGACTCGATCTCCTTTCTCAGGTCCGGAAACCGATAGCACAACTTACAAGAGCGACACCCTATTACTATCTAAAAATTCAGTTGCCCGGAGAATTTATTTTGCTTGCTTCAACTCTGAGATGGGATTTGGCGGATTTCTTAAAAAGGTACTTATGTACCTAGGTACCTTACGTATTACTGCCAACCAATCCGGCCTGCCAACCAAACTTTCAAGCTTCCTATTTTTAGGATAACTCCAGTTGAGATCCGCCCCGCGACCTACCCTAGAGAGCCTAGCAGGGCCCCGCCAAGGGCCACTAACTAAGCCCCAGCCACATCTACAGAGCTGGTATAGGTGCTAGTTAGAACTTTAGCAGTAATGGTTCGGCTGGGAACAATAGCCTTTTTGCACCAAGTTTCAATTAAGTTGGTCTTTCCGGATCCTCCTTTCAATCCTTCTCGTTTCCGTCCTTACAAGACAGCATCCTTTTTTTTTGTTGCTACATGGCTACGTGGCTACGTGGCTACATAAGGTTATGTGATCTAGACCCTTGCGTCTTGTTTTTCTTATTCTTCTTGTTCGCTAAAATCTAAACTGTCCGCGAAAAAAAAAAAAAGAATTGCTAGGTTTAAATATGTGTCGCGCAAGTTGTGTGAAGATCTTGAGAATACGTGTGTGTGCATGCATGTATGTCTTGGGGGCAGTGGACAGACGAAAAGACACGTCAAGGGCATCGCCTCACCGGTATCTGAGGAAGCTGGTGTGTGTTAACGCCACAACGTTCTGGTAGTTGAACATGCGGGACGCACACAATAATAATATGCCCTAATCCAAAGAAATCGATCTTCATAGAACTAACTCTAGCCACATGCTGATCAACATTTCCAACTGAGCTTTTTTACACACGAATCTGTGTACGCGTCCCTGACCATTTTATGCTTCTCCACCACCTCTTTTTTGCTTTATTTGTGTCACCTACGTCAGGCTGCACAAACTGTGTTTGATTGCCGCGGCAGACAAACGAAAATGCTTCCGTCAGTTGTGTCGACCTTTACTATGTACCTAATGTGATAAGAGTACGTACCTAGGAAAGTGGCAGAGTGGTTGGGAAAGGTACGGCGTATCTACGCGAGTTTGAGTTTTACTAGGGCCCCTAGTCAATAAGCTGGGCAGGACTTGCGATTTGCCCTGTAGCGAAATGTTTAGCATGATGTCTGGTTCCAGCGGAGAAGTGTTGGCAGCGTTGGGCATAAATGGTAGGAAATGGGTGGTCAATCAAAATTTCATGATTAATTTTATGTTCATCTATTTTACCTATGTTCATCTCTTACATAACTTAGTACCAACGTACTATGTATTCTGTGTACATAATGTACATCGGACATTAAACAAACAAACAAACTGGAAATAATCATCATCGTACCTTTGAAGTACAAGACTGTGATATTACGACAATAGGCTACCAAGATGTCACTTTTTGTTTTTCGCATTTGTTTTTTGTTCGTACTAGGTTAGGTACTTACTTATGTGGTGGGGTAACATCCCGTCCCATTGGTTCAATTTAGAGCGGGGCTGAGTATCCCCTGGACAACTTTTGGTGTTATCGATGGGTGGGCTGACGTCGACTTGAAAGGGTCCCCCCGCCCGCACTAGAAGGGCCGGAGGGCTGGTTTGTGCAGCTAGGTAGAAACTGCGCCACGCTTGCTTAGGTTTTGATCAGTCAAGTCCATTCAAAGTTCCTTCTGATCGTCCCCTGAGCGTAATAAATACAACCGTCTTACCTCTTTTATTCACGTATTGCTGTTACGACTTTATTTATTCCCCCCCTTCGCGTAAATTGGGTTGGTCGTTGTTTATTTTCCCTTTTTCTTCCTCCATCTTCGACCCTTAATCAACCCATCAAATCCATATAAGCCTTAGGTATCGTATCTACTTTCGTTTAGATCCTAGATCAACGGCTTGCATTCGTTAAATCTACAAGCGACTCAAAAAGCACCTAATTTTTGATCCCTCTCGGTCGCACATAGACTGGTATACATCATGGGTGTTGGAAGATATGTATGCGTGGCTCTGCCATTCATATTAACCGTGGGCAGCATCGTCGCTTTGCTGATTGCTGGTCTCACCGGTGTTACCAATAACGGCCTATACATTTTCGAACTCGATACGAGGAACGTTTCTATCGATGCCAGTACCGCCCAGAGTTTCCTCGGCAACCTTACCAAGGCCGCAAACCTAGGAGATAGTATAGATAATATAGGGGATCAGGTTGACACCGCCGTAAACAACGCCCACAAAGCTGTCAGCCAAAATATCCACAATCACGATAATCAAATAAACTCCCGCTCGCCCGCCCCGCAAGATGCCTCGGATGTCTCCAGTATTATCGGCAGTCTTACCGGTTCCGGCGACAATATCACCGCCGCTGAGCTTGGCATCGACAACATCTATCAATTTACCCTTTGGAACTACTGTGCTATATCGTCCGATGGTTCTAAGAACTGCACCAAGGCTAAGTTCAACTGGGCCGAAGAGGACCTCAACACCTCGTGGGTCGATGAATTTGGCAAGCAGCTTGGTGGTAACATTACCATTCCTGACGAGGTGAACGACACTTTGGACACTTTCAAGACCCTCATCAAGTGGACTGAAGTCGTTTATATCATTGCCATGATTGGGCTTGGTCTCGAGTTAGCCGTTGGTCTGTTCACCGCTTGCTCCCGCCTAGTTTCATGCCTAACTTGGGTTATTTCTGGTTTCGCTACTGCCTTGGTTATCGCCGCTGCCTCTATGATGACTGCGCTAGCTGTAGTCGTCGTCGGTCTAGAGAAGAGCTCCTTGGACAAGTATGGCGGAGAGGCCCACTGGAACAACAACTTCTTAGCTTGCGTCTGGATCGGTGTTGCCTTTGCGCTCGGTGCTAGCTTTTTCTGGCTCTTCTCCGTCTGCTGCTGCAAGCCCGAGAACCGTCCCTACAATCGGGGTTCGGGATACGGTGGAGGCGAGAAGTTCGCTCCTAGCGGCTCGTACGCGCCGCTTGGTGAGAACCACAACACCGGATATAACAGCTATAGCGCCCCTCAGCGTGGCGGTGCTCGCTCGGACCTTGCTTACGAGCCCTACTCTCACGCCCATTAAATATAAAGGATAGACAATTTACAAAGAGGTGGATGGTTACAGATGTGTAAATTTTGCGTTCTGCTGGCGTTTAGGCCTGGGTATGACGAGATTGGATGGTGGTTACTGCAAAGGTTATTACTGGAGATACCTACGAACAGGGTAGATTGCGTGGTTTTCTGTTGATGGGAAATATCACAAATTATCGCGATATCACTTCGGAATATAGTGGCTAAAGATGAATGCCTTCATATAGGAGACAAGCTATCTATGCATTTATTTAAGACGCTGTTTCCCATCCGCAATACATAGTATAAATTTGTTATGTTTCGCTCTCGTGTGTGAAGATGTGGTGAGCTGAGCTGAGCTGAGTTGTCCTTGGACAACATTGACTATCGGAACAGGTAGCTTGAAGATGTGCATGTGTTGCTAAGCCATTTTGGCCGGAGCGGTGTAGTTGAACTGGAGCCGGGAGCACGTGGCACAAATGATGTAGATGCTTCATGCTGGTGACCCAGCTTGGCGGATATCTGGCTGCTACGCTATAGACCCTTACACTAATCCTTAATAGGATCCATTAGGTTGCAGGGACTAAGCTACCTAGGTCTAGGTGTGTATAGAGTTTAGCAGTTCTACAGTTAGGTAGTTGAGCGTTGTAACATGTGGCGTAAACTCGGGCTACTACATAATACTACCTACAACACTTCCGCAACGGCCCAGACTTTAAAGGGTGTATCGCCGTTTAACTGAATGCCTAGTAAAATGGATGTTCACAAAAGTCATGAATGCATTTAAGAGTAAGGCAGGTTTTAGCTTATGCACGTCTTCGTGTAACAACCTAAAATTTATTCTCAAGACAAGGTTATGTATTTTATTATTCACTCGCACATGGAAATCACGACGAGTACCCAATCAAACCCGATGTCTCGCGAGGTAAATACAAATCCATTTATTTATTTATTTTTCCTCATTCATTCATCGTGCTTTCATATACTTCGTATACATCACTACCTAACTGCCAACTTATACCACTTATTACATCCATTTAATTTGCACGCATCATATACTAACCACTAATATAGCTGGCCACCTACGGCAACCTCCACAGGGAACATGTATTAAATCCCATCACGGCCTTGGCCTTCTATACGTCGCAGGCCAATGGACAGGAGTACTTACTAGCTGGGGAAGACACCGACATAAAAATATATCATGTTCAAACCGCCCGCTTTTGCGGCCAGCTACCAATATTCCAGGCCCAGTCTATCCACGGAATCTCCGTGCCGTCTCTGGATGCATCTAACCAGCCTCATCTGATTCTCGTCTGGGGTGGACATCATGTCAAGGCCCTATCGAATGAGATAATCGAAGATATTCTTCTGGGCCGTGATCCCAAGCTGGATTCGACGAAAAATGTCGAAGCCAAGGCCCCTGATTGGATTTTCGACGGGAGGATCTCACCCTTTGGCGACGGACGTATCGTTCTACTTACTGCCCACAACGAAGTTATTCAGGCAGATGTAGACAAAGACCAGGGCTCTATCATCTTCAATTGTATCCAATCACCTTCAAGACCTATTTTATATTCGGGCAACTTCTTCTGGGCATCAAAGGACTGCGTACTCGTGGCTGCCGGAACAGTATTTGGTGAGATCGTTGTCTGGAAATGCTACCTCGAAACCCCAGAATCAAACCAGAACTGCGAGGTTTCATTCGTATTCACCGGCCATGAAGGCTCTATATTCGGGGTTCATATTTCCCCCGAGATCCAAACTTCGCAGGGAGAGACACTGAGGTTACTAGCGAGCTGTAGTGATGATAGGACCATTCGAGTCTGGGACATTACCGAAAGAAACGGGAAATCCGAACACCAAAACCAGAAGGGATACGAAGACCATATCTCTGAAGCGCGGGAGACGGGATTCGGTAATAATACCGAGGACACAGCTCACGACGACCGGTCGGCAAGATGCTTAGCTACCGTCATGGGACATGCATCAAGAATATGGCAAGTTGAATTTCCACAATTACAGCCGTTATCCACGAACTCGGATGTCGTTGAGCTCTACTCATTTGGTGAAGATGCCACGGCGCAGAAATGGAAACTTTCTCTAGATACCGAGACTCAGGGGCTGGATGTCTCAAAGACCGCCAAGTTGACTCACCAATCTACTACATCAAACCACAGTGGGAAACATATTTGGTCCCACGCTATAACATCTACGGGCGACGATATCCTCGTTGCAACCGGCGGTGCCGATGGAAAAATCGCTATAATAGGAGCTGGTGTAAGGTCTCTATCACCAGGAGTGATAGGCGGTGACCAGACGAAGCCCACTAGTATAGTATTAAATGGAAGCAAAAGCGTTACGTGGTCTCTATCAGATGTAATACAGTCTTCTCAGACCAATCATGCAACGGCCAGTCTTGAGGAATCAAACGGCATCTCGACCCCTCTAGCCTTACCTTCGCAGGGCGCCAAACCGAAAAACGCAAGAGAAGGGTTCAACCGTTATACGTTCATCTCCGACAGTCGACTGCTCGCCGCCACAAATTCAGGCCGAATATTTGTTGGCTTTTTTGAGGATGGACTCTCATGGGCTGAGCTAACCCTCCCTAATGAGACTGGCCAGATAGTCTTTTCTCACCCTTTCCTCGGAGCATCGACAGCCGATCCTATAGCTCTCGTTGGTACTAATGGTGGTGAAATTTACTATTATGGCGAATTAGGGGGGCCATCTCTTCAACTCATGACTAAAGTGGATGGGAAGATTGCGGATATCTTCTGCCTATCTAATGCCAGCGTGATGGCTGGTCACAAGCATGTGGATTTTCTCACTACTATCCTGCGCAGTACCAATGCTATCCTCACTCAATTTGATCCTCATAATTCGGCGCTAAAACATACAGAAGTCGCATTAGAACCAGGGTTTATGGTTACTGCTGCTACATTCACTCGGGAGTATCTCGTGCTTGGGTCTAGGAAAGGGGTTATCGCTGTCCTTAAACGAGACGATGATGACAAATACTCGCCCATTTCTACTATAGAGGTGCATAGAGACGAAGCAATCACATCGATACTCCCACTTGGCCATAGTGATGGCCAACCACAAAGCTACATATTAAGCACGTGTCGCGATGGGAGATATAGGATCCATGAAATCCCAACAACGGCTAACCAGCTCGACGCCATACTGGTCCATGAGATATTGCCGCCATTTGTCTCGTCCATCGAGGGGGCTTGGTTCTCCGATAACGGCGATGGAACCAAGGATCTCATGCTCTGCGGTTTTCGGAGTAGCAATCTAGTGGTCTGGAACGAGACCCTGCGCCACGAAGTCGCCACCGTCGATTGCGGAGGCTCGTCGCGAAGCTACGCTTGGACTCCTTTGAGATACCGACATGATGGGTTTCGATTTGTATTTACTAAGGCGGGGCAGATGCACGTCTTCTCGCAGATATGTGCACCTCACAAGACCCTCAAGGCGGGGGGTCACGGTCGAGAAATTAAGGCGGTGAGCGCCTCTACAGGACGCTATATTGCTACGGCTGCTGAGGACACTGTGATACGGATATGGGAATACGATGACCAGCAGCAGCAGCAGCCCAGCCACGGCAATAATGATACGAGGCTACGTTGCGTTGCGGCTCTAGAGAGGCATGCTACGGGTATTCAAGCTCTGAAATGGTACAAAGATGAGTACTTATTTAGTAGTGGTGGCAACGAGGAATTCTTCGTATGGAAGATTAATCGGCTGCAATGTAGCGACTTTAGCGGGCTTGCCGTTGTATGCGAAGCTGTGTTCCCTGACCGATCCGAGGTGGGAGACGCGCGCATCACAGATTTTGACGTGTCTTGCACTACAAGCGACGGAGAAGGCGAATGTGAATTTGTCATATCTATGGTCCTATCAAACTCGACGTTGCAGACGTATACCTACAACCGTGTATCAGGGTTCCGTCTACTAAGGAGAACAACGTATACAGGAGCTTGTCTTACACAAGTACGCCAGTTGGATAACGACTATGTCTTGACTGCAGCTACAGATGGATACTTGGCTATCTACTCCAAAACAAAACCCGAAGGTGATGTGGAAAGTCCAAGCAAGACCGACGCTGCGCTGGCCGTCACGAAATTACACCAGAACACTATCAAATCTTTGGACGTGCGCCAAGTAGCTACGCTCCAAGCTGACGGTGGTGCCTCGGACTACCTCATCGTAACAGGCGGCGACGACAACGCGCTAGGTGTCACGCATATCCGTATTTCTTCCTCTCCTATATCTTCTTCCTCCGAGTCCCGAAGAGACGACGCGGCGGCCGTTACGATCAAGAGCAAAGCTATCATTCGCTCCGCACACGCCGCGGCTATTACGGGCGTAGCCTTTGCGCACCTGGATAGTGATAGCGCGCTCGTGGTTACGGGGAGCAACGATCAACGCGTTAGGATCTGGCGGCTCCTTGGGTGGCAACAGCAGCAGCAGCAGCAGGTAAGGGCGCAGTTGGTCGATGAGCGGTATAGCTCCGTTGCTGACGCGGGCGATTTGGATGTCTTTGAGGGTGAAGGCGAGGGCGAAGAGGGAGAAGGGACGGAAAAGCGGAACAAAAAGAAAGTGATAGTGGTCGGCGTCGGCCTTGAGATCTGGGAGTTGGAGGTATGAGGTACTTACTATATCTTACTATATGGGACATGAAAAGGGGGTTGAGATAAGTTGCTGATGGTAGGGGTTAGAAACTGTGACTACCTAACCTAACCTAATCTAAGGTACTGCTTCTAGCTGTGTCTTCGTATTACCTGTCTAGGTATCTTCTACGTGACCCAGAGACATGTCTGCCTGTCTGTCTACCTTACCTGAGGCAGGTACTAGGTAGGTTAGGTAGGTTCATAGCAATGGATCTCGTTAGTTTCCATGCCACACAGTTACTGCACTGATTACCTCCGACCTTACCTCTAGGTAGGTATGTTCTTTTGACAATGTAGTCCTTGCTCTCGTCGAGCCTCCCCATCCCAATTACATCAATCAATCAGTCATTCATTCATTTATTCACACGTATTCAAAGGCAAAGACACATAATATTAAACACTCTCGAAAGTCTAAAATTCCTAGTGTATTGTATTTTTCAACTGGTTTCAATTACTACATGTATGTGTGCGCGAGCAGGTTAGATCCCAGGATATATATAAGGTATGTATGTGTGTGTGTGTGTTTCAACATGGCTTCATATCCTGTCCGCATTCCTATTCCCATTCCCTTCCCCCTTCGTCCCTGTCTGTCTGTCTGTCTTTATCCAACCTACCTCATCTCATCTCGTTTTTTTCTTATCTTGCTTGTTGTCTTGTTGTTTCCCCCACTTGTCACAATGATGGGTGTGCCGTAACCACCACCACCACCACCGCCGCCGGTACCAACACTCACTCACTCACTATATCACCTTTACTTATTCCCAATCTCTGGTGCCCCGGAGTGAAGTTTTTTTAAAAGAAAAAAAAATAAATAAAAATAAAATGAAACCGCATTATGATGATGTTGCGGCGTAATAAAAGATCACATGATAAAACCAACAAATGGAGTTAAAATATATATCCAGGGAAAAAAAAAGTAAAAAAAAAAGTAAAAACAAAGAACCAGGGAGAGAACCCGTGTCCCGTACGCCAATAAAAAAAATCCTCGTGTATATGCGTGATGTCTCCGTGTTCACCGATGAACTCCTCTTATATCTATATAATGTGAAAGTGAAATAAAAACAGAGTTAAAAAGTAAATGAAAAAGATAATGCTGCCGGCCCGAGGTGCTGTGTCGGGGCTAGATAATGATGAGTCGATATACCTAAGTCAAGTTAAAAGAGAGAGTTATAACGTCAACCAACCCCCTGAACTTTTTTGTGGATGCTCTCTTGTCCTCGGTCATGAATTCTTTCCTTAAAAAAAAACCAAGTCCTTTGCCACCTGGGCCTGATGATAGCCAAAACGCCTTGCGAGATGGGGGGATCAAAAACGTAGAATGAGTTTGCAAAGCTAATAATTATAGTTACGGCTTTCTTTTTTTTAAAAAAAAGTAATCTCTGATAATTATATGTTCGAAAGTTCGATTCCCGGATCGTAGAAGTTTCGGTTACTACTATGCTGCCGTGACTTCGGTATAACACGGCGTGTGTATTGCGACCAACTGCTCTATCCTCGGTATCAGTTCGGGCATGCGGAACGGTTTGGAAATGACATCGTCCTGCGTGGCTGGTTAGTAGCTTATCCTTATACGACGATAGTTGAACTGTTGTGCCGTAATGAGAAACACGTACAACTCCGGCGGCCTTAGCATTCTCGATTTGCTCGGGCCGCGCGTACGCCGTGACGGCAATGATGGGAATATGGCTAACAATTGTTCCGTTCCTTTCTAGTTCTCGAATTTTGCGAGCACAGGTCATGCCGTCCATCACCGGCATCTCGAGATCCATCAAGATGACCGAAATATCATCACCGGAATCTTCCTTTCCAGTCCAATATCGTGACTGCTGTAGCACCTCCAAGGCCTCGCCCCCGTGATTAGCCACTTTGGTGCTATTTCCAACATTGCGGAGCGATCTCTGTAGCACCTTTTGGTTCACGAGGTTGTCCTCAACAATGAGGACGTCGAACAAACGACGACCGTCTTCCGAAAACCTGGGTCTGGAAGCAATGTTCTTAGCGGGGCGAGTAGGCTTATCGGAAGAATTCGTTTTGGGGTGTCGGGTCTCGACAGTTGTTGAGGACCCTGGTGCTCGTGTGAGAGGAGGAGCGGTGGGTAACCCGCGCGCGTCGGGCGGCGAACCAACTGTCTTTCTACTCTGGATGTAGAAAGAGAACGTACTACCGATGCCCTTCTGGGAGGTTACTCCGATTTGACCTCCTTGCAGCTCGGTTAGGATTCGAGAGATGAACAAACCTAAGCCTGAGCCGCCGTACTGGACGTGAGTTCGGGGAGTGGCTTGAGAGAAACGTTGGAAAAGAAGTTTTCTCTCGTGTTCATCTAGGCCTCTGCCTGTATCTTGAACGGAGAAATGAAGATGAATTTTCTCTCCATTGCCCCATTCGCTATGATCTGTAATCTCATCTTTGTCGGCGCGGTCGCTAGGAAAATATTCGACGCCGGAGTCGGATACCTCGCTGGAAGCATCGAGTGTCACTACGATAGACCGTTCGGGACGGCCTTGCGTGAATTTGATAGCGTTGGTCATCAAGTTGATCAGTACCTGCAGGAGCCGTGAAGGATCGAGCTTAACCCAGTCGATACCCATGTCAATATAGCGATTCTTGACTTGAAACTTCAAGTCGATACCGTTCGTATTCAGCTCGCTCTCGAACATCTTCAGAACACGTTGTACGACAGCCAGAGGTTGCGCATCAACCGGGGTGACAAGCAGCAGCTGAGAGTCCAGCTTCGAAAGCGTAAGTATATCATCCACTATCCGTTTCTGGTGGCTTGCGCAGAGCGTGATGGTGTTCGCCGCCTCTATGCAACCCTCTATCGCAACTTTAAGGCTCTTACATCGCTCCTCGGTCTCCCCCGAGGGCTTAATATTTGCCAAGGTACCTGCTATCTCATCTGCACATTGGAGGATGGCACTTAGAGGGTTACGCATCTCATGACTGGTTATATCGATGAAGTTCTCCTGTTGCCGCTTAAGTTCAACCGCTTCCTCCCGCCGCTGCATTTGAATCTGTTCGGCTAACTTCTGTTGTGATATGTTCGTAACACAGCCGAAGATTCCCTTTATACCACCATTCTCACCTTTTTCTGGGTATGCGCTCATCAAAACCCAGGTATCGATCAAGGTTTCGCCTTCATGACGAGAGCATTTGAACCGGAATTCGTGGGTGATGGCAACTTTATCTGCAAGCAGGCAGTGCCATATCGATTCTAGAGCAGGCCGGTCCTCGTCTTTAACACTCATCATCCACGAGTCTACACCCTGCGATCTATTATGTCTCGATATATCCCACCACATGTCGTTGCAGTAGGTGATGTGGCCTAGATGGTCAGCGATGAACATTCCAACGGGGGCAAATTCGGCCATTCTTGTAAATCTTAGTTCACTTTCTTCAACTTCTTGCGTCCTCAGATGTAGCTGCTTGGTCAGCTCTTGACGATCAGCGGCGGCCATCTGCGCTGCCTTCTGGCCTCGGCGTATTTCTTCTTCAAATAGAACGACAGACGCGAGCGAGGTTGCGAGTTGTCGAGACAATAGGTTGATGAAGAGCTTGTAATCCTCGTCGTAAGGCCGCCTCGGGTTAACGCCCATCACAATAAAACCTACCACGCTGTCGCTGCCAGTAGTTGGATGGACAGGGAATATTACGATCGACTTGCACGCGTCCCCTGGGCCTCTCCAGGTTAATCCATCCAAGAGACCTTCGGGGAGCGTGCCGTCAGCTGCGGATAAGACGATAGGCTGCCCCGCGTTTGACATAGATTCCCTCATATACGGAGCAAACCCTTCACTGCTTGTTCTTAAGTTGAGCGATTCAATTAGCAAAGGGTGGCCTGCGGGTACCCCTAAAGAAGCCTCGAGCATCAACAGAGGGGGGTTCACCCAGCTTCCCGAATGCATTGATGACACATCGCTGTCAGATTCCTCTGTGACCGAATAAACTAAACTGAATGGTATATCATCTTCGTTAGATTCGAGGCCTTCGTTGAACCGGCTCCAGAAACTCTTCACATCGCGGGCCAAGGCTGTCTTCTCTCCGACGTCACGCAATGTTATCATTCTCCTCTCGGCGACTTTCCGCCGAGTATTTTCGAAGCAAGGGTTAAATAGTCCAACAACCGAGCCGTCGCTTCCGACCAGTGGCACAATAGACCACGAGAAGAATGTTTCCTCGTCAAACCCGTTGCGTCGTAAAATGAGGCGATCGTCGTTTTTCAATATCGCTTGGCCGGACTTCCAGGCACTTTCCAATATAGGCCGTAAGTCTGGCCAGAGCTCGCCCCAAGCATCTTTATAAGCCTGACCCATGAGCTTCGGGTGTTTCGCTCCTGCTAGCGCAACATATGCTTCATTGTACATGGTGGTGGACTCGGGGCCCCAGTACATTGCTGCGGGATTAGGACTGCCCATGACCAAATTCGCCATCGCGCGCAACTCCGACGACCAATTTTCGATAGGGCCAAGAGGCGTTGCCGCCCAGTCTACACTACGAGCAAATTTTATGTGGTCTGGGAGATCATCGGTAAATGGAATCCGAGTCCAGTCGAAAGAATGTTGTAATGCGTGCGGTGGAATGGCTCCAGGCGTTAGGCCATCGTCGCTACATAAGGGCAGATTAGTCTCGCCGTCGTTACTTATTCCCTGTTGCATCTGAACATCCGAATCGATGGGATTAGCAAGTCCAAAATAATCTCGATCAGGTAGAACGATATCACTAGGCGTCTTAACCTGAGTATTAGGCGACAAATCGCGAGCCCGCGAGTCGATACTTGATTCTCGCTCTAAGGGAGGTTCGGGAGAGGCCCGCGCAATCGATGCTGCGCTAGTATTCGCGCTGACGAAGCGGAATCTATTTCTGATAGTTGAGCAGTTCCAGCCATAACCGCCATAGCGAAATGAAGGTAAGAAGACATCGATACCATCGGTATTGCTGCCGCCGGCATTCACCCACGCTTTAAAATTGAGAAACTCTTCCCGCGCTTCGGCATTGTCATGGAATTCCCCAGAAAGCAAGTGCCGAATAGAGCCAGAGATTTGAAGAGCCGGGTTTGCATAGACGATGGGGAGAGGGTCAGGGTTGCTAGTGACCGTGTTTAAGCTATCGATGATGAAAGTTGGTCTGTCATCTCGTTCTAATAATTCAAGGACGCCGATGCCTTGTAATGCTTGCAGCCCCGGGGTGGCCGCTGTAGACTCGGGGCTCCGCATCAAACTTCCGGCTTCGATAGAGGACCAGCTACCCGGCGTGCTGGAAGATCTCGCCGGGCTTGCCGAGTGTACGGTACCCCGAGCAAGCTTCAGGGTCGTAACCTCGGCACCATCACGCACACTCTTCAACATGGTTGCTCCCTCGGACCCGGAAAAGCTTGGAGGTCTAGCAATAAATGGCCTATGCTTATGTGAGAAGAATAAGGGTGACGTGAGACCATCAGCGAGTTTCGGAGGGAGTGCGGCCGGCCTGGCGAAGGGGCCGAGATCGATTTTACGCGGGGGTGTCAGTCGTGCGCGCGGCTTCTTTGGCGCACGCCGGCTTGTTTCCGGGTCGTCGAACTCGCTTTCCGATAACCTTTTCCCTCTGCCCCGCGTAGACGTGGCGTGATGCGACTGCTGAGCCACGGGGTTGTTCACCCTATTTTCCCTCGATATCGTGCCCGGCTCGTTCGGCGACAGCACCGGCAAGTCCCCTAAAATCGTCTGTTGATTAAGGGGCACCGTAGGTGTCAAACCATAATGTCCAATCTCGGTCGAATACTCTTCTAGAATACGGTTTACAGGGCCAGTAGCGTCATTAGCGAGCGTACAATGACGTTGCCGCACGGGTCGTGCGAAGGGACGAGAAGTATGGGAAGCGGCGGACGAAGCAGGTTCGGAGCAGTTATTGTCAAAGGCGAAGGTCGGGTGGTTTTCCGGAATGGTTGGGGGATTGGGCTTTTCCGAATTACTTTGTAGAGTCATAGAGAAATAATCCGCTTTAGAAATAGGACGCCGGCGCCAACGTCGAACTCCTCACTCGAGAATAGTCCCGAATTACCTACTAGCAACAAATGAGAAGTGGAGAAGCGTCGGGCTGTGGCCATTGATGGCGTAGACCCGTAGAGGAGCAAGAGGAAGGGGAATAGGGCGACGATGAGGATGGGATGTGGATACGAATAGTTAAGCCAAAGGACCTCATACAGCATTGAGGATCCCGGGTAGGTTAGGTACTTTTTTTTTTCTTTCTCTTTCTCAACCCAGGCGTTCTGGACCAGAAATCAAAGGGAAGCTTGCGGTCTACACGAATGTTCCCCGTTCCAAGCACCTATTTCCTCTACCTAATAAACTCGAGAGTTTCTCCTCCGCAAATCCAGTTGACGAAGACAGGTAAATTTAGAGAGAATAGAAAAGAAGAGCGAACACTGAAAAGACAAGTCGACAAAAGGGTTCGGCGGTATAAACAGAACAGAGCCCAGCCCACCGCAGATGGCTCTCGGATGGCTAGAATTGCGGGAGAAGTGATGCGTGGTTTAGGTACTCGGCCGTCTTATGGAGACTGTACCATGCGAGTACATGCACGGGATGCTGGTAGAGATGGATCTATCGACAGGGTTGGGTGGCCTCGGTGGGATGATGGGCTTAGGTAAGAGATAATTAAAAGGTTAGGTGGTCGCGTGAATCGAAGCTAACGGGGGTTTATAGAGTAGTAGCAGTACTATTATTATTATTATATGGACCAGCGAAGTGGTAGTAGTTGATGGTGGTAACTCGTAATGGTTATAGTAGTAGTAGCGATAAAAGTCGTAGGTGTACCTACCTTAGGTACCTAGGTACCTAAAGGCTAAGGTATAGGTTAGGTAGGTTTACCTAGTAGATAACATTGAAAACTGTATTATTATTTTTTCCCCTTTTCTTTAATAGATGGATCAACGTGGATGAAAATAGTTCGATACAAAGTGCGTGTTTTTTCCTTTTACTGCGTCGTGTTCTGCATGTTCCTCGTGTTATGTGGTTGTGCTGTATGGTTGTATGGGCTGTATGGGCTATATTGTGTAAAGGAGTCCTGTTCGGTTTCTTTTGGTTTGAGGTAAAACGTTCGCGTGGGTGAAGTACCGTCGGCCGTCGAATCCAGATCCGAAAGAAATTGGGATTACAAGGGTCTAATTGATTTTTCACGTTCCAGACCCTCGAGTAGACCTTGGGACTCCAGCAGTCCGGTTGACGATTTGGGGAAAGTATCACTGACGATCTCCCCTAGTCGACAGGGGGGCTGAAGCTTGTTGATCACTTAAACTTAACTCGGCCACCGCTGAGAATTCTGTGCAGGCAGCCATAATAATTCTTCTGTATTATGTCGTACGTCTCGAAATCGAAAGTAGACTTGATCGTCAAAGGTAGAATACCCTTTCATTTATTACTTAAATTGTTGCATCGAACATCAGGTTAAACCGACAGCATATATCAGTAAAAGAAGATGATGTACTATGGTAATGGAAGAGAGAGAAAAAATAATAATCCAGGATTGCTGTTTACGTCAAGTAGCACATGCAGCTAAGGGGAAGCTAACGGGTTTAGTAGGATACCTATTAGTAGAGTGTACTTCGTTGGGTACGTGGTATACTATGGTAGTATATCTGAGTACCGAGGTGTCGCATTTCGGAGCCAATCAATCCTACCGGCACCTAAACTCGACATCGTATAACATAGCCGAATTAATAAGGCCAGAAACTTCTGTTAGTTACATGTACATAGTACTGAATAACATGGTATCACAATCTCCCACATGTCGTGTTACACGAAATTGTCCTATTGTTCGAGCACAAACCTTATATGACCTGGTTTTAAGAAACGGGTAGTTATACATAGTACTAGTTATACACTAATGTAAGTAACGCCTCGACTTGAAAGGCACACACTATAGCGCACCCTATAGCGCACACTATAAGGAACTAAACGATGCCTATAAATGACGAGAAGCAACCTGTATCTAAGCCCTTTACATATACGTACCTAATACGTGAATGACAACACATTTCCCCATCCCTCCCACCCTCCCCCCTCCCCTCCCCTCCTCCTCCTCTCCCCCACATAGATCATGACATACATATACTACATACTACTAGGTATGTAGCAGGACATGACTAGTAAATGGCCGATCAATGCGGCAAACAAGATCCTCAGTTTTCGGAATAGTCATACTCAATTCTACCTAGTAGTCGGCGTCTAGGTACATTTGAAGTTATATCGCTCGGGATTCCCAGGTCTTAGAATTTATTAGAGTTAAAGCGACGTAACTAACAAGCAACATCTATGTCATAATATGGATTTACTGACATTATCAATTTATGTATTGGTCAACGTCCTGCTTTGACTTGATTTCTCTCCCCTTCTTTAATCCCTTCGATACTAATTATACGAAATGTGGGCTCTAATAACACGTAGAGCCTTGTGCTTCTCACTCCACGTGCCCCTATACCTTAGCTTACCTACCCCTAATGCTGATCTCGTTCTTTTCTCTCTAATAAGATTATCTTGCATCGTGATGCGGGCACTAACGTGGTTGCTCGATTCGGATCGTCGTCAGTCTCTTGGATACTTCTGCGCGCCGGTCCGACGAGATATTTTTATAGAAGCTCATGCTTTGTCGTTCGACGGAGGATTTCCTCTGATATTGATGACGACGGTGATGAATGCATGTATACTTGGACCGAGCCGACCAGGTTGACTCCGTGTGAGCAACGCATTGGAGGATCACGTCGATCTGCGAGTCTAGACCAGCCTGAATCACAAAAGGCGCAAGCCCGGTAACTTTTGCTTGAGGGGTCCCCGTTACGCAAAGTCACGAGCTCGGAACATGTTCATCAACCCGAGCTTACATAGTACTGGCTCGCCAACAGCAAGTCATTGATCCTCCGTCGACGTCGGCTTATTTTCGGGGAGGCTTTTACTGGTTTGGAATTTAAAAGGCGACGGGCTTGTGGTACTAAGTTAGATATCGAGTCGGATATAAATGTAAATGTCCTAATCAGGGTAACCGAGATTCAACTATCAACGCCATCAATCAGCCATCTCGTAAATCCTTTAAGGACGAAGGTAGTACCAGGTCGAAGGCTATCAACCCTTGCATCGATATAGGTACTCGTACTCGACCTAACATAACGCTTGAATTTCTTTTCGCTTCAACATCGCGAACTCAAGTCGTCAATTACCATTCGGGAAACCCCTGTAGACGTATTTGAAGAGTTGGGACTTGCCCGGCATCTAATCTTACGAGTTAGAATTGCATACGACGATTTTCTTCGAATTCCAAAAATGATTGGATAAAGGTTTATAACCCAATCGCAAATGCTTTTTTTTTCTAGTGCTCGATGTAATGGGTATACACATCGTAAAGTATTCGGTAAGAACATTTGATCTTACGATTCAGGGCGAATGCCTTATTATTTCCATCTACTACCGAATGGTCAAAGCCTCCCTTGAGATCACACCGCGGCTATTTCACATACAGAAATGGCCGATGATCGTATGTTGTCATGAAGAGATCAACGCCGTACTCGACAAAGATAGATATTTATCAGATCAGTGCCTCAAGGTTCAGTAGAACGTGTGGCTACATAAACAGTCGGACCCCTATGCTACTATGTACTGTAACCACTGTAAGCTTTGGGGGCGAGAAACTCATCAAACCGGAACAGGGTCTACCGCCAAGACCCGAGGGGAGACTCCAAAGCTGGGAGCACAAGCCAATAGAAATCCCGGTTATCAGATGCATCGCCCGGCCGGCGTCTTGCACAGCGCCATTGGCTCGTGTAGCTGGGGGTTGGTAATGAATCCCACCAATCTTGGTGCCGCATGCGAGAGGTGAGCCAGGGCGAAGCGCCCACCGACAAACCACAAGCCGGCGCTTACAACCGTTCAACGTTGCTGACGCCTCTCTCATTGGCCTCTGTTTCCCGTACAAGCCTATCACCATGCACACTTGTGATTGACCTGCAGCCGCCCTCCCGACACCTTTTGGGGTGTTGGCGCCCAGTTCCTTAAAAATGACCGGCCGACCAACTCCTCCCAAATCTTGAGCTATTTCGTGAGTTTCGACGTGAGCTTTCTTTGTCTACGATCAGATTCTACGTCCAATTCCCACGACAATCGCCATCGTAGGCGTTCCGATGTAAGATACCAGCACGGCTTGCTGGCTACCAGCGACGCGGTAACAGCCAGCTTCGCGAAATCTGCGCATTTAGCCGACTTGCGTGAACTTGAATTTTTTTTCTTCTTTTTTTTTTCGCGCCGGTTCTAAAGGTCCAAATTCCCTTAGAGCTGCAGTTGGAGAATCCTTCGTGTGGCGCGGTTTGTTTCACCATGGGTTATAAACTTTTGCATCGAAAATGGAGGTCGACGAGGGGCATGTATTATATGATGATTCCGGAGCTGTTGGGAACCGTAGCAACATTGGTTGTCACGGCCCTCGCGCAGCCCGACCTATACCGGACTAAATTATGGCGAGCCGGCAGCGAGCTGGGCTTCAACTCGAGTCCTAGCGTTACCCTATGGGCGTATGCCAACTATGAGCCGTTACCGAAAATACCATTTGTCTGGTCGCAGACGTAGGTGATGAGAAGGCTTTTATCCTATCGAACTGGGCAGAAGGCTAACTGTACATGTAGACTGACTGACTTCAACGTCGCCATATCTGTTCTCAGCCTATTCCTCCTCCTCAGCAAGCTCATTGCATTTATTATGCATGTCTGGTACCCGATTCTTGCACTGGTCGTCAATATAGGACTTTTAGCACTCTATGCGACAAGCATAGGCGGGCAAGCCGGACCCGACTACCTTGACCAAGATCACCGAAGCTCGGTGGCCTGGTATATCGCCAAGCCTTGTACCGTGGCAGCGAATCAGACCGTACAAGGTTACTGCAAATTGGCGAAGGGCACTTTTGCCGTAGCATGCATTATGCTGTACGTATAAAGTACCTCATAGGGGTGCACTCGTATCCCCAGAATTTCACGTAGCTAATTATCATGGCAGCGGCATCTACGCTATTAACTTGGGTATGAATATCTGGGCTATGCTACCAAACCCGAAGAACGACTTAAACGACGAGGAGGACGAGGAGACATCTTCACCCGCTGCGCTGAAACGAGAAGGTAACTGGGAAATGCACGGTATTCCGCCAACACCGAGGACGGGTACGCTCCCATACACACCGCGGACGATGGCTTTTAATACGCTCGAACGCAAACTTCCGCTGCGAAGTCAGTACGAGTAAAGGGTCGTGGTCGTGGTCGTGGTCGGACCCTCGGGGATAGGGCATTCAGAAGACACGGCATAGATTCAACCGTGCACCGAATAAGTGGTGGACTTCTCATCTCGCTCCGGTAGCGGATGTTATTAGAAGATAACCCATAAGACTTCCGTCAAAACCTAATGCAAAATGCGGGGAGACGTATTCGAGACTCATCCTATAAGAGGTACCTACTTAATTTGAAGGTATAGTTGGGACGAGTCGATGTAGATTATGAGGGTGAGGACGCAGGGCCCACTACTACTTACAAGGCGGAATGATATCAAGAAAAGGGGGCCATGCCACACCCCTTATTTTCCTTAGTGTATACTAACTATATGATCCTATGCGATCTATCTCTTAACATCTTTATGAATGTAGAGAGATTATCTTAGGTTAGGTAGTCAGCAAGTTCTATGACTATCGTAATCCCCGTCGTCATGTCTCTTTTCTCCTGTGTCTGTTGCTAGTTGCGGCGTTGCGACCTCGTACTGTTACGTACCCCGGTGGGAGGTAGTACTGCGAAGCAGGTGTGAACACTCCTCGCACAAGCCCAACGCCTGCCTGGGCTTTGGGGGTAAAGTATAGTGCCTGCATCGCGGATTTATCCCTCGTCTATCGCATGGCAGCTATGATAGTATAGTGTAGGTATGATGTACAAGCACGTGTTAATCAAGGAGAGTGCAGAACCGATCTGTTACACTACTTCTACTTACACCTTAGATTAGGTACGTATTGGCACATCGTCATCTCAAATATACGAACTACAATTATTACTCACTATCAAGATATCACCAAGCCTCATAGGTTAGGTACCTACCTAGGTAGGTAATTCACCACGATTCACTCATTCCCCCTCCCCCTCCCCCCTCTCGGCCTCAAAATCCAAAACAACAGCCTCCGAATCCGAAACGCTCACCTCCACCACCCCATCCACCACCCCCACCCTCTCCCCAACCGTCACATTACCCAGCCTCACCGGCCTGCCGCGGTCGAGCTCATACTCGTAGCTCCACCCGTCCCACGTGATCCCCGTGATCGCATCGCTCCCATTCGCGCGCAGCCTCCTGACCACCACGCCCCCTGCTCTTTCCCCCGTAGCAGCGGCGTCCAGCCCTAGTCCCGGTCCTGCGAACCGGTACCGCCGCGCCGGCCGCGCCGCCGGGTTCGGCTCGGTCCCGTGGAGCGTGTGGTTGTACGCGCGCAGGTTGAGCACGAGCAGGCGCGACAGCGCGCCGGTGGCGGCGGCGTACGCGGCGTACGCGACGTCCGTGTCGGGGTCTAGGTCGGCGGATGATGATGATGATGATAAGGGGACGGAAGCGATAAGTGTTCCGGGAGGGCCGAGGAACGTGGACGCCGCGACGTTCCCGTAGTAAGGAGGCTTGGTGCCGATGCTGGTCTTGTTGGTGGGGATGGGCTGCCAGGAGGCGTAGCGGTAGTTGGTCTGTACGTATAAGGTTAGACAGGTGTATAGGTACTTCAGGTAGGAGGATTATTACTATCAGCGGGAGGGACAAACGAAGAGAAAAGGAAAAGGAAAGGGAAAAGGAAAAGGAAAAGGAAAAAAAGAATAAAAGAAGGAGGGGGAAAAAAGGAAGAGAAGATTAGGTACGCACGCCCATATGGAAATGCACCCGGCCTATCCCGACGGCGGCGCACTGCAGCGCGAAGTCGAGGGCCCAGAGGGCGGCGCCGAAGGAGTCGGACAGGCCCGGGCGGCCCTGGTGGTACAGCGAGTTGGTCTCGCCGAGGACGTACGGGACTCCGGGGCGGATGGCCGCGTTCTCGGCCGCGTGGACGCCGACGCTGAGCGCCGTGCGCGTGTGGTTCATCAGCGTGCCCTGGAGCGTGACGCCGGGGGTTTCGGCCCCGGATATGTAGCTGTTCGGTACCGTGTGAGCGGGAGCATGAGAAAAAAAAAAAAGGGGGGGGCGGGGCAGTGAGGGGAAGGGGAAAGGGAGGGAGGGAGACTTACTTGTGAGAAGAAAAGAGCTTGATATCGCCGTCCGCATTGATACCGTCGGCCCAAGTCCGAGGCTGCTTCAAGTGGTTCGTGGTGCCAGCGAACGACGGCGCCAGAAACCCATACGTATCATTCCCCAGGAGATCCGGGCACTTGGACTCAAGCACGCGCCTAATCGCTCTCGTACCATTCAGCCACTCCGCCACGTAGTCCTCCTCGTCGTAATCCGCCGTCCTAACCGCGGGGACGAACAAGTCCGGCTCGTTCCCGTACTCCCACAAGTACAGCCTGTCCCTGCCCAGGGCCTCGCAGGCCAACGGCACGGTCTGCAGGAGCGTCTCCCACCGCCTGGCGTCGCGGTTCCCGCCCAGGTTGAACCCGTGCGAGAACCGGACGTGCGGCCACGCGCCGTACGACTCGAAGTACGACGGCCCGATCTCGATCGTCGTCGGGTAGTCGGCGGACCGCGAGAGGTTGTAGGTGCCGTTGAGAGCGAAGGGAAGCTCCGGGTTGAATATGGCGAAGTCTTGCGTGTTTCCGCCGATCCGTATGTACGGCTTTATCCCGGAGAAGGCTTTGAGGTTATCTAGTAAGTTGTTTGAGAAGTCGTTGGGGTTGGATTTGTTGCCTAGTTGTTCTGCATTTTAGTCTAATTTGTTATGCCGCTTGTTTGGATGGATGGATGGTCTTGCCTGCAAAATCGGGAAATGACGAGAACTCGATTGAGTAGCTCACGAAGCCATCTAGGGGTCGGATGGCATTTGCAGAGCTCGGTATACTCCCGACGGCATATGTCGTAGGCTTTGCCACGGATAGGGTAGCTTGCATCGATAACATTATAAGACAGGCATACATGGTGTTGCCTATATATCCAGCGTTGATTTTCACTAGCCCCTTGAGATGTATTACCATCTTGAAACCATAAACTTGGTATATAAACACCTCTTCACGTCGGATATAAGTGTAAGTATAGCCGCATATAATCTACGGATGATACTAAAATATTCATCCTCAGCAAGTGACTGATCAGAAACTCTCTGATACTTGTCGTTGGACTAGTAAGCAACCTTTACTTTAGGTATACATATAGGAAAGCGACGCGCTCTCCTCACTTATACGAGAATATCGAATCTCGGTATAATTCAAAAACGAGTTACGCCATGTATTGTACGGTACAAGATGCGGGGAATGCATGCACAGAAGTTATATGCCGAACATGTTATACCTTACAGGTAGTTTACGAATCGTGATTATGTTGTCAACTTTAAACCAAACTTCGTATTGGGCTTCATACATCGGCTTCGCGACGTGAGTACCTGCTGTAGTGACATAGGTCCAACCATGGCTACTAACAACGAAGAGAGTCCTGGGAAAGGGGGTTCGCCGGTGCAAATAGGTAGGTAGTAATTGTTTCGACTTCGGCCTGAGGATACTATGAAAGTAATTATTAACTTAGGGAGGGAAGAGGAAGCAGGTTGCCTCTTGACAATCGCCTTCGTGGTTATGGAGAAACTAAAAGATGAATTGGTTAGGAAGCCATTATTAGGAGAGAGCATGGCTTTTGTTGTTCTAACTTATAAGCTCAAACGAGAGTGACAAATAGGCGTAGGTAAGTGCTGAGATGAGGCCCACCACGGGTTTTAGCACCTACATTAGTTTGCCTTTTAGTACCTATTCTTGGTACCTATCTGCCTGTCAACGGGCTGTACCTGCCTGATACAGTACCTAACCTAGGTACCTACCCTGAGGTGTTGTATTGTATTGTACAATACCCCGCGCCTAGGGATTAGTGCCCCTCTAAAACGCCGATGTCGTCAGTGTTATCAAGCCGACGTCACTTAATTGTCTTTAATCTATCAAGGGTACAATCATTTCTATGAATAAGCGTAAACATGGCGAACCACCGGGTTAAGATACCTGGATACCCGGATGACTTATACAAATCGATTGAATTCCCCTGTATTTTCACCAGTTATTAGTTTCTCTGTGTTAGCTCGGGATTTATTAATCAACAGGTAGTTAACGGTTAACCCGAGGTTAGTTAATACATACTCTCGAAATGAGTTTCTTAAGAATCGTACAGAGGAGCATAACGTCTCAATCACGACTTTCTGTGAAATCCAACTTTCAAAGACCAAACCTACCACTCATAATGACACGATTAGCATCCAGCAGAGCACCAAAGGTTCGTTGGCTTAAACACCCAATTACCCTTATTAGTTAATTTGATCAGGACCATCCGTTTACTCCTTCTAATATAGCTCAACGACCCCTCCCTTTTCAAGACGGATGTCTGTTATGTAAACGGAGAATGGGTCAAAGCAGCGTCGGGTCAGACCTTCGAGGTCAACGATCCAGCTACAGGGGACTTCATTGGCACCTGTCCCGAGTTCACCGGCAAGGATACCGAAAATGCCATTGCCGCAGCAGCCGCGGCGTTCCCGAGTTTCCGGACAAAAACCGGTCGTGAGAAGGCCAAGTTGCTTCGCAAGTGGTATGACCTGGTAGTAGAGAACTCGGACGATCTTGCCAAACTTATTACGTGGGAGAACGGAAAGCCTCTTGCGGACGCGAAGGGTGAGGTAGCTTACGCTGCCAGTTTCTTCGAGTGGTTTAGCGAGGAGGCCCCTAGAATATACGGCGACTCGATACCGGCTACCGTAGCGGGCAACAGGGTCGTGACCATCAAGCAGCCTGTCGGTGTATGTGGTTTAATTACCCCGTGGAACTTCCCTGCTGCTATGGTCACCCGCAAACTTGGCCCTGCTCTGGCTGCCGGCTGCACAGTCGTCGTCAAGACGCCTAGTGAGACTCCTTTTACCGCACTTGCCTTGGCTGAGCTAGCGCACAGAGCCGGAATCCCGAAAGGTGTCGTCAACTTCGTGACCACCCACAAGCACACTCCCGAGGTTGGAGAGACGCTAGCGACTCATCCTACCGTACGAAAAGTGTCGTTTACAGGATCGACTGGTGTAGGCAGACTACTCATGAAGCAGGCATCTCAAACTTTGAAGGTCCTGTCTATGGAGCTGGGAGGCAACGCGCCGTTCATCGTGTTTGACGACGCCGACGTAGATGCGGCTGTGGCGGGTGCCGTCGCTTCTAAGTTCCGCTCGTCCGGCCAGACCTGCGTGTGCGCCAACAGGATATACGTCCAAAAGGGCATTTACGACGAGTTCGCACAGAAGTTTGCAGAGAAGGTCAAGGGATTCAAGGTTGGCAACGGGTTTGACGAAGGCACCACCCACGGACCTCTGATCCACGACCGGGCCGTCTCCAAAGTAGAAGCTCACATCAAGGACGCCGAGAAGAAGGGAGGTAAGGTAGTTGTCGGTGGGCAGAAACGACCGGACTTGGGCGCCAATTTCTATCAACCTACTGTGATCACCGGTATGACCAAGGATATGGCCATCGCGGGCGAGGAGACATTTGGACCCGTGGCTGGGTTATTCCCCTTTGCTACGGAGCAAGAGGTGGTAGATCTGGCAAACTCCGCCGAGGTTGGTCTAGCAGGTTACTTCTTCTCGCGAGATCTAGAGCGGATTACGAGAGTGGCTGAAGCGTTGGAAGTGGGAATGGTGGGAATTAATACAGGTTTAATCTCAGACACTGCTTCGCCGTTCGGCGGCGTAAAACAGTCCGGATTTGGTCGGGAAGGATCTAAGTACGGTATCGACGAGTACTTGAACATCAAGACGATAACGTGGGGAGGCATGAACAAGCCGCTACAAAGTTGAATGTCTACCGCGATGTAATCTATGATACCAGCTTTAAGGGATTTAAAAAAGAAAGAAAGGGAAAACTAAAAAAAAACTAAATTGAACTGTATGACTAGAGTAATTCAGTAATGATTATCTGATATCACCTACATGTATGAAGACTCTAGGAAATTTGCTTCTGGCAGTTAAGTAGTGCTAAAAGAGGACTGACTTAGGTACTATGTACTAACCTTAGGTACCTCATAAAAAGGGAGTGGAAGTTTGCAAGCGTGTATCGCATATAGTCATACCCCACCACAGACCCGCTTAAACGCATTATCCGACAACGCCGCCAAAGCTTCGGAGAAATCTCGAAATCTCGAAAATTTCCCAGATTCCAAAAGAGGTACCTAACCGGGACCTTCCAAAACGAAACCGGGGGCTTTTTCCACATTCACAAAACCAAGCCAGCCATTGGGCCCGCCATGATCCGGCATCCATTACACTCGGCCGCCGGCCGCATCGCTACCAGGCCAGACCTCAACCGAGTCGCAGACGGCATCGCCGCCTCCCTGCGCCAGTTCTCCGTCTCCGCCCGCCGGAACGCCCAGGATGGTAACGGTTATGACGACGACGACGACGCCTCCCGAAGACCTACCGGTCGCCAGCGGTCCGCGGCCGCAGTGAACGAGCTCATGGCGACCGTCAACAGCAGCATCAACGCAGCAGCAGCAGGTGCAGGTCCGAGCCGGCAGAATTCCGTGAGCGCTCCTTCGCCTGCCCGACCCCAGGGCCCCAACATCATTCGAATAAGCAACCTACCCCGTGGCCTCGACGGCATTCGCAGGACCGCCTCCTCGCCTAGCGGTCCGCCGCAACCACCCCAGTTCAACGCCATCGGCACCGGCCCGCGGATCATAAGAGGCGGGTTCGTCGGCCGCGGACGCGGCGGTGGTAGCTTCCCGTCTCGTGGCGGGCCGCCGCGGCAAGGAGGGGCGAGAGGAAGAGGAGGAGGAGGATTAGGATTTCGTGGACGTGGACCGCAAGGACCCGTGGGCCTTACCAACGTGGATAACCGACCGCGACGAGGGCGGGGAGGGGGAATGCGGCGGCGACGGGGCGGCGGCGACGACGACGAGGAAGGCGGCGGGCGAATGTCGCGCCGGAGGCAGCAGCGGGAGCGGGAGCAGGCGGAGCAGGCGGACACGACGCACGACCTGCGGGTGAAGGCGTACTTCGAGGAGAAGGACACGGGGCGGACGATGGTGTTCAACCCGCAGCTGACGCTGGAGACGCTCGCGGGCTGGGGCCCCGCGGTGGCGACGGCGTCGACGCCCTTCGGCCAGGGCGAGACGGTGCTGCGGCAGGCGCGCATCCTGGGAAGCGGGCAGGCGTACCACCCGCAGAACCTCGGGAACCCGCACGCCATGATCGAGGCGTGGCAGTCGGGCGCCGGGTGCTTCGTGCCGCCCTCGGACGACGGCCGCCTGTGGAAGAAGCAGGTCTTCAGGGCCAGGCCGTTCGAGGCCCCCGCCGAGGTCAAGACCGCCATCCTCGAGGACGCCCTGCTCGGCAAGTACGGCGAGGGCCCCAAGTACGCCGACCCCAAGGATACCATCGGCACCCTGCGCAGCTACGTCCGCCGGGACGGCACCTGGAACGCGCAGGCCGAGAGGCGCATCGAGGATAAGGTTCGCAGGATTCTGGGACTGGGACCGGCGGCTGGTGCGGCTTCTGACGCTAGTGCTGCTGCTGCTGCGAAATCGGGAGCGAAGGCTTGATTTTTTTTAATCTCCTCGCACGCAACCTTGTAACCTACGCACGTCGTCCATGATGGTGGGAATGGGGGACATGTATACATCTAATTCAAGGCCTTTAGTTTTTTTTTTCCGGCTTTGAACGTTAGAAAAAATGTACCGTTACCACGCAACGTGCCTACATGTAACAATAACTGTCTAACTTAGTCTATTATACACCTGGGCTATAGAATTTAACTATGCACACTCTTACTGGTGAAGCCATACCATGTCATGCCATGCCACACCATACCATACCCTTTTCTTATGTTCCAAACCGAAGGCAAACTAGTAATGATCATAGGAGGTATACATTACAGCTGGCCAAGCCATCCTTGCACCTATCCCCCTTTGCCGGCCTCTTTTTTTCCTTAAACAGGCAGGGACTTAATGGTATCCTTCTCCAGGACATCTATCTCCGCCATCTTGGCCTTGATAATCTTATCGAGCTCCTTATCCGCGGTCCGCTTCAAGTCGGGGCCGATGTCGCCGTTCTTCTGCCAGGTGGCGTGCTGCTTGTCGCGCCTCTGGCGGACGCTCCGGACGCGGTCGCGCCAGTCGTTGCAGAGGGCCTTGGCGCGGCGCAGCAGGTCGTCGCGGGACTCGGGCTCGATCTTGAGCACGAGCTCGAGCTCGTTGTCCGGGGCGCGCTGCGGCTGCTGGTTGAAGTCCGGGCTGGCCTGCACCGCGCTCATGATCGCCTTGACGTACCCGGCCTCGTGCGCGATCAGGCTGATCGTCCGCCCGCCCCGCGCGACTACCTGCGCCACCTCCCGCAGCGGGTACGTCGTCCCCGCGTCCTTGCGGTCCGGCTGCACCCGCAGCGCCCCCACCACGTCCGGGTTGAAGCGCCCGCCCACCCGCAGCCGCTTCAGCAGCTCCCGGTGGTGCTCGGCGTGGCGCCGCACGCGCGACTCGACGTCCGCGAAGTTGAGCGGCTCCTCCGGGTTCGCGGGCGGGTGTTTGGGGCCGCTGGGATCGTCGCCGTCGGCGTGGTCTGCTGCCCCGCTGCTGCTGTTGCTGGCAGAGGCTTGTTTTTTATGGTTCTTGCTTTCCTTGGATGCTTTGGCCTTCCACAACGCTGAGGTCGTGTGTAGGGCACGAAGATTGGCGGTGGCCGCGCCCGTACCCGTACCGGCGGATATACATGGGCGAAGGAGAAGGGATGGCGGGGTGGTGGTGTTGGTGGTGGTAATTACGTCGTGGCTGGTTTGGAGAGCGTCAGTATGGCGAATTCGTAATTCGAATGGAGTCAATTGGGAAGACTGACACTCTCCCAAGCTGGGGACAAGCTCGGCTTTGTCGCAGCAGCGCCCTAGCAGCTGTGGTTCTCATTGTGTTTTGTTCTTCTTCTTCTTCTTTCCCCCTCTTATAAAATAGAGTGGAACAAGTTTCTCAAGCTAAATTTTAAGCTTGACCTTTGCGTACCTAGATGGAATTTCCTTGGAAGTTAACACTGGTTTATCGATAAGGACCTTGAGCCAGTATTACCTAGGTACCTATGGTCCTTCCTTCCTTGCCCGTCGTGACTGACGCTGTTCCGGGACTCTATAGGAAAAGACCTGAAAAGGAAAGAATTCATTCTAAGGTGCTTTATATGCTTTATATGTACCTGATGGCAGCCACAATCAACCTCCAGGTCCGTTGGTGCCTAGATCAAAAAGCAACTTTTCCCCTCATTCTCTTGGAGAACCTTATGTGCAATGTTAAACCCGTTTGCTTTTTATACATTACATTCTAAATATAGAGTTTATACGAACTTGGACTCAAATGTTCTTCCATAGTATGACAAACACCGTAATTCCGTGCTGCCCACATGTCCTGCTGCCATCCATGGATGCCGCATTGTGGGAACGGAACATTTACCAGCAGCGCACTAATTCCAACCAACCTCGCCGCTAGCGACAGAAACAATATAATGCATTGTAAAGCTCCGAAAGTTCAACCGAGGAAGTGAGCAATCACATCTATCCACTGGTCAACTGGTGTAGTGGTTATCACGTCTGTCTTACAACTTCGCTGTATAGTGTATTGTGAGGACACAGAAGGTCGCAGGTTCGATCCCTGCGTTGATCAACTTTTTTGGATTTATCCCATGCATAGCCAGTCAGTAAATCTGACGATCCTCTTTTTTACTTCTTGTTTTTTTCACTTTTGTATTTGTGTCGCTACTCCCATTTCTAATTCTTCGTATCAATCACCCCAACATCAATGCTTGCTTTACTTTAGGAGATCATGTTCAACTGCAACTCAAGAAAGTTTAGGAATGATATGATGAACAATAGTTATGCTTCGTAAAGTGAGGTAAATTCTAGTTCCACGGATCATTAGCAGGTACCTTAACCGCTACAAATTATCCACATTAGATATGCTCAACTCCCCCACCACCACAACAACAACAACAAAAAAAAAAAAAAAAAAAAAAAAAGCACATCAAAATAACAGACATAGATACGATTAAGATAGATGATGAATTGGTCAGGTTCCTTAAACTACCTAGATACCTTGATAAACAAATAAATGCTCATGCTCATGCTCAGCATTCGCAGAAGAAGAATGGGAAGAAGCTAAGGTAGCAGTTTAACCTCCTTTCCCCCTTTCCCCTTTTCTTCATCATTATCAATCATCATCATCATCTCTCTTCCCAACGCCCGTTCTATAAAGAATACACAGATTCGAAACCCGGAAAAAAACGCCATAACTTGCTCTTCCCAACTTCCAGTTCCCACTACCCCCCTCCCCAATGTGAATTTGCTGTTCCCCTTGGCCACTTCCCCTTCAGAGAGTTACATGCGTTGCCTAAGGTACCTAATACCTAATATATGCCATATACGGCTTCCCTTCTCCCTTTCGATGGGTGTGGGTGTTTGCGGTTAAATGTTCTGGGCTTTTGAAAGGAAAAGGTCGAGCTTAAGCCCATAATAAACGCATGCCTACCTCCTATCCGTCTCCCCTCGGCTTTAAATGACTTTTCTGTCCTGTCCTGTCCTGTCCTGGCCTGGCCTGGCCGGATCTTGGAGGAGAAGCCGTGTATATTAGGTAGAAATATTCGTGTAAGAACGCTATTTTTGGATTCGACCCTAACGCTCTCCATACTCCTTTCCTTCTTACACGCATCCTCTCTATCCTCTTACATCAGCCAGCGTAGCTCAGCTCAGCTCTCATCATCCCACCCCCACCCCGTTCCGGGAAGGAATTCAGCCCGTGTACTCGGAAGAGCTCAGCCCTTCCTTCTCCATATCCCTCACGTACTGCTCCCAGACGTCGACGACCGCGCCGTAGAACTCGACGTGCGCGCCCGCCAGGCCGCCCAGCTGGCGCTTGAGCTCGACTCGCTTGATGCGCTCAAAGTCGACGACCTCCTTGACGACCTCTTCGTCGAAGGCCTCGCTCGTCTTCTTGGCACGCTCCGCCTCGGTCGTCAGCTCGTCGATGCGCATCTCGAGCTTGCGCAGGCGCTCGCGGCGGCTGGCCTCGTGGTCCACGCCCCGCACGTCTTCGATCTTGGACCGGAGGTATCCCCCCGCTCCGCCCAGGGCGCCTGCGCTCCCGTAGCCGTACCCCGACGCCAGCGAGTCGCGGTCGGCCGTCGACTTGTTCAGGTACTCGGTCAGCTGCTCGTGGTCGAGCTGCTTCTGCTCGCGCGCCTTGAGCAGGTTCTTCAGCGCCTGGCTGTACGCCTGCATGTCCCGCAGGCTGCCCAGGTAGTCCTGGTCCGTGTGCTCGCGCAGCTTCTTCAGCCCCGTCGCCGTGTCCTCCACGCTGGCGGCGAACCCGTGCACCGCACTCTCGACGCCCGGCTCCAGGGTGATTAGTTTTTGGAATTGTTCGGCGAGGTCCCGCAAGTCGGTCTCGAGGTCTATTTCGCGCCGGGCGACCCGCGCCACGACCTTTTCTACGTGCCCCAAGTCCTCGTCCAGCTTGTCGCTCTTCTCGCGAACTTCGACGAACCGCTTGTCGTGCTTGTGAACTTTGGTGAAAGCGTTGATGAAGGTGTCGGCGAAGTTGTCGAATACGCCTCCGCTCCCTTGGTCGGACGCCGTGCTAGTTCTAGACGCACGGGACTTCATGGTCGCGTTCCAGTCGGGGGACTCGAGGAAGGTGTGGAAGATAGGCGCTCGGCGGAGGATAGGATGTAGGGTGATGCGCGCGAGGAAGCGTTGTAGAGAGAAGCCTCGTCGGTTGGTGAAGTCTGGGCCGAAGCGATCGCCTCGCACGTACTCCATGCGCTGTTTATCTGGCAGCGGCGGTACCGCGCATGCTGGGTAGTCCTTGGAAAGGGTCTTATAGAGGAAGACGAAATCTGTGAAGCGACGGCGAGAGGTGAAGGTTGATTTCTGGAAGGAGGGGAATGTTGACTGCGTCGGCGGTTTAGTATTGGGTATTATCATTATAGCGATATACAGCGATATATACTCATATATAGCGATATGTGGTGATATATGGTGGTAGTCTTACATGTGTAGTAATCAGATACGATACAAATGCATCTTTGGTACCGTCTTGTTCCTTGCGAGGCTCTGATACGGTGCACTCGAGGATGTCGCCGGACAGGCCGGGATCGAGGCGTTCCAGGTCGGCGCCGTGATGTTGGGCTTGTGCGCTAGGAGGCTCTGCTTCTATAGTAGGTGTAGATGAGGTAGAACTAGCCGCATTGTTACTGCTGTTCCAAGGGATATTAGAGAATGTGTCTTCGTCGATAACCGCCATGGTTGGTGGGGTTTGAGTCCGGTCCTGCTATAACCTAACCCACTGTTCGGGTAGTAGAGATCCTATAGCCAAAAATCGATTTGTAGGTTAGATAGTTTCTGGCGTCCGATTCAATCTCAATGAGTTAAAATAAGATGCGCTATTGGTTCTGGAGAGTAAGGACCGATGTTGTCGAATGTAGAGGTGCTGAAGGTTGATGATGTAGGGATTGGGATTGGATTAAGTTCCAGATTTGAGGTGGGGAGCAATCCAAAAGAGCTGCCTTAGGTACTATCGGGTTAGGTACCTAGGTAGGTAGGTAGCCTGTAAGCACCTATCAGCCTAACTATCCTCAAAGTACCTAGGTACCTTAGGTGCCTTTTTCGAAGGGCTGGCATGGCGACGTCACAGCATGTAATAATTCAAATTAAGCTTTATTCAAATCACGAGTGATATAAGCTTACAGGACAGAGCCCCTTTTCAGGCAATAACATTAGGTACTTTCAGATAGATACCTCATATTGATAAGATCTATCAACACACCTAGGTACCTCAACCCGACACAAGTTCCATCAGCAACATCATTACCTTCTTAGTAAATACTCACTTTATCCTCATTTTCATATGATCATGTTTAAAAAATAATAATAATAAATAATAATAAGTAATAATAAATAATGATAAAAACAAAAAACATACTCTAATTGTCATTATATTATTCTATCTATTCTCATCGTAGCCCGCCGTCATTCTTACAATACAAAACCCAAATTGTCCCTATCCTCGTTAATAACCCGTCCCCATTCCAGCAGCAGCCGGAACATATACACTTCCATATCCTCCCTTCTGATCGCTTTATCAGCCCACTTGCGGCCCTCCTCCGCGATCCAGCGCGCGTCCTCCAACCGCCCCTGAGTAAGTCGCGATCGCCCATTTATCGGCCCTCGATTCTTCAGCCCGATAAAGTACGCCAACGTGCTATGAAGCCCGTGGTATCGTAGGTCGACCGGTACAAAATGCACCCACGGCAACAACCGCTCCGTATACCATTCGCGGAAGATGGTTGACAAGACCGGCACGCTATTGGATCGAAGAATCGGGAGCAGGTTAGGTGACGGCCCATCCGCAGTATCAAGTACTATAATATATCGGTTATCGAATGCCTTGGCTGGTTCCTTGAACCCGAATTCTCTTCGTAGGAGCTCGCAATGTTTTGCATCCGTACAGGATCCGTCATCCGTGAAGGAAAACTGGAAAGGCAGAGGCCCGTTAGCCTCTTCTAGCAACGTCTTTTCATACCGAAATGTATCTTTCCCCTTGACCATGTCGCCAATGAGCATGGATATCGCATCGTTGGCACTCGCGTTGTTTGCGAGATGGACCAACCGATGTCGCTGTCCGCCAAAAAGTGAAGAAGTCGTTATGACCCGCGAGTCGCTAGCGTCCCCCTGCCAGAAGACAATGTCCTTCTTCTTTTCAAACCCTACATCGTCTGCCCCGATCAAATTTGGGCCTATAAGCGGAAAGAGTATATCGTTAAACCCATCCGTCTTCGATTTGCTGAATATCGGTAAAAGATCTTGGTGTAAGTCGTAGAGATGGGGGGTCGTGTGAAAGTCGTGGAGGTTGAATATATCCGGCTGGTGACACGGGTCGAGATACATCTCCCAGTCTTCCACAAATTGGCCTTGGGAGTGAGGTTTCACGCACGAAGGACAGAAATCCCTCACATCCCAATGTACGCCCCCACGGGCAGCCGAACCAGGCGGGCAGGCCAAGACTTCAAGTTGTCGAAATTTCGTTGGAGATACGTATCTTTGGGTATCCGACCCGGGAGCAACCTTGGCTGCATCGATGGGACTCCTCTTTTCCAGATTATAGTCCTCTCCACGCTTATGCGGACGACGAGGAAGAAGTCGAAATCGGCCCCTACTTCCTGCCATAGTTAATCTATGCACATCATCCCAAGGAACTAAGATCCTCGGCCGTTCATTAAGATTTATGGCAATCGACATGGGAGGGAGGTGTCCAACGAATGTTGAAATCATCGAAACAGCATAGTCTAACACCGGCAACTGTGATGACTGGGCGGGCAGGTTATGAGATACTTTGCCATCAGCAATTTTAATAATCGCAATATCCGGTAGCTCGTACACCTTTTCTAGCCCTTCTTGGATCTTTTGTGGCTTCATGCCCCAGAAAGGCCGGAGATCTTTCTCTATCTGATCATATTTATCGATGATAATCGACCTTCGTTGCTGTGCGTATTCGAACCACTTGTCGAAGTTTGGCGGCGGGTCACGCCCCTGATGGCGCTCTTTATATTCTTCGACAGCGAGCTTCAGTGTAGTGCTAACTGTTGCGTGTCGAAGCCAGCGATCTGCTTCCACCCTTCTCCTATAAACGAACTCGTCGACAGGGTGCCTATTCAGTTGTCCGTCCTTAAAAGAAGCATATATGGATGATGCGAATAGAATACAAAGAAGCGTGCACAAGAGGATCACTCGCTTGAAAACGACAATCCATCTAATGCTGTTTGCGTACGTGAAAACCACGAAGCCAAAAGAGATGAGAGATAGCACTATTAGGGGCTGGATTGCCGAGGTCTGCTGGTACGTTCCGATTAACGTGACGCTCTGGACACTAGCCAGTATACCAGAGGTGAAGGTTGCGACGGCCGTAGGCTCCATCACAGAAGAATCACAAGCCCAGAGCGCCATTGAAATGACGAAGGCGGAAACAAGCAGACCCGTGCTAAAAACATCAAAAAAATAGAGTGAACCGATTCCCCTGAAAGGATGATGGTTAATAATCTCGCGGTGCTGAGATATCCGTGCTTCCAGACACAGAAGCAAGACACCAATGGCGGCCATGAGCAATATTCCGCCAAGCTTTCGGAGACGACCCTTCGTAGTCCGCGCCCACGAAAGTACCCTCCATAACATAATTATAATGGCAGCATCGGTGAAAACACCTACCCACTGCAATAGCGGAATGAACGCGCCTGTCTTGCCATGAGTAGTGCAGAAGTAAGTGGACCTTAAGGTGAAATCGCCTGTCATAAAAACGCCATAACTCAATAAGATAGAACTAGCGAGAATATGAATAGGAGAGCTTATAAGCCAATTCTTGAAGTCGTCTAACGGGTTACCCCACATATCTTCAGGATCATCGGATGCGTCTGTAGGCGCACGATATGAAAGGAACTCATAGGCAGCTAGGAGTACAGGGAGAAAAGCCTATAGTATGTTAGACATAAGTTTACAACTAGTAAAAAATTGGTGGGGGTAGATAGGTAGGTATGCTTTACCTCTACGCCTTTAGAGGCACATTGAAAGTTGGTGAGAACTTGATGTACAATCTCCAATCGAAATACGATGAGAAATATTATACAGGGAACATAAAGACGACGAGGCCGGTGTGGCAGGGACGACTGCATTCCCTTCAGAACCGCCTCCGAATCTGCCAGGCGATATTAGAACTTGCTTCTTTACTAAACGGCTGCTAATCAAGACGTACCAAATCTTCCATCTGCGCCGGGAAGCCATTCTGAAAACAGACTAGCTATGAAAGCTACAGAGCCTGAAATGAATAAGAGCAAAAACGACGATAATCGCGGTTGGTCTATACAGCATATGAGCTTTCAAGGGCTTAATAGTTTATAAGATCGAATATATATATGAACGTACCTATTAAAGAATGTCTCTGTAAGGAACATGATAACCAGATATACGAAGCGAGAAAGCTGCGTACATACACAACAAGTTAGCCACGACTCATAAAAACCCCAAAGACCCAATGACCCAGAGACCCAAAATTCGGGTATCCATCACAACTTACCAGACAGACGTCAACCTCGAGCCTCCATCACGTGCCATTTGAACAGCATAAAAACAAAGCCATTCAACGAAGATACAGTTGACATGTAACTTAGGTACCTAACTAATGTTTCCAAATAAATAAGGAGTGAACTCGACGGTGGTCGATACGAACGGTAAAACCCACAAACGGAGAACCCTGGGCAAAAACCCGCTGAAAAAGGAAACGGAGATCCCTATTTCCCCCTGGCTGTGGCGCAGCCGGGTCTATGTGCGAATAAGCGCATCGCGAACTGTGTCAGCTGTACTGAATTCTGTGGGTTGTACAGTGCCGGGACAGTATTAGAGACTATTGTTTCTCTTATTGATTGCCACGGATCCGTGGAGCCGCAGTTCGACCTTATGCAATAAGACGAGAGACTACAGGCACGCGGCGTAAGCATAAGGGCATTGTACTAAAGACGAACCGAAGACTTTGGATAGTTACTGGCTTTCTAAATTGCACATCATTGGTGTATACGTTAGGCTCTTAGAATATGATAATCTACTAGTTATTAGTTATGAAATAACTAACTATAGTCTACAGAACCAATAGAAGAGACAAGTGGTGTTCTAGCAACTAGGTACCTCCTACTCAACCTAACCTTAACTCTTCATAAGAGATATGTGAAAAATGTGAAAAATAGAATGCCACATATAATAATGCCAAGAATATATTAACTCAATAAGAGACTTTGACTTTTCTAACTCATCTTAACTTAGGTAGTCTATCAAGTATACCATTGAAGTAAGTATTAACCTGCAAATGACTTGAGTTTCAAAACGCCCCTCATAAGAAGTGCGGCGTGTCTGAGCCATCCAAAAGAGCTATCATCTCAACGATAACCAAAGCTCTTATGCGTGAAGACTTCCGTATGATTGACGCTATGTTGAGATTCCATACATATCTTCATTATGACCTTATGTTATAACAGGTTAGGTAGGTAGGTAGGTATGTTGTCCGAGATCAGTCTTCTAAAACTAGTAGACTTCATATAGTTGCTAGTTTAAAAATATATTACAAGTAGGTAATTACCTTGGGTAGGTCAGAAGTATAAGCAACATAGAGCTTATAACATACCTTATAGCGTATATAGTTCATAGATTGGACCTCATGGTAACGAGCACACGTACGCGGCGACCAATATAACATTAAGGACTCTATTCCTCCAAAACCTGCATCTAGGTAAGTTGTTAATAAGGCGCAATAGTTTCCCAAGTCTATAATTGCCGCGTTACCTCTCAACTTTACTTGGCTGTATAAGCCACGTGTAATCAAGGTATATTGGTCGGAAGATATCGGAATAGTCTCGAAATGTCCTGTAAGTCTATAGTGGGTAGAATCACGCATGGTAGGTAGGTAAGTAAGGTAATGGAAACTACCTAACCTAGGCACGGTTGAGTTGCCTATAATACAGCATCTTAAGAAATATCCTCACGTGTCAGATAAATACCACCCTAGATATGTCTCTCCTCCCCTTTTGTGGCCTTGCTAGGTGGCAAAAGTACCTAAGGTACTGACAGCATTTCTGCTTTTGTTTATTACCTGAGTGACGGATGCCAGCCTGCTGTAACTACGATATGGAACATTCTACGGCATGCACAAGTCGAAAGAAAAGGCAATATATCTCATTTTCTATATGTAGTAACTTTGCGCTCTAGAACAAAAGCACGTTAATTCCACGCATGCTTTCCGACCGCAGCCAAGCAACGTTACGACGCACCTTATCTAGATGTCACTACATACCTCTCTCCATATACGTCATCGAGAGCAGGTATTGGGCGGGGGCGGTGAGTTAGATTAGGCTCCGTAAGCGTTGTAGTCGACCTAGCTCTCCGCCGTGCCGACATCCCCGTTGGCTCCGTCACTTTGCGGCTTGTAGGATCAGGTTTCATTGGACGATGGCATCCGTGGTGACGGCTATTGGGTTTCCCATCGTTCAGCTGGGAAAAGACCCTGATAGATAACGTCAGTCGCGCGGGTTGAGGCGGCTTTTTTTTTCGTCTCCTTTTCCTTTGGCCAACTCCGAGCGAACACCGTCACATGCTGAATTGAGATCGGGGGCTTTTCTGTGCTACGGATAAAAGATACCTACCTATTACCTATGGTGTTTAATAGAGAGCCTCGCTATTGCGCTATGGGAGGGATTGGGCGAATGCGATATTCCAAGAATCGTCAAGAATATTCCTGTCGGTTTGGGTATTACCAAGCCAACCTGTATGTACCTATTCGCGAACCAACCATATCTGAGTTTTTCTTTTTCTTGGTTCGCCCTGCTATCCCGAGGAAGCGGAAGATAACCGTGCCCGGCTGTGCTCCTCTCTGCATTCCTGCAGTATGATGCGGAAGTGACGGGAATTGTGCTTCGTAGATAGTAGAAATATGATATAGAACATGCGAAGGTTACACCGCAACGATTTCAGACAGGCAAGCAATTCGGTATCGTCTTCGAGGATAATCTCGGTCTAATTTATGATAGGAGATGCTGCATGTAGACCATTATTTTCAGAGGCTCGCTTTTATCATAGGTACTGTATCCAAGATACCCGGGGTCCGGCTCGGTGGTAGCGCTGACAATCTCAACTTTGGGGATTGGAGACCTAGATTTCCTCATATTGGGCATCAATGGATATCTTTCCAGACGTTACGGCTTTTGAAAAATGAAGTGATCAAGCAACTTCACGAAAGTCATCCGTGGCGAGGAGGTACAAGACGGCAGTAGGTGGTTCCTGCGGTCATCTCGGTCGCCTTTAACTCGGCAATTCGCTCGTCAACAATGGCCTTTCGCACTTTTGCGTGTTTAGGCACGCATGAGGAGAAGTGCTCCTTTTTTTGGCCGGGGAAAAAGAGGTATCACCATCTGGCTTACTTACAGGTTAACATCATTATTCCGTCATCCGCACTAACCGCTGTTATTCTATGATAGGTGGCCTCGGAGGTAGGCTTATAGGGCTGAGTGATGGACAGGCTAAGTTAAGACAAGACCCTTAATGTTACTGTCGCCAGATCGCCCATTTCATTTGTCCTCGGTGGCAAGATATCTGCATCTGCATCTGGAGGAAGCACGCGTGATTTGGACCCTGTCACTTTGAGCGGCTTCCCAGTTGAAGAAATTCTGGATTGTTTACCAATGATAATACCCGGCAGTAGGGGTCTTTTTCTGCTAGGTTGGACATGCGTCGGGGCAAGGGCACCCTACGGGGAGAGCGAGATGATTGGTAAATATATTCGACGTGTTCCGATGGCCACACCCTATATGCCGAATTGATCTGTGTTGCGTTCCCTCGACGGCAGCGGACCGGCAATCTCGTCAACTTCAGGACAAGTTGACAGGTCAACAACGGGGAGCCGGAGTGTTGTTCTATATAAACCTCAAATAGATAGACGGACGTTGTCGGACCTCGGACTTATCCAATTATGGAAGAGTGAAGAGAAGAGAACAGAGACAACAAAGACTAATACCTACCCGTAAGTGTACCTAGACAGATCTTGCCAAAAGCTAATCCTTATTAGCTACCTAGAACAATGCCGTCGTACATAGTATACGCCCTTGGTAAAACGCTAACACTGCGGAACCTGCACCAGAACCAACCATAATAGCTAGGATATACACCTTCGAGTTACATTATTGGACGACGGGCAGAACCAACCAACCAACCCCATGATGAACTCAGCAATCCTCCTAACCTGCAGGGTTCGCGGGGAAGAAGAAATAACGTAAGAACATGGAGATGCGGGGAAACTTACAGCTTGTATGCCAGTACATACCTAACATAGGTAGCATCACATACATTAGGAGGTACCTACCTAGGAGGTGCCTAATGTACATACCCAAGGTATGTACTAGGTTGAGCTGTGTTCATGGTGAGGCAGCGATGCATGGAAAGGGAGCCGAACATGTAGGTGAATGTGTAAATGCGATCATGTGGCGTCGGCTTATATCAATGATTGCTATACCCCCTGACCATCTTTCTGATTCGACCGGTTAGTAGCAGAGACGAACGAGCTTCCAGCCTAACCCCTAACCTTCCTACCTGCTAGGTTACAGGTAGTTAGTCCTCCTTTAGTCTCAACTCTCAAGTGTGACCATTAAGGTTTTTTTTGTTTGTTTTTTTCTCTTTGGGCGAGGTACGGTTAACCTTATGCGATACTGTAGATTATAGGAGAGCTGACGTTGCTAGCGGATGCTATTAAGCTCCACCTTGTTGACTCGTGCTATGGTAGGCTCCTTAGTTGGTGGGATGCCTGAATAGGTAATCCGAAAGTGTCCAAACCATAGCCTCCAGGAGGGTTCATCTGGTGATTCATCAGCAATGTTCTTTGTCTACCAGGCACGTGGGGTTGCGATACTGGGTTTGTAATACTTCTTAGAAGCCAAAACTTCCCCGTCATGTTCGTGTGTCTGCTAACCAGCCTTGCATAGCCAAGCTTCGCACACAATAGCATGCCCCGTCGGTCTTTGATCATATATCGGATTTTCAAACCTTCACCGGTTCCCTTCATCCCAGCTTGCCTGGTTAAGGCCGATTTCTACGATGGTACAATATGCTACCGCATCTGCGGAGAAGACTGTACTTTAGCTCGAGAACTGTTGAACCCTCGTTTATGGCTCCGAGGCCCAAGCTCTCGACCCCCCTCTCTCTATCCTAGGGAGGAGCGGAGCCCCCTCATGACCTGGTACCTATTCTCTAATTTGACTCACGGTTAGTTCCAAGGGCTACATTTGCGGCTTTGTCTCCCAGAATACAAGGGAAAGAGGAGGGGTCTAGACTTGGGCATTGTGAACGCCTTGGCGGAACTGGCACTCTCGGCTCACGATAGCTCCCGGGACAGGGGAGTAAAGCTTCGCTATATATGACGTCCATTAGGAGCTCACTCTCTTTCGATATAGAACCCATCAATCATTCACATTCTACTACTACTCCCGTGCTATCGTGGACTGTATCCTCCTTACTTGTGCTACTGGATATCCTTGTTATTGTGTTGTTCACCCCACGCCTTCTAGTCTAGCAGATCGTTATCTTCATCAAGCAAGGCATAACGCTGGCCCGCAGAACTATAACCAGGACTGAGGTGTCTTCGTTGAGACTGGACCGCACAAAGCAAAGTATATATTTATATATATTAAGTCGTCTCGGGCCTCCTATACCAAGAACCCCCAATTAGATTAGAGCAATTCACAATGTCGAACCTTGCGCCGAGAATATCGCGAGCCGTCCCTTCAGCGGGAAGACTGACCCGCGCTATGCCGCGCGCGATACCGGCATGCAGCCTTACAACAAGAACAGCAGGGACAGCAGCATGCAGGTTACTTACCTCTCATCAGGAGCCGGCAAGCCGGCCTTTTCACAACACCGCGGCTAGCGGTACCAAAGTCGACCTAACTCAGAGCAGCCCCCCGGGTATATTACCCGAGTTCAGCTTGAAGGGTAAGGTGGTCGTCGTCTCGGGCGGAGCGCAAGGACTCGGTCTCGTGCAGACCGAAGCGCTGCTCGAAGCAGGGGCAAAAGGTGCGAAGAATGAACCCGATTTTATTTAACGTCCTGTCGAGAAAAAAATAAATAAAGATAAAGATAAAAAAAAAAAGAATGCTAACTGGTGATTGGGGGGTGGTGACAACAGTACACGTTCTAGACAGACAACCCCAGCCCGGCGCGGGCTCGTCGTTCGACAAAGTATCTCGCCGGGCCAAGGACGAGCTCGGCGCCTCGCTGAGCTACCACCAGGTCGACGTTCTGGAGGGAGCCGAAAAGCTCCACAAGATCACGGAGGGGATCGTCGCCCGGGAGGGACATATCGACGGCCTGATCGCGGCCGCGGGCATCCAGCAGGAGACACCGGCTCTGGAGTATACCGCGGAGGACGCCAGCCGCATGTTGGGAGTCAACGTCACGGGGGTTCTCCTGACGGCGCAGGCCGTGGCGAAGCACATGTACCAGAACGACACCCCCGGAAGCATCGTGCTGATCGCCAGCATGAGCGGCAGCATCGCGAACCGCGGGTTGATCTGCCCGTAAGTTCTACTGACTTCCTTCTCCCTACCCATTCATTCCCCTTCCTCCTTCCATGAATTGTACTTCCCAACTCAACTCAACTAACCCTCCCGCTTTCCTCCCCTCGCAGGGTCTACAACGCGTCGAAAGCGGCGGTGATCCAGCTGGGGCGGAACTTGGCGATGGAGTGGGGGGTGAAGAACATACGGGTGAACACGATCTCGCCGGGGTACATCGTGACGGAGATGGTGCAGAAGCTGTTCGAGCGGTTCCCCGACCGCGCGGTCGAGTGGCCCAAGCAGAACATGCTCAACCGCCTCAGCCGGCCCGAGGACTACCGCGGCGCCGCCGTCTTCCTGCTCAGCGACGCCAGCCGCTTCATGACCGGCGCCGACCTGCGCATCGACGGCGGGCACGCCGCTTGGTAGAGCAACGCTGCGACGGGGGAGTGGTTCGGCTTAGCCGGTATATTAGGTACCTCTTATACGTATATAGATATACAGCGCCTTTACCTAAACTGGTAAAGATATCCGTCTGCTCGTTGGGGACAAGCGGCAACAGATTTCCCCGCGGCGGAGCTTGATGATAACGAACGAGTCTATATTCGGCGTATTACCGAACGTACAAGGCAACGTGGTAGACGGCGTCGTTTCTTTTTTTAGGCCCCCCCCCCCCTTTTTTTTTTTTTTTTGCAGACCTCGAATCGCAATCATATAGTTACACGAAAGAATGAACCTATCACACGTGCCCATTTCAAGTTGTCATGTAATAATAAATTTAACTCGCTTTATACTTTGCATGTTGTTTGTTCCCGTAGTTGTTGTTATTGCACCTAAGTCAGCGGCAGCGTAACCCCCTTGGGCCCCAACCTCTCCATCGCACCGCTCTTGATCCGCAACCTCTTCTCGATATCCGCGGCCGGTGTGCCCCTCGCCTGCAGCACCAGCGCTTGCTTCAGAGTCCCCACGTCCAGGAACTCCCTCCCCCCTCCTCCTCCTGCTGCTCCCGGGCGACCGGCCAGGCCGCTCTCGAACTCGCCCGTCGCGCCCTCCTGCAGCCTGCGCCGGGCCTCGAGCGCGCTGAGCGTCTGGTTCTGCGCGGGGGAAGGGAACGCGTGGCTGTGGGGGCCTTGGTCGGGAGCGCCGGGGTGCAGGGACGCGGACGCCGTCGACGAGTTGGATAGCGTCGGGTTCGGCGTCGCGACGCCCATCTGCTTCAGCCGCTGCGAGAAGGCTGCGTTCGTGAACGGGTTCGGGTCTAGGTCCGGGTCGGCGCTGTCGGCTTTGATTGCTGGGAAGCGGTTGCGTGGTTAGCGGTTGCGGTTTGCGGAAGCCTAGCCTAGCATGATATGACATGACGGTAGTAGTAGTGGGAGTGACAGTGCTCACCGTCGTCTTTCGAAAACGACGCTCGCCCTTCCGGCGCCCGCCGTTGCGCTGCTGCGGGCTGTGACTGCAACTGCGACTGCGACTGCGGTTGCGGGCGAGCGTGTGGAGGAGCGGCGCTGCCGGGCGCTCTGGCGGGGAATTTGCGTGTCGCCGATTGGGCGGGTTTCGATGCTCTCGCTCCCATGGCAGATAGATGCTGTATATTAACTATTAATTATGTCCCCCTCTCCGCTGGTTGTGATTAATTGGTGCTTGCTAGGAAATACGTACTATGTGATGGTACGGCAGGTAGCGGGTAAGTAGCGCTAGCGAGGTTTTTGGTTAAAATTTCTAGATGACGTTACCGTACGTTAGGTAGGTGTCGGATAGCTGTAGCTTAAGGGAGCTTGGGCCAATGTTAGGTACCTAGGTACATCAGGTACAATGCAAAGTTCAATTCTGTGGTCTTCGTCCTGGACGTCGGGTTTTACCATTACATGATTTTTCTTTTCCGTATTATTCCTCAACGTCTTAGCATATACTGAGAAATTTACTGCTAACAATGTTCAAACAATATTCAAAGTCGTGCATCTATATTCTGACTTCTAGTTCTCACTTTGCTATTACGTTGTAAAGCTGCTAGTTTCTCCAGGTGATGGTCTTCGTTCTGACCCATTCTTCTATCCCGTTCAGGGAGTTAAACCGCCCGTATCCGCTCTCCTTAGTTCCTCCGTGAGGTAATGTCGGTTCATCGTGCACGGTCATATTATTTATATGAACCGCGCCGGTCTCTATACCCCGTGCAAATCGCAGGCCAACCTTCAGATCCTCGGTGAACACGGCGGATGCGAGGCCGTATTCGGTATCGTTGGCTATTCGCAACGCCTCTTCTTCCGTTTCTACTTCGATAAAGCTGACAGACATGCCGAATGATTCCTGCTTGTACAGGTCCATGTCAGATGTCACCTTACCGGCGACTATCGGCCTCATCCTTGTCTTGGAACTTTCCGTGGCATCTACGTTCCCGTGGAGGACAACGGCGCCCTTGCTGATCGCATCCTTTAGGAGGTTTTTGTTCTTGTCGACGCTTCGAGAACTGATCAAGACTGGGGCATCGCCCTTTGACGGGAACATGTTCTCGATGGTTGCAACTAGCTTCTCTTTGAATGCATCGCTGATCTTCTTATGAACGATGATCCTCTCCGTGCTCATGCACACCTGTCCGGAGAAAACGAACGCCCCCAGGGCGCACTGTTCGGCAGCGAGGCCCAAGTTGGCGTCTTCCCATACGATAGCTGGTGCCTTGCCGCCGAGTTCCAGGACGAGCGGTTTTAGGTACTGACCCGCTATCTTTGCGATGATCTTCCCCACCGCGGTGCTTCCGGTGAAGTTGATCTTTTTGACATGTGGACTTGAGATCAAATACTCGGTTACCGATGGCGCGTGGGCCGGGTCGGTTACTATGTAATTCAGCACTCCTTTAGGTAAGCCGGCCTCGTAGAGGATGGACACGATAGCATGATGGCTACGTGGCGACAATTCGGATCCCTTGAAAACAACCGTACAGCCAGCCGCAATGGGGTAGAGTACTGCGCGGAGGCCTAGGATATATGGCGCGTTCCTTCGCAGGTGTTAGCCTAGGCTTTTACTGCGCAAGTTAATCGAGTGAAGCTTACCAAGGCGCCATTGCTAATACAACGCCGTACGGTTCTTTCACGAGGAGAGCTGTGCGGCCCGGACCGCATGGGGGAATGCTGCCTTCTACAGCACTTACTCGCCCTGCTACATCCTTGGTCATATTAACGATAGTGGTGAGGTTGAAGTCGGCCAAGCCACGCTCAGCCCCAACTTCGTCGAGTAGATATTTAGCTAACTCCTCCTTTCTGCGGTCTATGATCTCAGCTGCTCTGAGAATAATATCCCGACGCTCGGCTATTGACGAATTTCGCCATTGCTGACCAGCAGCTGCGGCAGCCTCGATAGCTGCGCGAGCGTCTTCCTCTGTTGCTATACCGCATTTGTGTAAGACCTTACCGGTGTCAGGCGATATCAAATCGAAGGTCTTCTCGACGAGGTGCTCCTCGCCACCAATGACAAACGGTACGGTGTGTGTTGACATGTTTGCGGTGTCTTTGGTGAATGGTCAAATAGAGTTGTAGACGGCGTTGAGCTGGTTTAATTCTAAATTTGTAAACCCCAGGCAATCAATGCCCTTTAGGATATTCTGCATCCTAGATATCGGTGTTATACCAACTAGGTAAGCGGGGCCTAATGGGAACGAACCAACGGGATACGAATCTCACATCTATTACCGAGATTCAATGCCCTGGTAACATCTTGGCTATCTCTCACCTGAGTTCTCACTCAAGCCAACCCCACCTTTAGTCACATCACATTCTAACTGCTCTACTACTAGTGTATCCGGTAATTTGTTCGTATCACGTAACACTAGATCTTCAACCGGGAGATGAGGAATGATTCATAAACCCTTGTACGTTTACCAATGCGGATAAAAACTTGGGGTACACGCATAGGTCGAAAGCCTTACGCAACTATAATATAAGCCGGCTTTCTTTACCGTCGCTATTAATCGCTAACATACCTAGATATGTGTTCTTCGTTGGTTGTGTTCTGTTCCTCGTGAGACCGAGACATTTCAAACAGCGCAACTACTTAGAAATGTTAGAATGGTATACTAGGTAGTACTCATCTTGTGACTCAAGGTTAGTTAAGAATAGGGATAAATTAACCGAGAACTTCGTTACAGTAAGCTCACGTAGAAGAGATCATTGGACGATGGGATTTTGTTGGATGATATTAAAAATGAGCAAAAAACATATTCCGCAAATAGTCTTTTATATAGTCCAATATTTCTACTGTCTAGGGGTAGTTAGTCTATACTATGTACATGGGATGCCATGCTTTATGCTTGGCCAATAAGCCAGATCAATATATTCACCCATGTCCCTGATCAATTACTATGGCGAACAAAGGTCGCCAGCAGCTTGCATAAGGTATACTACATTCGACTGCCCGTTATAATAACCCAACCCCCCGGATACGCCTGTAATATCAAACCGTAATAAATCGTGCCGTCGGGTATCTCATCTCTGTGGAACACTATTCGGAGTCGGCATCGAGAGCTTAGCTACTATGTATGTAGTTCTCCCTGATGCACCCTAAGCCGTAACACTAGTAGTTAGTTCCTGATCCTATTACTTCTCTCCGCAGGACCAGGCGACAATTATCGGACGAAGCCAATTCTCCATGACACCCCTTCGCATTCCCATTTCCATTTCTGTTTCTGCTTCCGGCGCTCGCAACCCCGTTCTCTCGCTTCCCTCGTTCCCTCACCGGCTACCGAATATATCCCGTCTCTCGAGTATCGACCGGCTCTTAACCTGGCTCACAAACTCCTCGACTTCCATCCTGACGATGTGCTCGCCGGGGACGACGACCAGGCCCAGGTACCGCGACGTCATGTCCAGGGCTACCTTGTCTTCCGCGCCGGACCCGGGTCCGGAGTCGGGGTCGGGGTCGGGGTCGGAGCCCGCGAAGGCTTGGGCTTTGGCCTCGGCTACCTTCTGCTGCGACGGCTCGCGGTACTCGTAGGTGAGCGCTAGGACTACGTTGCTATGCTGGAGACAGACATACACGTAGGTAGTTAATATGAGGTGCGATGGTTAGGTATGTTATGATGGTTATGCTAGGTACGGAGAGGGCGAGGGGTGACGACATACCGTGTCTGTGCATTTAAAAGTCCCAATGAAGATGCGCCCGTCCGTCGTGTAGATCCGCAGGGTTTTGTCGAGCAGCGACTTGAGGAATGCTTCGGCCTCTACCGGGTCTGTGGTTTCCTCCATGGTTTTATTTATATTTGATATTATTTGGTTTCTCATTAACCATGCGCGTGAACTACTAAAAGCAGACCTCTACTCGGTATGTATTCTGTGCTAATGGGGACTTGGAGACTTGACTTGGAGACTTGGAGGGGCAAGATGTACATGTAAGGCTTATCGATAGAAAGTTACACTTTTGAAAATTGATAGGTTAGGTAGGTACCTACCTCGTAAGCTATAGCTATTTAGGTACTGAGTTTTACTGGGGAAGGCCCACTAGTAGAAACGTTTCCTAATACAACATCGTTTTTAATCATCAAAATATCCACATGGTGAGAGCTGCAGGATTCGAACCTGCACGGTTTCCCATCGCGGGCCTTCACGAAGTTGATGAAATTGATGGAAATTAATCGAAAGTTGCAAACGGTTTGATGAAAAAGGACGAGAATAAATGACAGATGAAGACGAAAAGCAGAGCAACCCTAAACAAGCGTTGGGAGGACACATCGTCACACTCAACGAGTCCAGAGACAATTGAGTGTCACGGTACTGTCTTTATAGGTGGAGATAGCATCGTCAACACCTCGAGTTGACATCGATCTTTACACTACTACGTATGATGCAATAGTTCTGTTTACAACAACAATAACAACCTCAAGTCATTTTCCTCCATCGACAAAATGAACCAGTACCGTTCTTTTGTCCTCCCCGATTTGCTAAATGGCGATGATCGCTAAAAGCTTTCTAAACGTATTGATATTTTTCATCCAGGATATCCTAATATGCCTCTGCTGTTAAGCTTATACGTATTTGATAACGGCGGTGTTCATTATACTGTAGCGTACTACGCATGTTGTATTGTAGCTGGAAATATATGGGAATTAGATGAGGGTAGAATATAGAAAGTTAACGAGCCTTTTCTATTTATAACCCGAAAGCCTATCCCTATTAATATCCCCGAGGATAGCATCTTACGTGAAGAGCGCTATTTCTTCAACAATCCTAAATATTCAAACTGTAAGTATGTCCCTATTTTTAACGTTTATATTATATCAACTACCTAGGTAATATTAATCAAAACGTACCTTATATAGTTCGCTATCCGATTATTTCCTCTTTCGATCATTGGATCTTTCCTCCGAAGTTGCCACCACCTTGGGAATCTCTGAAGCCGTCAAACTCGAGCGCAAGTGAAACTATGCCAAGGCCCCCGGTTCACCATGAATCTTGCCGAATAACTGGCCACGCGAGCGGGCTTGATATGGCTCGTTTGATTCCCAAGGTCTGTGATTCCTGGTTCAGTTCGAATTACATGCGTGAATATGCATCGAATACTATACATAATAATGCTCTAGACGATGCCCCTAACCGCCTGCCCCTCCGTACGGATATCCATCGTTTCCTGGATAGAAGCTACCTCACTATTGTCCCGAAGCCAAATTCAAAGGACAGCCCGAGTGCTACCCGTTCCTATACCTTGACCACACATATACTTCGACCGACTAACAGGTCGATTTACGCTAACGTTGAAATGATATCGCTCTACCATAATCTCAAAGTTCATCCACTCAATGGAAACCCTATAGAATATGCTTTCGCTCGGTTTGCCTGGAATCTTTTCGTCGATACTATACTCCTACTTTTCCAAAACAAAAATATGACGACGAGAACGATGTTCTACATTTCAGTCTCCGAGAGATCAGAGGAAACTATGGAGCGTCAGTTAGAACACAAGGAGTTCAAAGGCAACCCGCCATTACCGAGAGCCTGGAAGAAGGAAAAGCCTCATAGTAGAAAACGTTCCTGGTCCGAGATGGCACGAGATGATGTCGATAGTACCGGTGATACTGAGTCTGTAGATTCATACGGTTCCACTGCCTACGACGCATATTTTGAAGATATATATAGAGAGTGCTACGATAACGGCAGCGAATATCTATACAGTGAATACGACGATAACGGCAGTGATACGTACTCTCCGAGAAACCGCTCCCGGTCTTCTAGTCCCGACAGTAGCGAATAGCTCTGGTAGAATGGGCCTAATGAAGAACGCATAAGGTAGCTTTCATGGCGCTACCTTAGGTAGGTAAACGCCTTGGGTTTCACCAAGGACTATGACATCACGGTCTCATAAGAGGTATTTTCAAAGTAACTGTTCGAAAGGGTTTTCTTTGTCTTATAGGGTTATTAAGCGTATATTTCTGACGGTCCTCGGGGTATTTTCAAAGTAGCGATTCCAAAGGTCTTACTTTTTTTTATAAGGTTATTAAGCGTGTATTTCGGACGGCCCTTGTTTTACGAGAGTCAAATTATTAGGTACCAATGTATTTCTAACAGGTTTTATTTTATTATCTTGAAGCAATAAAAAAAAAGTACAGCTTTACAAGTAACTAGTTCGGTGTACCTAGGTAGTAGTAATAAACGCGCGACGCGTTTTGCAATAATATAGATTGAAATTTCAATTACCTATTTTCAATATACTTGCGGTTATCTGGCCAATAAGTATTTGCGGCTTTAATTTAGCTTACAAAATAGGTGGGACTGCAAAGTATGAGGTACATGGTGCATAAGCCGTAATGTGACCCGTGCTACCTAGGTAGGTACCTCTCATGAACAGGTGCGGCGTCGAGTCATCATCCTCATTTCCATCTCTCTCAAACAACTACCCACTTCACCCACTTCAGGCAACAATAACAACTACAACAACAAACAAGCAATTATATTTAATCTAATTCTCTCCAAATTCACAGGCACTTAGATGGACACCGCTAACAATGCGGATATACTTCATTGTATATGAAGGTTACCTATATACTTCAACTGTATAGCATCAAATAAATCACGTTCACTGCTTTTGCAAATCCTGCGCCGTCATGGGTGTTAATGGGCTCTGGACCGTCGTGCAGCCCTGCGCTCGCCCGACGAACCTAGCTACGCTAAATCGTAAACGTCTCGCTGTCGATGCCTCTATCTGGATATATCAGTTTTTGAAAGCCGTCCGTGATAAGGAAGGAAACGCCCTGCGCAATTCTCATATCGTCGGCTTCTTCCGCCGCATCTGCAAGCTGCTTTGGTTCGGCATCCAACCCGTCTTCGTCTTCGACGGCGGCGCCCCCGCTCTCAAGCGCCAGACCATCACGAATCGAAAGCGGAGACGGGAGGGCCGAAGAGAAGATGCCGTTCGTACCGCTGGTAAACTCTTAGCCGTGCAGATGCAGCGGATAGCGGAGGAGGAGGAAGAGAAGCGCCGGAGAAGGGCGGAGCGTGAAGACGAGGGTAGGCCAGATGTAGACGAACCTCCTGAAGAGCTTCCCAGCGCGGATCAGTTGGTTTATGTGGACGAGCTGGGGATGAGCCAGGCCGAACGACAGAAGAGCAGGAAGTTCCACAAACAAGACGCTTACCATCTACCTGAACTAGATAGGGGTATCGAAGGTATGGGTCGGCCTGAAGATCCACGCATTATGAGTATTGAGGAGTTGGAGGAGTACGCGAGGCAATTTAATAGTGGCGAGGACATCAATGTCTACGACTTCAGCAAGATCGACTTTGAAGGCGAATTCTTCAAGAGTTTACCGCCCGTCGATAGATATAATATCCTCAACGCGGCGAGAATACGAAGCCGATTGAGGATGGGTTTGAGCAAAGAACAACTAGATGGCATGTTTCCTGACAGGATGGCATTCTCCCGCTTTCAGATCGAGAGGGTGCGCGAAAGAAATCATTTGACGCAAAGACTTATGCAGGAAGCTGGAATGTCCGGAACGGATCTTACCCTGGCAAAAAATGCGCGCATAGCTGGCGAGAAAGATCGAGAATACATATTAGTCAAAAATGACGGGGCCGAGGGTGGATGGGCCCTTGGTGTTGTTAGTAAAGAGAAAGATCGCGGCGAGATACATAAGCCTATCGATGTGGACGCCCTGGACTTTCAATACCAGACTAAAGAAGAGGACGATGAGGACTGGGAGGATGACGATTTTGAAGATGTGCCTATCGAAGGTGTAAACCGGCTACCGAAGGTTCAGCCTGGATCTAGGCCTAGATTGCAGGATGGTCAAGATATTTTCGTTGATGACGAAGACGAGTCGTTATTTGTTGGGGGGAACGTTGAAGATAGTGCCAACAACCTCTTCGAACCTCGAAATGGTGAGGACATTCTCATCAATGATGAAGATGAAGATCTTAATCGAGCTATCGCCTTATCCTTAAAGAACCAGCATGGTGTAAATTTATCGGGGTCGGAAGAAAGAGAAACAGAGGAAGAGGAGGAATTTGAAGATGTTCCTGCCCCCGAGTGGACTCAAAAGGCTACCGAAGAGCCAAAGCCGATTACTTCCACTAGTGGGAATATGATCGCGCATATTGTGAACAACAGAGCCAACGCTGCCATATCTAGACCTGCGCCGGCAAGACGGGATAGCAATGGGAGCAGTGATAGCGAAGTAGACCTGCGAGCTGCTCTATCAAAAAAGAAAAAGAAGGCACCAACCTTTAAACCTCAACCAGCTCCTGTGGTTCCAAACGTAAAGAATCCGTTTGATGGACCTTTACCATTCGAAAAATTGGACTGGAAGTCTAGCATCTTTGCAAATAAGGAGAAGAAGGCACCTACTAAAATTGTTGAGAAAGAAATAGAAAAAGAAATGGGAGAAGAGCTAGCATCTGATGAGCTCGCCGGTGGTTTCATACGGGATGAGGATGAAGATGTTGCTAATGACGAGAACATACAAGAAAGCGGAGCAGCACGTCCATTACCGCCGTGGATGATGCAAGATGAAATCGATATTCGTGAATCTCTCAAGGTTCAACAAGCCATCGAGCGTGAAATCAATGAGCAGGACCGGGAGGCCGCGCTTGAAGAGGAAAGGCAGCGGCGTAAGGACGCAATTATTGAGATCGAATCCTCGGACGACGAAAGCGACGTGCAAATTGTCGAGGCACCACCACCGCCGCTCCAGAAGAGTCCTGCGGATGTAGAAGAAGATCGAGACACACCGCGGCTATCCCCTGCTACTTTAACAAGGGTCAATCCGCCTGTTGCCGATGACGAAGGTGAAGTAGAAGACACGCGCCGCGCAGACATCATACAGGAGCAAACTGCTTCCCAAGTGGAGGCGATGGACGATACGGTACCTAGTCCTAGATCGGCTTCTAAATCAACTTCGCCGGAACCGGATTTTGAAGAAGTCGAGATTTTACAGCCCCCGGAAGAACCCGCCAGTAATGATGTTGCTCTTCAGCCAGCATCCCCTAAGCCTACTTTTGAGGATGTCGATGTGCCTGCGCCAGACGCTTTCGATTCTCCTGATAGATCGAATCCTGTGGCCGATGCAACAAATGACGAGATTTTTGGCGACGCAGACTTCGACGATAACGAATTTAGCGACCCCGAGGAAGAAGAACTACTCGCTCAGATGGCCGAAGAGGCGGAAGAGCATGCACGTTTTGCCAGCCAATTGAATAACAAGTCCGAAAAAGAGAACCAAGAAGCATATGAGCGGGAACTTAAAGCACTACGAACACAGCAGAAGAAAGACCGAAGAGACGCGGACGAAGTTACACAGGTCATGATCACGGAATGTCAAGCGCTGTTACGATTTTTCGGCATTCCCTACATCACTGCGCCAATGGAAGCAGAAGCTCAATGTGCCGAGCTGGTGAAACTTGGTCTAGTCGACGGTATAGTGACAGACGATTCGGATACGTTCTTGTTTGGAGGCACGCGAGTGTACAAGAACATGTTTAACGGAAACAAGTTTGTCGAATGCTATCTGGGATCCGATCTCGAGAAAGAACTATCGCTCTCCCGCGAACAGCTCATCTCCTTGGCTCAACTACTCGGCTCCGATTATACGGAAGGTCTCCCGGGCGTCGGACCCGTGACCGCCGTCGAGATCCTTTCCGAGTTTCCCGGTAGAGACGGACTCGCGAAGTTCCGAGAATGGTGGCAAGACGTCCAGATAAACAACCGGCCGAAGGAAGTAGATCAGGGATCGACCTTTCGTAGGAAATTCCGCAAGTCCCAAGCTACGAAGCTGTTTTTACCTCCCGGCTTCCCCAACCTAGCCGTATACGACGCTTACCTGCACCCAGAGGTGGACAGCAATCCGGAGCCGTTCCAATGGGGCGTGCCCGACGTAGCGGGCCTACGGCAGTTCCTAATGAGCACGATCGGGTGGAGCGAGGACCGGACGGACGAGGTTCTCGTCCCCGTCATCAGGGACATGAACCGCCGCGAGGCCGAAGGCACGCAGAGCAACATCACGAGGTACTTCGAGGGGGCCGTAGGGGCCGGGGCGAAAGAGGCTTTCGCGCCGAGGCAGAGGGTGCAGGGGAGCAAGCGCATGGCCGAAGCGGTTAACAAGCTGCGCGCGAACGCCGTGGTCGAGGGGGTTTCTGCTACTGCTACTGCAACTGCAACAGAGGCAGAGGTTCAAAGAAAGGATGAAAGCCTTGCGCCACCCCCGCAACAATCATCTGGACGCAAGAAGAAGAGGAAGGCTGGGAGTGGACATGCTATTACGAATGATAATGATGATGATGATGACTACAATGACAACGATGATAAGGATAATGGCGTTAAGAGAAGCGCGAACAGGCAAAAGACCAAAGGCGCAAAGAGAGGTAAGAGAACTAAGGTGTCTACATAATAACTGCGTTTTTTTTCTGGTTACCTTAGGTGTAGGTACCTAATGTACAATACGTCGTGGTATTCTAGAACTAGGTGTTCCTAGAGAGGCTCAGGCCCTTTATAGATGCGCTAAGTTAGACATGTATAAATATAATCAACATTGAAAGTGATGTGTTGTAGAATAAATACTCTAGTGAATAATACAACAAGCATTGAAAAAAAAAACTTAGCTCGTCTAGATATCCATGTATTTCGTTTTCATGACTTGACTATAACATAACGTTTACCCGAAGAAAAAAATCGATGAAAACAAGAAAAATAAGGGATGTGTTATAAAAAAAGTGTAAAATTGAAAAAAGGAAATTTCCGACGTGGGCCTGATTCGAACAGACGCTCCCGAAGGAACAAGATTTCTAGTCTTGCGCATTAGACCACTCTGCCACCACGCCTTGGATGAATAGCCGGGCCGGTGGATAGCCTTATAAAACGTGGTTCCGCTCGCGCCCCCTCCCCCCGTCTTCACGATCCGATCCGATCCACCAAGAGGAACCTCGGGACCATTTAGCTTGAACAGGAATTCTAGGTACGAATGATGCATGGAAGATACCTTAGGTACCTACCTAACCTAGGCTTGAGGATGTGCGTTCAAACATGCGAAAATCTGCTTATTCACAACTACTTAAGGTAGATAGGTATAACTTGGGTGTGTGGCATATGCAAGGTATGTAGGTATATGTATATTAATATTCGCAATTCCCCAAACGCCTTACAAACAACCAACCATCCCATACGCCAAAATTGCTAAGTAGTATATATATAAGGTTAGGTAGGTACTGTATAGATATACCAGGTACCTAAGAGGTATATATAGGGGCGGCGGCGGTAGCAGTAGCAGTAATATCGTGCTATAATAATTCTAGTTCTGAAGGTCCGAAAAGACGTCTAATAATTCTTCGTGAAGACGTTTTTTTTTAAAAGAACACAAGAACTCATCGTCCCGCTTGAGACTTTTTTTTTTATCTTCCGTCCCTTAAGAGCCTCGAGCTTTGCTTTTCGTTTTGGGCAGCCCTTCCTTCGTCCTCGTCGTCGCTATCATCGCGGCTAGCTATGTCGAAATGATCCCTCCCCATATCATTCTCGTCCTCGTCCTCGCTGCCACCCGCAAAGGCGTCGTACAGTTCACCAGCGCGCCGTTTCTGGTTGCCCTTCTCGCCCGCAGCACCCATGTCATCGCCGTCATTAGCAGTGAGCGGCTCGAACTCGTAGTCATCCCGGGGGTTATTGAGGCGCTGCTTACGGCGCATGAACCAGAACCAGGCGCCGAGTCCACAGCAGAAGGCGACGATGAGTCCAAGAGAGCCGTAGATCCAGGCTTGAGTGCTAGAAGAAACACCAAAGGTAGGAAGGAATGAGGGTAGCCAGGAACTTTCAGCAGTTGTTGTTTCCGCCGCGGCAGACTCGGTGCCCGTCTCTGCAGCAACGCTCTCGCCTGCTGTCTTGCTTGGCTTGATTGGGCGCTCAGGGTGGTCCGATGGAACGGCAGTTGTCGCTGCGGTCTTGGTAGCATCTGGGTTTGGCGGGAGGTTCGTTGTTGCGACAGGGGGTGTAGCAGTGCTTGTCACATCGTGGTTTGCGTCGTCGTCGTCGTTTGGCATAGGCAATAACGTGGCCTTAGACGCATCGATACTCTCACCCCACAATTTCAGGTGCCAATCGATGAACTTGCCAGAGTAGTTATTTACGATGCTATCGCGTACAATGAGTGTCCACTTGCCGACTCCAGACTCGCCCCTAGAAAAGTATTAGCTATGAAAACAGTATAATCAAATCTAGTATGCTTACCAGTGAACAACACTCATGAAAGTCCAGTCTTTATAGCCTTCCTTGCTAACATCATGTTTACGTGTAGCAGAAATGTGGCTTACGACATTATCTGGGCTGATGAGATCGACACTCAAGTCGCCTCGGCGGGTGTGCTCGACATTCATCGTCACGGTAACATGTTCGAGGCGCTCTAAGTTCGCTTCCGCCAGCATCTCTTTTGTAACTTCGAAGGTAACCGATAGTCCCTTGTCTCCCTGAGGAATATCCTTATTGACATGCAGCCATGGGGAGTAAAACCAGGCCTGGGGTTTGACGTTCTTCCAAGTCTTTGCCGTCTCCACAAGGGCGTAGCTGTCAACCTTGCCGTAACCGAACGTGTGACTGAAATTCTTGCCGATCGTGGTAGGTTGCCAATCTCCCGTGTCCAGGTCGACAGGCACCGCGCTCTGCATTGCGATATATTGCATGTCTCTCCAGGATAAGTCGGGTCGTACTTCCAGAGCCAAAGCAAAGATGCCAGCAGCTAGAGGTGCAGCAGCAGAGGTACCTCCATGCCCGTTATAACATTGGTTCTCTCCGACGTCGGTCGTATGTATGGCATCGCCGCTGCCGCTGCTGTAGGTAACGACGAGTTGAGCTGAGCATTTCTCCGAGTAATAAGGATGCAATCCCTGCCTATCAATGGCACCAACAGTGATACTGTAAATGCTATTCGTATAACCGTCAAAGTTGCAGTTATCTTCGCTTTGGGCGCCGTTGCCGCTAGCGAAAACGTATATAGATCCCTTGTTGGCACGTCCTTTCTGAACACCATTCAACATGGCTCTCTTGATAAGAATACCGGGGGCATCCATCGACTGTCCATCATCCGGCGGACCCCAGGAGCAGGAGTAAATATCGTTATGATCGAAATCGTAATTCATCGCTTCAGCTTCGTCCGCATCTGTGATCAGCTTACTCAGAATGCGAATCCCGGCAATCTTGGAATCGTATGCGACGCCGACGCCACAGACGTCGTTCTTCGCAGCTCCTACTTCGCCGGCGCACCGGGTACCGTGTCTATCGTCGGAAAGGGTTGGACGAGGCTCTGGTCTTTGGTCGTTAAAATCGTAACTACCAGCAGCGTAGTAGTTCGGCTTTAAATCATTGCTGTACATATCCAACCCGTCGTCGACAATAGCTACGGTTGCATTCTTGCCTGTGACGCCGGATAGCCAGACATCAGTGACATTCACGTCGTGTCCTAGCTGAACAGGGTTGAAAAGGTGCCACTGCTCGTGGAATATCGGATCAGAAATCCCGAGTTTCCCCATTACGAACTTCTGCCTTTCCACTGCTTTCGGATCCGGCTTATCTTCTCGTTTTCCAGGATAAAGACCAGCAGGCGGAGGTGGGATGACTCGCTTTTGCATGGGAGCCCGTAGCTTCTGCTTATGTGAGGATTTTACGCCATCTAGAACATCCGCATTACCTAGCGACCGCTTCCGCCGATGTTCTTGCACAGCGCGTCGCACGATATCTTCGGTAGTTTTAACGGTAGAAAATATGTGATGACCTGGAAGTTGGCCTAAAGGGCCCTCATGTCTGAGACCAAGGCGAGACGCGATCAGGTCGGGTTGAGCATCGCGTTCGAGGTGGAGGACGTAATAGTCGTTAGAGTTGAAATCTCGGCCTTGTAGGGCCGCGGTGCCTAATCCAGCAAGGCCACCGGCGACTAGAGTAACGAGAGGAGCGAACTTCATGATGTGGGTTGGAGTAGACTTTGGTTGAAGCGCCCCGCGGAGGTAAAGGCAAGTAGGTGGTTTATCGATATGGTCGAGTAGAGGTGTAATCGGGCGTCGAGTGTCGAGGTGTCGAGTTATGAGATATTGTCAAGATAGGTCTAGGTACTTAGGTAGTTGTAAGGTAGATAATTTCAAGTAATCAAGGCCCAAAAAAGACAAGAAGCAGACGAAACAAAACGCCTTCGCTCAAGGCAATGCACGAAAACCCCTTTATGAAAATGGTAAAGGAATTCACTAATCAGATGGAGAAGCAATCTCCTCGTCGATTGACAATGGTTTATTGACGCAGATAAATGTAGTCTGCTAACTAAATGTTACAATACGACCGGTTTAGTTGTCGTCATGGACCGGTAAGAGTATTGCGAAAATATTGAATGAATGAATGAAGACAGATAGGAGGAGGAGGAAGAAGAAATGGAAGGTTTCAACTTTGTCGCTGTTAACGCGAATGCGCACGCAAGTTTGTAGGGCTGTGGTGGCGTAATCTTATCACCCTCTGCGCTAAACAGGCTCTAATACACCAATGCTTTATTGGGGTTTGACCACTGCGTAATACCTACCTAACCTAAGGTAGGCAGCTCACAGCGGACAGAGCGGGAACTTGGAAGCCAGGTGTTCCTAAAACGCTTCTGAGCCACACGCTACTCCCATCCGAGTATTAGATTACCTACCTTATGTAACAACATTATGGAGATCGTCTCAAACTCCCATTGGCTCTTTTACTCTTTGATTAGGTTGTCGAGGACCCTGAAATAGCACCTTCAGTTTACGTTATTGGAGTTAACAGAGTTATGTAGGTACTGCCTAAGGTACATTTTGTGCAAAGCGTATTATTTCCTAACGGCGAGGTTATTCAAAAGGATAATGAGCAACTTTTTTTTTTCTTCTCTGGATCTACGTCGTAAAACATTTGCGAAATGAGCATTCCAGACTTCGAAATAATTACCTTAGGAGGTGCCTACCTAACCATGGGTATTTCCCCTTTAGATATGACATCACTGCCAATCGAAGATCTACAGATTCGCGGCCGTCGACATCTAATTAAAGAAGCGAAAGCTTCGGCTGAGTCTGTATGGATCCGAAATGTGGTTTGCTTGGAGCCACGGCTCATGCCGACGTTGGGACAGCTTTCTCCAATGAATTCTCTTCAAGATTTCGACAAACGGAGGCTTACAACTCGCAGCCTAAACAGCCTATCATTTCTCACCAAGATAAGAGAGTTAAAGTGTTCCCTAGCCGTTATTTTGACAAGCAAACGAGGAGTAGCAGAGACTCGTGGTAGCGGTACCTAAGCCTTATCTCGGCCTCGAAAGTGTCTGTTGGTACAACTATCCACGGCCAACCACCGTTGTCTCGGCTTTTCGTTTTATAATTCCGAGTTGGTGTGCTAATATCTAGTACGTTATGTACCTGTTTCACGGCAAATATATTTAGTTCCCGAGAAGTTGACTCCGATACCTTGGCAGAAGAAGGGAAGTTACATAGTAGGTCTTCACTTCAAAGTTCAAGGAAATCGAATCCACCCGTTATGTATCTACGCATAAGAGGTACCATACCAAAAAAGGGCTCCGCTACCTAGCCGGTTGACCGCTTCTTTTCCGGTTGAGATTACATAGTAGATCCATCATATCCATGATCGGGGAATATGCGATGCCTCTAGGTCTAGGTGGTTTTTACTTTTCCCTCTGCAAACAATTTCTACTAACTAACAATACTAACATGTAGTTTTGTTACTACTTACTCAGGTAGTATCTACCTGTAATGAGATACGAGGTAAGATCTGTATCTTACCGGGTTACATGGTTTGGTTCCATTCCCTGTTCCGAACCAGTTGTGTTCCAAGGATTCAAACGAGAAAAATCGGGAGGCTTGTGAGGCTTGGAGAATCCGAAGGGTAAAAAAGATCCCTGTGAAGCTTCTTTTTTTTTAACCTTGTGCCAGCTTGAGAAGGTTGGAATAGTCTTATTACCAGCCGACTGATTAATTTTTTTCAGCGCCTTTCAACATAGATGATCAATACACTATTAACGCTGCTATATTACTTATAGCCATTACCCGCAATTGCGTCTCCGTAAAGTTACATACGTCGGGTCTTGAATACTTGAATCTGCTACTTACTATTCTCTATCTCCCCATCTTCCCCTGCATTAATAACCGACTGGCTTCAACCACCCGAACCGCATGTGTCTGCATGGCATTGGTCTATCATGGGCACCCGCAGATGAGAGCTACTGAGTTAGTCGTCTTAGTCCCGATACGCTCTCCCCCCAGTTCGAGTTCAGCCTGTCCTTGCAGCCCAATCACCTCCGAGCCTGATAGCTACCCATAAATGTCGGCGCCTTATTGGGGCCAGTTGCCCCCATCAAAAGCTTGCCGCATGTCCGCCGACTATGACCAGACTGATCGTCGACAGTCCTTGGATCAGTCCGCTGCCCCGTCCGAATCTCAAACTTACTCCCACTCCCGATCGCAGTCTCAGTCTCAGCCGCAGTCACGGTCGAATCGGGCGTCCGTACAAACCACCCATACCGACACCAATACAGACTCTACCTTCAGTCCTCTACAGTCACCTATTGCCTCTAATTTCCAGGGGAATGGGCTAGCTCCCCGCCCGCCCTCTCTACCTTACGGACAAAATCAATACCCCGCAGAGTCTAACGGCAAACGAGCGAGGCGTACTAGCCGAGCGCAAGAAGACCTCTTCTTCGACGAGATTACCGCGTCACCTTCTCCCCTCCCAGCCGCTCCCGACGTCCCTAGAGGACCGCCAATCAGCTACAAAGATCCTTATAGAAACAGTAGTCCGGCCTTTACTCCCACGTACACTTACAACGCGGATGGTTCGCCAGGGCCGCCATTATCAGCTTACCGATTTAGTTCTCCTAGATACGGGTCCCCTCTAGCAAGAGTAGCGGCTATGGATTCCGAGTCTTTCTACAAAGATGATACCCCAGAAGTCGAGAGAATAAGTCGAGCACCCGTACTAGATCGAAGTCGACAAACTTTTGACGAAAGTGGGGGTACAAGCAAACCACCAGTACATCGGGGCCTAGAGGGATCTAGATCTATAGGACAACCCCCAGCAGATGGCGATGCGACAGAGAAGGAGACTGTGGACCCTTCCGCACCAAAGAGACAAGGAACACTAAGCGCGCCAGTAAAGCGCCCAACGTGGGCAGACGACCGGTCACCGTTGCAAAGGCTCGAGCTGACCCTCGATAGCATCACCAAGGAAGAGAAACGGGCCCGTGTAGAAGCTGCCGAGCATCGCGCAAGAGAACGGGCAGAACGGGCAGCACGGAAAGAGAGCATTTCAATTCAAGAAAGGCTTCAGCTCCCACCAGAGCGTCAAACCAACCAGCCAATCCGGACCAGAGATCGGCGTCAATCCAACGCTCGCCCGGAAGATCAGCGCGCGATTGTTGCTGACCCAGTCCCAACCCAGCCAACCGTCGTCGTATCCCGCGGGCCTTCAACTCGTAGTGCCCAAGAAGAAGCTAGGCGGTCATCCGACCAATATCCTAGCTCGCAAATTCCAGTTGCCAGGAATCTTAATATCACAGCAGCTGAGAAAGCTGAAATAACTCAAGGTAACCTAAGCTTTCGCGAGAGGGCTGCTAAAATTGATACCAATCCGCCAAGAGATGTAGAGAGTAACTCACCTACTTCACCCATTACTCCAGTAAGCGGAGGCTTTTCTCTTACCCGTAGTGGCAGCAACAAACTTAAGAAGAATCCACCAGGTGACCCCTGGTATAGTGCGCGTAGGGAGGCCGAAGAAAGGTCAGCAGCCCAATACAGGCGCAATTTGCCAAGAGAGGGCCCAAATGCAGTTCCTAGAGATGCGGGCGTCCCTCTCGAAGCCATCAAGCCTAGAAACGAGATGGGTACGAGGATGCCTACCTCACCAGAATATAACGAAAGGCCGCCAGCAAGAGGTAAGCAGTTCAATCAAGACGACTATGAAGAACCTACAGTTCAACCGAAAGGACCCGCAGCCGCGGCGGGTGGGCTTAATCGATCTCAATCTATGAAGAATAATCAAAACCCACTACCGTCACAGCACCCTTATCAAACTCGAATACGCGATTCGGAAGACTCGCCGACGCCGGTCAGAAATGTTGTAAAATCTGTTACGTTTCCGGATCGAAAGCACGAGGCTCAAATGTTTGAAGGAGATGACTATGATTCGGATATGAGCGACCATAAACTTGGTCTTCATGATTACATGTATCGAGGCAAGCTTAAGCCTGGTCGAGGAATGTATCAACCGCCGAAGTACTTAGAGGAGTGGAAGAAAGCTACAGTTGGAACGCTAGCGGGTCCTTTGTTGGACCTTCATGAAGAGCCTAACCTCGTCGCTGATAAGAGCATGCCGTGGTGGGAGAGCCCCCCTAGCAGTAAGCGTAGAGGTAGTACAACGACGCGACCACAGCTGGAAGCTCGAGAGGAGCCGTACGACGATACCAAAGGTCAGACGGGGTTTAGGCCAGCATTGTATCTCAAATGCGGACCGCTGCTGCGCTATTGTGGTCTTCGTTACGAAAAGCCGTTAGCACGAGCCAACCGTAACGACGAAACTTCCGAGCAGGAAATATGGAGAGGCAGCGTCATGATCGTTACGCAAGACTCAGAGTCATCCTATGACATTCCTCCAATCCTCCGACTCTTTGTTCAACCCATCGAGCTCTTACCACTGCCTCCCGCGGAGCTGCGCGGGGGACAAACTCTTCCCCCGGAGTACGTGGACCCAATCGCAGGCATACCGAAGCTTGGCCGACGGGGAGAAACATTATACGTCCGACCAGTAGAACACCTAGAAGAAGCCAAGGATGCTTCGAGATTGGATCCTGACGATGGCCTATTCGAAATCACGAGAACGGCCCCTGACTTCAGTAACGGACCTGACCCTCCGGGATCTTTTGCTAGTCGCAAAAGACGGAACCAGGTTGACGGAGAGAAGCTGGGGAAGTACAAGGATGTTCGTGGGTTCAGGCTACATGCGGAACGAGGCCATACGTTCTGGAGGTTCAACATTGAAGTCGAGCTGCGGCATTATCAACAAAGAATCGCCTACCGTATTAATCACGGCCCTGCTATGGGCTTCTGGGTACCCCCTCGGGGCGAGTCGATGAACATCATGTTCCACAGTTGCAACGGGTTCAGCTTGAGCGTGAACCCAGATGATTTCAGTGGTCCAGATCCTTTGTGGCGTGACGTGCTCAATAACCATCAAACTCGACCGTTTCATATCATGATTGGAGGCGGAGATCAACTTTACAACGACGCTATCATGCGGGAGAGTCCCCATTTCCACAATTGGCTAGATATCAAAAACCCTCTGCATAAGAACAATGCTCCTTTGATACCAGAGTTACAGGACGAGATGGAGCGGTTCTACCTCAATAGGTATATGATGTGGTTCTCACAGGGGCTATTTGGCCTAGCAAACTGCCAAATTCCTATGGTCAACATATACGATGATCACGACATCATAGATGGTTTTGGTTCCTATCCCCACCACTTTATGAAGTCGCCGGTATTTAGCGGTTTAGGTAACGTCGCGTTTAAATACTACATGCTCTTTCAGCATCAGAGTGTACCCGACGAGACCGAAGAGACCGAACCGAGTTGGGTCCTGGGTGTCAAGCCAGGACCGTATATCCATGAGCTGAGCCGCAGTACATTTATGTTCCTGGGAAGTAAGATCGCGCTCCTTGCTGTTGATTGCCGGACTGAGCGCACAAGAGATGATGTCTTACGAGAGAATACTTGGAAGAAGCTTATGGACCGTTGCTACGATGAGATTGTCAAGGGAAAGACACAGCACCTGCTCGTTCTTCTGGGGGTTCCAATTGCTTATCCTCGGCTAGTGTGGTTAGAGAACATGTAAGTTTTTATTCTTACGTGCGCATATTTGATTATTTGATACAAGAGTACTGACATCTTTTAGCTTGACTTCGCGGTTAATGGATCCCATCAAGGCCCTTGGAAAAACGGGCATGTTGGGCAACTTCCTCAACCGCTTCGACGGAGGCGTCGAAGTTCTTGATGACCTCGACGACCACTGGACAGCTAAAACCCACAAGGATGAGCGGCAAGTTGTCATCGAAGACCTGCAAGATCTCGCCGCAGACAAGTCCGTCCGCATAACGATTCTAAGCGGTGACGTGCATCTAGCCGCTATAGGCCAGTTCTACTCGAATCCCAAACAAGAGCTTGCTAAACATCACGATTTCCGCTATATGCCTAATGTCATCTCGTCGGCTATTGCTAACGCGCCGCCCCCCGACATCATGGCCGACATTCTCAATAAGCGCAACAAGATCCATCATTTCGACAAGGATACCGAAGAGGACATGATTCCTATCTTTACTACCGGAGTAGACGGAAAGCCGCGTAACAACAAGCGTCTCCTCCCCCACCGCAACTGGTGCTCCATCCGCGAGTATGTGCCCGGACAGACACCGCCGTCAACCCCACCCCCAGATGACTACGAAATGACTCCCGAGGGCACTCCGCGAGGCAGCCTGGGAAGCCTCCTCCGCAGATTCTCGTCGAAGAGAAAAGGCTTCGTTCTCCGGAAGGAGAAGCCCCGTGACCATGCCGACCGCTCACGTCCGCCCGTCTCTGGTAGCGGTTTCCTGCGCTCGCTCTCCCGCCGCGGCTCGACGAGCGGCGGCGGGTCCCGACCAGGCGGACTCCTACGCACCCTCTCGCTCGGGCGCGGAGACAGTTCTCGTCCGCGCGGCAACGGCAACGGCGGCTTCAGTCGAAGGAGGAATAGCTTCGACCGACCTGACGACGGCGGTATCAACGGCGCCTGGGGCCCCGATAGCGAGGACGACGACGTCGAATCAGTGCTGTACGAGGCGCCGCGGCCCCAGCGCGCGCGAGCTACGACCGTGACGGCAGCAGGGCCGGCTCGAGCAGCCGTGTACGCCTCGGAATACTACGCGGGTGGCGGCGGCGGCGGCGGCGGCAGTAGTAGTAACCCGAATATGGGAAGAATGCGCGGCGGAGGAGCAGGGCGGAACGACGAGTACGAGGTGGGCGACGAGGCGCTCTTCACGGCGAAGTCGCCGCGGCGGGCGTACACGCAGCCTACGAGAGGAGAGCACGGCGGGTTCGGCCATAACGACAATAATAACTACAGCGCGTATTACGACGATGAGGACGACGAGGACGGCGGCGATAATAGGCCCGGCACGCAGTGGAATGCCCCCCCGCCGCGGCCGCACCGCCGCGCGCCGACGGGGCTCACGGCCAAGTACGAAGTCGACGTGCGGGGCGGGCTGGACGTGTGCCTCAATGTGGAGGTCAACCCGCGCGACCCGGCGGGGATCACGGTGCCGTACCGGCTGCTGGTGCCGAGGCTGTGGTACGAGTATAGAGGCGAGGAAGGGGGGGAGAGTCAGACCGAGGTCGGGTATGGGTATGAAGGACAAGGACATGGACAGGGGCAAGGGCAGACACAGCAGCGTACTATGTATGAGGATATCATCGGGGACGAGGAATACGAGGTCCAGGAGGAAAGGCCGCAGAAGGGCGTGCTGAAGCGCCTGTTTAGCGGCAGGGGAAGCCAGTATAGGGCGAGGAGGGGGTCGTCGTAGGGATGAAGGCCAAACGGGGAATACGTCCGCGGGGGTTATCAGGCTCGAGAGGTTCTACCCTTTTCTTTCTCAACATTTGGTGGGAGGGACGAAGGAAAAGTTTTTCTATTCACATCTTGGATTTTTACCATATTGGATGGACCACGTACTTGGGATTTCGCTTCACCCGGGGGCTCGCTGGGTAATAATCCGGAGCATGGCGAATCTTGGATATTTACGAGTTACGACGTTTGGGAAAGATGAGGATAAGATTAGGTACCTAAGATAAGTAGCGTCACGTATTCGGACGTAGGTATTTACACTAGATACCTATTGGGGAGCTTTGGAAATCGAAGCGGATATGGGCTGGCTGGTCGGCTGGTCAGATTGCTTTGACGTATGTGTGTACATATTTGGATGCGTTGGCTTAATTACAAACTTGCCGTCAGGTGAAGGAATTTTCTAAAGGCCTTTGTGCCTGATGTTTTCTTGCGTATTGCTTGAGTACCTAGACCTAACCTAGTGCTATGTTCTTTTCTTTGAGTAGATTGAGATCGTCTTATCACATTATTGGAAGTTCTATTAACTACCACCTAAACTAATCGGCATGTGGATGAGGATAAGAGGTTGTTGTTATTTCCCAGGAACGTTGACTTGAGCCCCAGCCTTGCCCCCTAACTGTTATCACAATACCCCTCTTTTCTTCTTCTTCCTCTTCTTCTTGTTCTTGTCACCAATAGCGGCGGGCCCGAGGTGATCGAATATAATGCGGAACATAAGGAAACTGCCGAGCTTCCATAACCCAAACCTTCTATTGACATGTGGCCCTTGGACAGGACTTGTCTAGTACATCTTATCGTCCATGAATCAACTTCGACGAGCGGGAACTAGGTATTCATACGACAGGCCAGGTTGCGTAACCTTCATGTAGGTACCTACCTAGGTAGCTTTACCTGGTTTTTGAAGGCCCATATCTTAGCCCGTCGTCACGAGATCACTACTTTTAGGCGCTCAATGTCGCAATAAGTCCAAACAGGAAGTATTTTTCGAAGCGCCCAGCCGGCTTGGCCGTAAGTGGTCAAACATTCTCCTCTACACGATCCAATTATATACCTCCTATGATATATGTGCATACCGTACCCATCAAGCCGCACTGTTTCTGAGTGGTTCATTCAACAGACTCTCTCTCTCTCAAGACGTCCGTTCCCTTTGAACGACCCTTCCTCTACTACTCCTACTACTACGACCAAGGTTTCGAAAGCACCGTAATATAATAACTACCACGAGCTAAGAGATACCCAGCAGTCTTAGTCCTACGCTAGTCTCTTAGCTAAAAGATATATAAGTCGCACTTAGCAACCCGCTCTTTCACATACGACCATAGGATCTGGAGAACTCGGGATCCCGTCTGCTCTCCCCTTCGATAAACCAGATACCGCCGGATCAGTAGCCGGGTCGGTGACGATCGGCGAATCCCCGGTGTTGTATGTCTTCTTTTTTTTTCTTTTCTTTTTTCTTCGTCTGTTTTCCAAGACGGTCTCACTTCTTTCGTCGTTTGTTTTAGGAGGAGGTTGAAAAAAAAAAAAAGGCAAAGGTTGTGATAGAGAAGATATATAAAAAAGAAAACAGGATCCCTCGGACCGGAATCGAACCGGTGACTTTTCGGTATACAATTCTTACAATTACAGCCGAACGCCATAACCAACTAGACTACCAAGGGTCGCTGAAGGCCTCGTTCTTTAGAAAAGCATATGTGCCTGCGTTGTCGAATTCTAGCTCTATGAAGTTCTAAGGTTGAGTTCGTATATTCTTGTGCTGGTATGAGGGCATTCAAGTTGTTGCCAAGACGTGACCTAGGGTGGATCAGAGTACAAATACCGAGACGTCGAGGTGCGTAGGACAACTTGGCGAGGTATTGTACAAGGGCAAACATTATCGGCAAAGGACAGAGAAGGGATAACTATAGGTCCTGAGGGCTGAGGGTGCACGCCGAGTCATAGTTTGATGGTACCGTATTATCTATCGTACGTAGGTAGTCTAAGAACTATAGCAAATCGACTCGCTATACGCTTCTTGGATCTCGATATAAAATAGGTGCGTTTGACACATTGAACTATGCGTATTCTTCTCATTGGAGACGCACATTTCATGGGTAATACCATCTTCGATCCCGAGAGTACCTAGAATTCTCGAAAGTGTGATTAGACCTACAATACGCGGAATGCAACATGAGCTGATCCAGCACTTGATCCGCTTCATATCGAAACTCAACAGAAATTCTGGTATAGTAAGAGAGTCCCATTTTAGCGACACACATCTCTCATGCATGTTAGCCAGCCTTATTACTACTGTTTATAGAATAAAATTTCATAAAATTCTGCTTCGCATACCTACATCCGGATGTAAGGGTCGCTTATTTTGATAGCATCTACAACCACATCCTCTGCGGGGTCCCGATCGATAGCCATTATTTGGTATCGTCGGTCCGCCCATAAAGCTCTCAGTACGTGTGGGTGCAACATTGAGAAAGTCGGGATCTTCGTTACACTGCGGACCGGGGCACAGTTCATAGGGTCGGGGGCGAGATCCGGGGAGCGAGAGGCGGAAGCACATGCTTGATCTTCAATTTCCACTAACATTTCTGTTGAGCGACTGGCGCGTTTCACGAGGGAAAGACGCCAGCGTGTAAACTATAATATAACGACAAACCGGTTTGGAGGACCTCCCTAATTCAGATATTAGGTGCCAACAGTCTGTCTCGTCTGATTCACCTTGCATGCATGTAGAAGGTCGTTAATCCAGGCTTATCTGATTAGGGAGGGATTACCTGAAGACGACTCGACTGGTGAGGTGGCCCCCAATATAGCTTTCAAGGTTTAGGTAGAGACCCACGTAAGACGGGAAGCAACTGGATAGAAGCAGCTATAAAAGCGTGGCTGGAGGCTGCATAGCACTTGTATGGCCGCAATCCGCAATGTGGCAACGTGAGTAGCCCGGTAAATCTACTCCGGATATGCATCCTCGAAGCCAAAGATAATGATATGTGACTTGGGGCTCGGCGTGCTGCGATATGTATCACGCATATAAAACCTAGTCTAGCCGGAAGCAAGTGGAGGGTCTCGGCATATGGGAGATCAGCCCTCGTCTCAACATATCCGTCCATTCCCGTTCCTGGGAAGCGAAAAAAGTATGACTGCAACCCCTCATACCCTCATGCACTTAGCAAGAGCCCGAATAGATCGGGATTGACTATGCCACCAGTTGAGAATAAGATACCCCACAATTTTTTTTTTCTTTCAAGTCATGCCGCTGTTGCGTCTACGACGTTCAAGGATCGTGGGATCTAAGAAGGGTTGAGCAGTAGCCGCGGATGAGATCTCAATAGGATCCTCTAAAAATGTGTCAAAATATACCTCTTATGATCTTAATTGATCATAAAGCACACGTACGGTTCACTTGTCTCTCAGATGGTTTTCTCACCAGGACTTCGTTGATCGACGCTGATGTGACTGTATACGATTTGGTTGAGGGTGGTTTCGACGGTGGACGAAGTTTACCCTTTACCAATTCTCGGTTTCCATGACCGTGTTGATGTTCAGTCGACATTTTTGAAGGGACTTTTTCTACTCGGATATTATATATGACTTTTAATATATAGGATACATGTAAGGAGTAATTTTTGCATGGCGTTGAATGTAATGGGAGGAATAACTGTAGGTGGACCCCAAGAGTGGGCACCTGGGACCGTCCGGTCGCTTATACTTCGGGAATCGTATTGTATTGTGTCGTACGCGTACAGGCGTACCGAGCACCTTTTTAGTTTTTTTAGTTTCCTGGCCGGCGTCTGCAGCTATCTGGTAGTGCTGCTGGCTTACCTATTCTAGGTAAGGACCGAACAGGGTCGTTGTTTGGCCCTTGCCGTGACTCTTTTAGGTCAAGCCGAAAAAACTGTTCGATAGCTGATACATTCATAAGGTACATTATATAATATATCTCGATCGTGCGACAACAGGTAAGAATCAGTTGATCGATTGGATTAAAGTATAACTATTCTTAGTATAATTATAAAATGCCTTATAAAAAAAGAAAGAAAAAAGAGGGAAAGGAAATATCTTACTCATGGTTAGGTAGGTTAGGTAGGTAGTTGCAAAGCTGTAAAGACATTGCGATGTTGAATATAACATTGAATGAAAGAAAATGGCGTTCGTCAACTTGTCAGGGATCTCATTTGAAGGAAACAAATTGGGGTAAGAGCACCTGATCATTTAGACCGGGATTACCTTCCTATACAAGTATTCCGCAAGCCAAGATGGGTAAAGTGTGACCTTGTTACCCCTCATTTTACTGGTTAATGGAAGAAAGCCAAGGGAAATCAAGGGAGGTCCTATGCAAGTCGTATGCAAGTCGAACTGCTTGAGATGGAGGGAGCTGCGCATACTACAGCACACTTACAGCACACCACGCGCAATGAACAACTCATTCCTCCATTACGGGACCCATGATTTGCTATTAAGGCACCTCTTCACTTTTGGGAATATGTAGGTACCTGACCCTACATGCATTCCGAAACTTATAGTCTTTTGGTCTTTTTGCAATTCGAGTCCAATTAGCAGCAATTAGTTCAATTAGTCCAATCGCTTTGATCAATTGGAACCTTCAGTGGATAATAATTGAAGGTCTAATGAAATCTCAAGCTTACCTATGGGTAAAAGGTGGATGACTCTCAAAAAGTTTTGACAAAAGCCAAACCGTATTCTTGATTTTTCTTTACCTAACTGCTTTGCTTGCTTGCTTGCCCTTACCTATCCTCACCTACTCTTATTACTCGTTCTTTCTTTATTAGTTATCCAGTATCCATTATCCATTACCTAGTAGTTATCCAGTATTCAAAGTATCCACTTTCCAACGCATTGCCCGCCACCCCACGTTAGCGGCAAAAAAATAAAAAAATAAAAAATAATAGAACTTTTTTTTTCCGTTGTCGAGTCAGAGCCGCAATTCGCTTCTCTCCCACCCAAATTTTAATTCATATCCTCTTATCGCTATTAGCCCAAACCAGACCCCTCCCATTCCCTCTCAATTCCGTGATCGGTCTCGGAACCTCGACGTAAAGCAAAGCTGAGCAAAACTCAGCCTCGGCCGGTGCAGCGGCACGGAGCCATACGGAGCAAAAAAGAATTACCTCAGAAATCCATCACTCGTCATATCTGTCACGTTCAATTGGGTTGTTTTTATTAGTCAATTGAGAGTGCATGGATGGCCACACGGTTGCTGGCGCCGTTTCGGCGCCGTCAACGAGCCCTACCAGCCCCGTGAGCGTCCACCGCCATGGCTCTATGAAGCGAAAGCGCAGCGAAGGGGGCCTCGGAGTCGAAAGCAGTCCTGGTAGCGTTATCGGCGACGAAGACCAGTCTCTTGCCGAACCCGAAAAGAAGAGACAACCCGGCGTGAAGCGGTACGTCCATAATCTATCTACCATCTACCGTTTACTGTTTACCGTCTACTATCTACATATTATATAATATCCTAAACTTCAATTTACCGATACCTGATTCCCCATCCCCCATCCCCCATTCCCCATTCCGTGTTCCCCGTTCAAATAGACCTATACGCGAATAATATATTCGTCATGACATCTAGCTAACAGCATCCGGAATAGAGCGTGTAACGAATGTAGGCAGCAGAAACTTAGGTGCGATGTTGTTCAAGAACCATTCCAGAGTTGTTCGAGGTGTAACCGTCTAAAACTCGAGTGCAAGATCGAGTCCAATTTCAAGCGGATCGGAAAGAGGTCGAAACATGCTGAGATGGAAAAAGAGATCGATCGGTTACGTCGCAAGATAGCCCAAGCTAAGGCTCAGGGCTTTGTAATGGACGATGATGAAGACCTGCAATCGCAATTGCAATCCCCCGTCGCAAATAGTGCGTATTCGCATACCCGAAATCCTTCGCTCATGGGGTCCGATGAGGCTGTTACATCCCTTCTGACTCTTAAACGAGGAGGGTCGTATAGCTTGGCCGCAACCCATTATGCCTACGAGCTTGAGACAGTGCGACTGACCGAGCAGGATGTCCATGGATTATTCCAGGAATTTTTCAGCTGTTACCATCCGTTCCTCCCCTTCTTGAACGAGCACCAGTCCCCTGACCTATATTATCAGCAACATGCTTTACTCTTCTGGACTATTATAGCCATTGCCTCGCGGCGTTACCATGCCAAGCCCAGTATCTTACATGAACTATCGAGCGGCCCTCTAAATAGACTACTTTGGGGCACTGTAGGCGATGTACCGAATAGCTATTTCGTCGTTAAGGCTCTTTGCCTGTTATGCACTTGGCCTCTGCCGACAAGCACGACGACAGCAGATCCGACTCATATTTTATGCGGTGTAATGATGAAAGCCGCCACAGGTATCGGCCTGCACCGACCTAACCATACCCAGGATTTCTCTCGCGTATCGGTGGAGCTAAACAAGGACCAGCTTCATGACCGAGTAACAACCTGGGCCGTATGTAATATTGTTGCCCAGTCTATTGGGACTGGTTACGGCCAGCCGGCCACCTCTCTCTACGACTGGACATTGGCGATCCGCCCAGGCGAGGATGGCCCATTCACGCTTTCCCCTGAACTTGAAGCTAGGCTGAGAATAGAGAGGTTTTGCGACAAAGTCTCCAAGGAAATGTACAGTAACGCCAGCGATCCCCGGGGGGTAGCCGGCGACGAGCACAGAGCCATGCTGATGCGGGTATACCGCCGGGATTTCCAGGAGTTACAAACGTCAATCCTTTCGCAGCGTCTATCGCCAATTGTGGAGGTACACTTGTATGCCGCCAACGTACACCTTCGCCTTGCCGGATTCTTTGATTCTAGCAGTACTCCTGGTTATATGGACGATCTCATGGGCCTGTGGCGTGCTATTACAAGTTTCTTAGATCTCCTATTTCAAGACACGAACCAACATATACTATTGTATACCACTAATTACATCCAACAGATGCTCGTCGCTGCCGGGTTTGCTCTATTAAAGCTGATGAGATCCTTCTTCGCTAAAACGATAGACTTCGAAAGGGGAAGGACTCTATTTCATAAGACCATCAATGCTATTCGCAGGACGAGCGTGCTAGACAACGATCTTCAATGGAGGTTAGCGGAGCTCATGGTCCAGATGTGGAATGGCGCGCGAATAGATAATAAGAGCAACACATCGTTCCACGATGATGACAGTTCTGTCCTTATTGACGACAGTTTGCAATTGAAGGTCCGATGCAGGCATAGCATGAGTCTCGTGTTTGATTCTATCTGGCGCTGGAGGGAAGAATACCAGGCCCAGGGCCGTGGGACTCTTGATGGTAAGGCGATTCCCCGATTTCTTTCCTCTCGATTAGTATACCTCTCTCGCTTGGCTTGGGGGATTAACTAATGTCGAGCAGCCCTTAAACACCCAACTAACCCAGACTCAGGTAATGAGTCTTCCGCATCTTCCACACACATGGACAGCACATTATTGCCGCATAATAACCTAACGAACTTGACGTCGATGGCAACAAGTAACGGCGGTATAACACCGACAGCAAGTCACGGCCTAAACGCCGGTGCCAATAGCATGATTGGGTTGGGGTACGGAAGTGACGCGAACTATGACTTCTTCGATCCACAGCATTGGATGCTGGACGGATTACTAGATTTTAACTACACCTTCGCTCAACCTCTAGAAGGAATGTAGCGCAACCTTGATGAAAGATGATACGTGAGCAGAACCATCAGATGCTAATAAATCTAGCGAACGTGAGTTCCCGGGATTCAACAGCACCGACCAGGCGCCACGGGTTATTTTATGTATGAAATTAGGGGCAAGGGGAATACGTTTATGGTTGAATAATCATTCCAGTGTGACTTGCACGAGGGGTAGGCGCGAGAGAAAATTGTTCTTTTCATCTGCCACCTGGTGTGGGTTTTAATTACGTTCATTGCTAGACCGGCATCTCTAGCAGAAATTGATTATGGTTACGGAAAGGCGATTATAGAGAGGGACGGTATATAACCCCTTTTCATTGTGCATAGTATTGCGAAAGGGGAGGAGTGTATACCAGGAGCGTCGGGGTTTCGGGTGGATTGCTTTTGTATGGTCGTTATATATCTAAGGTTGGTTGCTGGATTGTCCATCGATCAAGTACCTTACCTACCTAGGTAGGTAGTCAGCATTGTCCGGAGTAAAAACTACGAAATTGAAATTGTTACAACTTCATCTAGGTAGAGCAGTTCTTTATACAGAGTTATGTAGGAGTTTATCTGTCCTAGGGCCCCAAAATTTAAAGAGTTATGTCGACTCACTTCCCAGAACCAGACAGACTTAGGTACCTTTTAGGGTATTCAAGCTTATGAGCTATTGGGATTTCAAAGTTGATTATTATTAATTCTCGGTGTGTGAAAAAAAACTCCTATGATTACCCTAGATTAGGTAGGTAGGCATTTTAAGTAGATCTACGAAGAGGCTACAGCTAACAGCTACCTAAGGCATCCAGCAACATAGTCCGAGGCCCTCTACGAATGATCATACTTTCTAGATAGTTATTGAGGGGTATGTACCTTGCTTCAAGACCTGAACGACGAAGAGTTGAGGATTAGAGCTATGACGGACTACGATGTTGAACGCTGTTCGGGTGATGATCACCTTAGGTATTCATGAACTGGCTGGCTGGCTGGCTGGCTTATCGCCGACACAGGAAGATCGGCCTGGCGACGCCAGAAATAGCAACACCCAGTAAGAGGTAAGTTAGGTAGGTAAGTATTCAGCCCAGTAACGTTCCGACCTCGCCTACTGACACACGAATAGGCGATCCTAAGATATCGTCGTTTGGTATGTATCCTCCCCCTCCTCCCCTACTCTACCCCCTTCTTCCCGCAGTTGACGGGATTTACCGTAGGTAGGTATCTCATCGCGGCGGCGTGGCGCCGGCCATGTCGAGGGGCGACGACGTCACAGCGAGCAAAGCAGCACATGTTTTTTTTTTCTCGAAACTGGACTTTTGAAAGGTGTCATCGAATCGACCCCCCTCTCCCCTCCATGTAGATGGAAACGGGCCACATGCAAGCATACCCATTTCAGAAGTCGATGCGTGGTCGTCTCGGCCTATAAGCCGGGCACCTACTACCACGGCGGCTTTTCTCGGGGATCTATTTTTTTTTTTAATCCTTACGTACGTACGAAGCAAGGTCGGCGCTGCATAGCCGTGGCACCGAATATCTTCCTTGTCTCTGGGGCTACTGGTCCGCAGGTATATAGGGTCTTTTTTATACCCTCCCCCCTGGGGGATCGTCCGGGGAAGGATTTCTTTCTTGATATCTTGGCTCTTGGGATACGATGTGATGCTACTATATATGTAAGTAGCTAGGTAGGTAGGTAGCCATGCGCGCAAGCACTGGGCCTTGGGATAGGACGGCCTTGCCCTGTCGCCAGCTTTACGGACGTAATTAAGCGCGGATGCACACCTACACACACACACACACACACAACCTTATGCTGTAGCTACCTTACCAACGGTATCGAACCGGCAACCAGTCATCGTCCTTCCCGACTCCGGGTAGTTGTCTCTTTTCTAGGACTTTTTTTGGACAGGACGAGCCGGGTCTAATTTGATTCTTATGCGCGACATGCGATGCGACGTTAGGTTTCCCGCTATCTAGGTACCTACCTAGCCAATAAGCTCTACGCCTCGATGATGAGTGAGAAGTGGGGATGGGAGGTAGTAGGTAAGGTAGTTAGGTGATTTATGGGAGGATTAGAGAGCCCAAAGAGCGGGAAAAAAGAGAGGATAATTTACAATGGTAGGTAGTTAGATCGTATCATTCACCCTGACAGTTAGTTATCTTCCTTGCTTCATTTGTGGACTTGTTCGGCCCCCAAAAAACGTGGCCTGGGCCGCCTCTCTCCCCTCCCGAGTGCAGTGCTACTATGCAGCTAACCTACCTGGCAGCAACAATTCCCGCTGGAGTGGTTTACAATACCGCCTGTCTCCCGCGACCCAAAAGTAAAGGTTGGAAGGCTAGGAGTGGAGAGTGTACGATCTAGGTTTGGCGTTCGCTTGGAACCGAGCCAAAGCTTCCTGGGTCCCGTTATTCGTAAGGCTGTTGTTTGCTTTACCGACCATTCCAAGCGGAAAGGGCCTCAAATTTTAACATCGTCTTCGGCACCGAATTTTCAGAGAAGAGGGAAAGAGAGAGAGATAAAGCGAGGAAGGGGGGTAGGTTTGTTGTTCCCCTTGGCAACAGCTACGAAGACTTGCTTTGCTTTTGCCCCCCCTGAGACGCGACGTCGTCGCCGTTCGCGAGCGGACCGGCGTTTAGCAACCTTATCGTTGCTCTCGGCTTTTGAAGAAGTATATTTGTAACAGGGACATCGATGGATAGGTACGCCTGGGCATTACGTACCTTAGGTAGGTAGGAGGTAGTTAAGACGCGGCGGGCGGAGATTAGAAAGGCCTTGTAATGTCCTTTATTAAGGATGGACGAGATATATTTGAGCGGACGGGGACATGGGTGATACCATTGTAGCGTACCTAAGGTAGGTAGTGTATCGTCTTGTATTGTCTTGTACGGTACAATTTGCATAATACTTGTATCAGAGAGGTGTTGATCCGTGCCTTTGAGAAATTTAGGTATCTGAGCGGACCTTGCTAACCTCGTGGCAATCCTTGCTAATGCAACGGTTACAAGATGCTTGCTCCCGCGTAAGCGAAATAGGATTGCTTTTTCCTCGTTCCTTTTGCAATACCAAAAAAATCGCAGTGGGAACGAAGGGAAAAGAATAAAAAAGCTTATGCCATGTGTATTACCTATAACATAGTCGCGTTTTTCGTTATATTGTATATGTTCAAGTCGCGGTTAAAAGTGAGGCTAAGGACTTGTAACATACATGTCCTGTACAAGTCGTCGCACGACAGCCGGTTCCAGATCTCGTTTGTTTCAAGAAGCGCCCGCCGTAAGGTCTAACCGGGGGAACAAAGGGTAGACGGCTGAGTCAGATTAATTGCCTTTCTTAGTAGAAGGCATGTTTTTGCTGCTTTTTATGTAGATCTGTCTGTAAGGTAAGGTAAAGTAAGGTAGGTAGATATTTAGTTAATGCATAATAAGTTTAATGTGTTGATGTTTATTCGCGGGTTGAAGTTCTCCCTTGCGTTAACGCCTCCTGCATTGAAATTGACTTGCAGCCGAGCCGCGTATGGGCATTCAGCGCGGCTGCTTTGAATTAGAATACTCCTTAATCATTATTCACATAGCCTAATAATAAGGCCAGAAATTCTAATCATTGGAGAGCTTCTACCGAGTAACGTCACGTTTGGTAGATAACTCTAGGTAGGACTATGTATTAGATTTAGTTATGATAAACCTTTACGGGGGTGTATATCTAAACTTGTGCTGTAGTGTGTACGTGTCTATAGGTGGACAGCTATTGTAGATAGCTGTCGACGTCCTTATGAATTATGTCTCGGCGAGTACCCGAACTGAGCGAGTACATACACGTGGACGAGACTTGGAAGGGTATTTTCGAACACGCGGGCACTTTTCTGGAATAAATAAGGAATCAAAAACTCCTATATCAGTCCCCGCGGAAATAAGCCATGCCTAATGGATCCCAAAGTGTATGGTTTTTAGGTACAGATGTAGGTTGAATATCGGTGAAGATACCTACCTCATAATACTTAAGGAAGAAAAAGTCGCGGTGGAGCTTTTGACGCGCATACTATGTAGAGCAATTCTAGAGTGGTCAGTGGCACGATAACGTGAAGATCGGGAAAATCTATCGTGAAATCTGCTTGGCGTCGATTACATAGGTAACTAGGGATCAAAGGCAATAGTTTGCGAAGGCCCACCATACATACATGCTTGACCCTAGTCCCGTCCCTGTCATTTATGCAGTAATTGAACGTCGAGACGGCTTCGGAGATACCGTCAACTCTCAAACAGATCGAGTCTATATTCGCGTCGGGGCACGGCAGTTGTCGGTAAGTGTCACAAGCAGATATATTATAAGAGGTAACTCGTCAAAAGAAGATGAAAAAGAAGAAAAGAAGAATGCGGCCCCCGAAATTACTGTGCCCGGTGATGTCTTAGAAAGTTGCCGGGATCATAGCTGTGTTTATGTGAGACTGAAATTTTCTATTGTACTACAGAAGCTTCTCCGTGTTCAGGTTTCGAATATTACTAGGACATAAGATAGATTAACTACCGGGTAGCTAGCTAATATCTGATACTACATAGTAAGTATGTGTAAGTTAGGTCTAGGTAGGAGGTACCTATTATGTCCCTTTTAACTAATATCTACAAATTACCAATTAAGGGGTTATTAGGTATTCGTGAGTTTTGCGCATCGACCGCGTGGAACTAAACCCTTTTAAGTCGAGCTTGAATGAACGGAGACCGAGCAGCATCTTCATGGCATGATAGACATACTACCTGCCCTATCTACAGAGCAGGCCATCGCTGATGAGCTACGGGACACGCGTAGTAGGAACGGCAGCCGAAACTGATGAATCCCGAATACATAAGCACTTGTTCACTTAGCATA